GTAGTAGTAGTAGTAGTTAGTAGTCATAGTAGTAGTAGTAGTAGTAGTTAGGTTCATAGTAGTAGTAGTAGTAGTAGTAGTAGTAGGTTCATAGTAGTAGTAGTTAGGTTCATAGTAGTAGTAGTAGTAGTAGTAGTAGTAGTAGGTTCATAGTAGTAGTAGTAGTTAGGTTCATAGTAGTAGTAGTTAGGTTCATAGTAGTAGTAGTAGTAGTAGTTAGTTCATAGTAGTAGTAGTAGTAGTAGTAGTTGTTCATCGTAGTAGTAGTAGTAGTAGTAGTAGTAGTAGTAGTAGTTAGGTTCATAGTAGTAGTAGTTTAGGTTCATAGTAGTAGTAGTAGTAGTAGTAGTAGTAGTAGTTAGGTTCATAGTAGTAGTAGTTAGGTTCATAGTAGTAGTAGTAGTAGTAGTAGTAGTAGTAGTTAGGTTCATTGTAGTAGTAGTAGTAGTAGTAGTAGTAGTAGTTCATAGTAGTAGTAGTAGTATAGTAGTTAGTAGTTAGTAGTTCATAGTAGTAGTAGTAGTAGTAGTTAGGTTCATAGTAGTAGTAGTAGTAGTTAGGTTCATAGTAGTAGTAGTAGTAGTAGTAGTTCATAGTAGTAGTAGTAGTAGTTCATAGTAGTAGTAGTAGTAGTAGTAGTTAGTAGTAGTAGTAGTAGTAGTAGTAGTTCATAGTAGTAGTAGTATAGTAGTAGTAGTAGTAGTTCATAGTAGTAGTAGTTAGGTTCATAGTAGTAGTAGTAGTAGTAGTTAGGTTCATAGTAGTAGTAGTAGTAGTAGGTTCATAGTAGTAGTAGTAGTAGTAGTAGTAGGTTAGTAGTAGTAGTAGTAGTAGTAGCATAGTAGTAGTAGTAGTAGTAGTAGTAGTAGTAGTCATAGTAGTAGTAGTAGTAGTAGTAGTAGTCATAGTAGTAGTAGTAGTAGTAGTAGTAGTCATAGTAGTAGTAGTAGTAGTAGTAGTAGTCATAGTAGTAGTAGTAGTAGTAGTAGTAGTAGTAGTAGTAGTAGTAGTAGTAGTAGTAGTAGTAGTAGTCATAGTAGTAGTAGTTAGGTTCATAGTAGTAGTAGTAGTAGTAGTAGGTTCATAGTAGTAGTAGTAGTAGTAGTCATAGTAGTAGTAGTAGTTAGGTTCATAGTAGTAGTAGTAGTAGTAGTAGTAGTAGTAGTTAGGTTCATAGTAGTAGTAGTAGTAGTAGTTAGGTTCATAGTAGTAGTAGTAGTAGTAGTTAGGTTCATAGTAGTAGTAGTAGTAGTAGGTTCATAGTAGTAGTAGTAGTTAGGTTCATAGTAGTAGTAGTAGTAGTAGTAGTAGTAGTAGTAGTTCATAGTAGTAGTAGTAGTAGTAGTTAGGTTCATAGTAGTAGTAGTAGTAGTAGTAGTAGTAGTAGTAGTAGTAGTAGTAGTAGTAGTAGTAGTTAGGTTCATAGTAGTAGTAGTAGTAGTAGTAGTAGTAGTAGTAGTAGTTAGGTTCATAGTAGTAGTAGTAGTAGTAGTAGTAGTTAGTAGTAGTAGTAGTAGTAGTTCAGTAGTAGTAGTAGTAGTAGTAGTAGTTCATAGTAGTAGTAGTAGTAGTAGTAGTAGTAGTAGTAGTAGTAGTAGTAGTAGTAGTAGTAGTAGTAGTAGGTTCATAGTAGTAGTAGTAGTAGTAGTAGTAGTAGTAGTAGTAGTAGTAGTAGTTAGTAGTAGTCAGTAGTAGTAGTAGTAGTAGTAGTAGTACAGTAGTAGTAGTAGTAGTAGTAGTAGTAGTAGTAGTAGTCGTTAGGTTCATAGTAGTAGTAGTAGTAGTAGTAGTAGTAGTAGTAGTAGTAGTAGTAGTAGTAGTAGTAGTAGTAGTACAGTAGTAGTAGTAGTAGTAGTAGTAGTAGTAGTAGTAGTAGTAGTAGTAGTTAGTAGTAGTAGTAGTAGTAGTAGTAGTAGTAGTAGTAGTTAGTAGTAGTCATAGTAGTAGTAGTAGTAGTAGTAGTAGTAGTAGTAGTAGTAGTAGTAGTAGTAGTAGTAGTTAGTAGTAGTAGTAGTAGTAGTAGTAGTAGTAGTAGTAGTAGTAGTAGTAGTTAGGTTCATAGTAGTAGTAGTAGTAGTAGTAGTAGTAGTAGTAGTAGTAGTAGTAGTAGTAGTAGTAGTAGTAGTAGTAGTAGTAGTAGTAGTAGTAGTAGTTCATAGTAGTAGTAGTAGTAGTAGTAGTAGTAGTAGTAGTAGTAGTAGTAGTTAGTAGTCAGTAGTAGTAGTAGTAGTAGTAGTAGTAGTAGTAGTAGTAGTAGTAGTAGTAGTAGTAGTAGTAGTAGTAGTAGTAGTAGTAGTAGTAGTAGTAGTAGTAGTAGTAGTAGTAGTAGTAGTAGTAGTAGTAGTAGTAGTAGTAGTAGTAGTAGTAGTAGTAGTAGTAGTAGTAGTAGTAGTAGTCGTTAGGTTCATAGGTTCCAGATCATTTTCAGGTTGACTGGTGAAAATGGTGGCTGAAGGTGGTTCATCAGCTGTTGTATAACTTGTTTATCTCTTCATTATTTAACTTGTTTAAAGTTCTTTATTCATGACTGAACTTAAAAGGGAAAATTATCCCCCAGGTTCTGTCATTTTAACAAACAATGCAGACGAGCCAGTTCACTGGGTTTAACTGCTTCATAGTTCTGCACATCCATGGCTTTTCAAAGCTTTTGTTTAACCTCTTAAGACACGGCCCCTGTTATAAGTTTGTTGTGACCAGAATGACAATGACCAAGCCGTAATGTATTACTAAACACTCTGTGTAATGTCGTAGTAATGTAGTACTATTGTAGTACTATTGTAGTTTTTCAGGCTGGGTTTCTGGCTACGAGGAGATAAACAAGTTATACTTAGGATACTACTACTACTACTACTACTACTACTACTACTACTACTACTACTGGACTACTAACTACTACTACTACTACTACTACTACTACTACTGGACCTACTACTACTACTACTACTACTACTACTACTACTACTACTACTACTACTACTACTACTACTACTACTACTACTACTACTACTACTACTACTACTATGGACCTAACTACTACTACTACTACTACTACTACTACTACTACTATGGACCTAACTACTACTACTACTACTACTACTACTACTACTACTACTACTACTACTGGACCTAACTACTACTACTACTACTACTACTACTACTACTACTATGGACCTAACTACTACTACTACTACTACTACTACTACTACTATGGACCTAACTACTACTACTACTACTACTACTACTACTACTGGACCTAACTACTACTACTACTACTACTACTACTACTACTACTACTATGGACCTAACTACTACTACTACTACTACTACTACTACTACTACTACTACTACTACTATGGACCTAACTACTACTACTACTACTACTACTACTACTACTACTATGGACCTAACTACTACTACTACTACTACTACTACTACTACTACTACTACTATGGACCTAACTACTACTACTACTACTACTACTACTACTACTGGACCTAACTACTACTACTACTACTACTACTACTACTACTACTATGGACCTAACTACTACTACTACTACTACTACTACTACTACTACTACTACTATGGACCTAACTACTACTACTACTACTACTACTACTACTACTACTACTACTACTACTACTACTACTACTACTACTATGGACCTAACTACTACTACTACTACTACTATGGACCTAACTACTACTACTACTACTACTACTATGGACCTAACTACTACTACTACTACTACTACTACTACTACTACTACTACTACTACTACTACTACTACTACTACTACTACTACTATGGACCTGGTACTATGACCTGACAGTTTTGACTGCTCACTTCTTCAGAGTCACGTGATGTTGCTGTGACGTGTCTGGTCAGATGATTTAAACAGGTTTTGTCTCTGTCTTCCTACCGGTGGAGGCAGGACGACAGCGCCACCTGCAGTACGACTTCCTCAGGACAGTATCCCAGGTGTTTCAGAGTAAAAAAACCCTCGTCCCAGTTTATCGTCCGTTGGGCATGTTTCCGTATTTCGATTGCCTCTTTAATCCAGCGGCGATGTTTGTTTTCTTCTGTCCCAATGATGTTTGCTCCGTCCCAGTCCCTGTTGTGGTTCTCTCTTTTACAATGGTCAGAAATGGCCGATTTGAGTTGTTCCTGTTCTGCTTTGTGTTTTGTTGCTCGTGTGCACGCCTTCGCTGTTTCCTTCAAACCTTCCTGATGAAGAGTGCTAGTGAGCAGTCAAAACTGTCAGGTATGAAAACAAACCCTTAGTCTGAAAAAAGAACCTAATAACATAGACTATGTACCTAACTACTGCTACTGTGCACAGTGGTAGAGCAATGTTGTCAACCATAAACATACTCTCCAACCTCTCAACACATTTGTGCATCAAACGCTGCCAGGAAGGCCTCAAAAATCCACAAATAAATGCAGGGGTAGCCACAACCTGGTATGTAAACGCAGGTTCATCGGTTTGCAAATAAATTTGTGAATCAACTAACTTTTTCTTTTGAGTCGAGAAATGCTTTGGTAAATGTTGTTATATTTATTTGTAAGTCATGAATTATATTTGTGAATGGCCTTATATTTATTTGATAATAAAGACACTATGTTCATATTTATGCAACCCTCTTCAGCTGAAATCTAATCATAGTACAGAAAAAGAACAAAAACTCCCCCATTAGTACAAAGAAAAAAGTCCTCAAGATAAATACTGACCACCAAATAATTATTCCATTTATGAAAAATAACTCCAGCTAGTTCAGTTTTAGTTAAGTTTCATTTTACTATAACATTGCCCGGTCCAGTGACTTCTCTAAATCATTCACTTTCACTGTGTAAATTCGCTGGTGGTTTTATTTGGCACGTGGTTTTTTTTATTCTGACTCAGCCTCACCTGACCTGCTCCGGTGCCAAACGATCGATGCGCTCCTCGGGCCCCCGTGTCTGCGAACGGCCAGACATCACCAATCGACCACCACAACAAGCGCGCACCAGCCGAGCGCCGAGTCATCGATCCGCCGAGAAGCTCTGCCGACGTCCGGCCGAAAACAGGTGAAGCAAACCCGGGCTCCGAGCACCGTGGACACCCGGGGAGAGGAGGCACCGCCGCTCCGACCTCCACCATGTTCGAGGCTCTGGTCAGCGATCTCCTGAACCGGTTTATCGGGGATTACGTGGAGAATTTGGACAAGTCGCAGCTGAAGATAGGCATCTGGGGAGGTGAGCGCGGCTAGCACACGGCTACACAGTGCACAACGCGGAACTCCGTAAACAAACGCTGCTTTTGAAACATTCGCCTCGCAATCTCAATCGACAGCCTTCCATTAACAGCGACTCCTGGTGATTATTAAACCTCTAAATGCGTGCTAAACTTCGGCTTGTCTCGCATGACAGCTCTGGCAGCAGTGGCCTGAAAAGTCAAAGCTTAATCTGGCGTAATGACGCTTCTAGATCAAAACATCGGAGTAGCTTCGGCGCTGTGATGCGAGCTTAAAATGCTCACTTCACGCCTGACATTCGCTATTTTCCTTTTTGGATTAAACCGAACTTTTACAGACATTAACATCAATAAGTAGCACTGCTTACAACTTTGTACGTGATTTCTTTATTAACTGCAAATTAGGTCAAGCTGAAATTCAACGCTTTTGTTATGTGAGTTTGAAAGACGACACATCATCTGAGGAAACTCCCACGTCGCGACTATTTCGTCAATTTATAATGAATTAGCAAATTAACAATGGATGGATTTATCTCTGCAACATATTTTTAATAAGTCTGAATCACCACAAGTGGCTTAAAAACGTGTAGAGTTTGTGAGATTAAAGAAGGAAGCACAGTAAACAGGCTAATGCAATTAAGCTCATTCTCAAAGTGAATGTTTTTTTTTTTTTTTAGCCAAACCACATCCTAGTCTGTGCATGGCATTGATCCATGTTTGAACAATGGGCTGAGGCGTTTGAAATAAAAATTAAAACCTGCAGAAGATCTTCCAGTTTGTTTACATAGCTTTACTCACTTCATTCTTAATTTCCTGTCCCACTAAACTCAATCTTATCTATAATCTGAAGCAGTTGTAGTGTTGTTGTAGTATTAAAGGCAAAGAAAACTGGAGTATGTGGTAACTGGAGCAAGTTGTGTAATTGTGGTGCATCTTGGGCCATTGTTATTGCTTCCTCATTCTTCCTGACATGTCATACCTGTTCGTGGCATGTCAGACCAGTCATGTAATATCACCGTATAAAGGTGAAGGGTTAGAATGGCCACGTAGACGGAAAAGAGAATTGACTTGATTCATTTTAAAGGGATGCATTGTGACTTTACGGGTTGGTTTCTGCCGCCTGCTTGTCTCCTAATGTTTAAATTCTGTGTTATAATGTTGTTTCCTCGTCACAAACAGACCTGGAGTTGTGTTTTGTTTAATTCTCACATGTTTAACGCGCAAACCCTGCAGATTTAAGATGAGAAAACACTGTTTGTTCCACCTGGTAATTAGTTGTGTGCAAAAATATCGAAATACCAAGTGTATTTTTGGTGTATTTTACTAAATTGTTTTGTTACAGCTACAGTTTTGTTGCTTGTTTAGTGTTAGGAAACTCGTTTATGCGACACATCTGACATTTTCACAGTTTTGATGATTAAAATGTTTGTGTTTCATATGAACTTTGCACAAGAAGCGGTTTAACAAAGATTTTTAGTATCACAGACATGATTTATAAGTCAAGTCTCGTCATTTTATTTATATAGCACATTTAAAACAACCATAGCAAGTTGCACCAAAGTGTTTTACAGCATGAAACACAACACAGTAAAACACTAACACAAATATAAAATATCTAAAATATTACATAAATGAGTTACTTGATGCACAAAGATAATAGTTTAAAGTAGAGCTCGTGGGCTGTTAAATGCCATCTTGAAAAAATGTGTTTTTAGGAAGGTTTTAAAGTGAGATAGGGAGGAGCAGGATCTCAGGTGAAGAGGGAGGGTGAAGCTTGGGGGCAACAACAGAGAAAGCTCGGCCTCCCCTGGTTTTGAGGCGGGATGACGGGACGGACAGGAGGTTGAGACTGTTTGACCTGCAAGGGTGTAACGATATCCAAGTCTCACGATACGATATCGTCACGGTATGAACCTCACGGTACGATACTTATTGCGATGTTGTGGGAAAGCTCAGGATATGATGGGGAGGTTCATGATTAGGGATGCAACAATATCCAAATCTCTCTGTACTATTTTCACAATTTACATCTCACGGTACGATATTTATTGAGATATTTTGTGGAGGCTAAACAGCTACTTTTTCCTCTTGCCTTGAAAAGACTTAATCCAAAGAACTAAGACTTAAAAGTGTTAGAACTGTTATTTCTTCTTGTAGCCTGCACTGAAATGGAGCAAAGCATCATGGTCTATGTAGTTCCCTTTGTCTTTTTTTAGCTGTTGCTGCACCATAACTCTTCATTTAAACAAAGAGACTTGTAATTCGAAATATTGTATATAGAACTCTGACGATATTTCGGTTATTGTTACATCCCTAATGATTTAGTCTTTTTTTATTGAACCATATTAAATCGAAAGTGCCCTGTATCGAGATATGTATCGTATTATGGCCCATGTATTTATTGAGATTTGTATCTTATTGACAAATTCTTAACGATACCCATCTTAAACTTTTGGTATATTTTACACACACCTTCACTAGAATCATTTGGATTATTTCAGTCCTGGAATTGCCAAATCTCTACTGAACCAAAAGTAAAAGGAGCTGTTAACTCGAAAACTACAGCTTCATGACATCACAAGGTGGAAGAGAACATTTTGAGCTTTGGAGATGTAGACAGACTAAGAACAAAGGATTACTGGCACTGTTGATTTGTATAAATGTGAAAAACAGAGCTAGTTCTGAAGTTAGACTTAGACTTAGATAAACTTTACTGATCCACAAGGGAAATTCTTTGGACAGAGTAGCTCACACTAAGTCTGTGCAATTAATTGAAATTTGACCGTAATTTCAATTTCTGTGTGTCAAATGATCTCCAAACTCATATAATCGGGTTGAAACAATTTAAAACTTAATGTTTATTTTGGGATAATTTTTATATAAATAAGTATATTTATTTCATTTTTTAGTTTTTTTTTTTAGGTATAGAGATTGTGGAACAGCTGAACATATAGTTTATTTTGGATACATTTATGCTTTTCTATGCCTTATTTCATGTTCAAAGTATATTTTATTCATTTTATGTTTTATACATCACTACTCTAAGGTTCATATTTGTAGTCTATATTTATTTTCAATTTGAAAGTTTTGCGTAAATTATCTAACTAACAAAAAATTCATCGTTTGAATATCATTTCAATATTGACCAAAATAATCGTAATAATGAAGTTTTCCATCAATGAGCAGCTCTAATCACACATCACAATAAAAGATAATAACAAAGAGTAATAAAAATGTAAATGGTAAAAATAAATTTGAAATAAATAGAAAAAAAGAGACAAGTGTCAAATAAAGCATAATTATATAAATGTAAATGTAAATGTACAAGTTAAAATATAATAGAAAAGTAAGTAATAAAATATAAGTTCACGTGCTTTTCTTGTTATTTTGGAATTTGCAATGTTGTCTGCATAAATAAAGTGCAACATATAAGAATATCAGTGTAAAAATACATAATTGAATAATATCTTTGTGACTTATTGCCCATAGTTAATCTTTGTGTAACTTTTCTGATGGATGGTTTCCATGGAGAAGTTATTACCTTTACTAGAATGTTCCACACTCTGCCATTTCACTTATTTATTTCTCTAGAGGCCAGATCTGTGAATATACATGTTTTGTTAAGTTTTTAAGCAATAAAAACACCTCTAATTGAACACATGCAAAATAAACAGATAAGTTTAATGACAGAATGTGACAAGACAAGACAATGAATAGAATTTTGATCACGATTTCGATTTGTGTGTCAAACAATCTCCAAACTCACATAAGAGTTGAAACAATAAAGCTTAACAAATATATTTTTTTATATAAATAAGTATATCTTTTTTATTTTTTTAATATAGGATTGTAGAACAGCTGGACATATAGTTTATTTTGGATACATGTATGTTTTTCTATCGTCTATTTTATTTATTTTGTTTTATACATCGCAAAACTGCTCTATGGTTCATATTTGTAGCCTGTATTTATTTTCAATTTGAAAGTTTTGTGTAAATTATCATAAGAGAGTGTATTTTTTGAGAGAGAAATGCTGAATAAATGCATCATGTAACTAAAAAAATATCAGTAACACTTTATAAAAACTACACCTTATTTAGCCTTAATAAAGCATGAACAAAGGCTTAATTAATAATGATTCACGCTTAGTAACTACTTAATTACTACCTGAATTAGCACTTAACTTGCACTTAAGTCACCTGTGCTGTAAATAGTAGCTCAATACTTCTTAATTACTCATGAACTAACCATTTGCATGTTTATAAATGCATATTTAAGTTCACATTTGAGCATTTATTAATGATTAGTAAGCCATGAGAGAATGATTTACTAATAATGCAATGCAATGATCATTCAGGCAGCTGTTATCTGTTAGTTAAGTCTTTCTGAGAGCTTTTCTAAAGTGAAGAATAATAATGTTTATTAAGCATTTGTTAAGGTTGGTCAAATTCCAGAGAAACAATAATGCATTACTAGTAAATCATTCTCTCATGGCTTAATAATCATAAATAAATGCTCAAATTTGTACTTAAATATACATTTACAAATACACACACAAATGGTTAGTTCATGAGTAATTAAGTAAGAAATACTTATGAGTTACTATTTACAGCACAGGCGAATTAAGTGCAAGTTAAGTGCTAATTCAGGTAGTAATTAAGTAGTTACTAAGTGTGAATCATTATTAATTAAGTCTTTGTTCATGCTTTATTAAGGCTAAATAAGGTGTAGTTATTATAAAGTGTTACCATATAATCGTTTGAATATTCGCGATTTCAATATTGACCAAAATAATCGTGATTTTTTTCCATAATCATGCAGCTCTACTGTGAAACATTTCTGGCAAAGAAATAACATTTCCTTGGAGACAAACTCACACCAGAAAAAGCTACATATTGCACCTTTAAGTGATCCTTTTTGCTCAATATTTACTTTAAAATGCGATGCCAGTATGGTCCAGATATGGTCCACAGCCGCCGCCTCCTGTACACGCACACGCAACAGACTTATCACCAAGGCAGATCGAGATTAAGATACAGTAGTTTTCAGTTTAATTTTTGCATAAAATCGACAGTAGCCACCCACAGTTCACTTATTGTGGAGTAAATGAGGAAGCGCATGTGTGTAAAAGTTTATCACGATCACTTTCAGAACACTTTTAATCTGGGTTAGAATTCGGACCGATAATAAAAACAGCTCAATGATTACACAGTTTGCATAGTCACAGTGTTTAATCCAGGATGCATACGAGTTAAATGTTGACTGCAAATAACTGGGAAAACTGTGTGGTCCACGTGGTTTTATTGTACGTAAAAGCTGCAGGTTTAATCGGAGCCAAATCAAAACGCAAGTTCAATTCTGACGTTTTTGTAGTTTCATCATTTCCGCCACAAACCACAAAATCTCCTGTCTGATTCTGCGTAAAAGCTGCTGAACGCTGTAGTTTAGATCTGCACAAACATCTCTGGATGTGTTTTTAAAATGTTAACTTTGAACATTATTCTATTATTAAAACAATAAATAAATAAATAAACAATAATGGCAAATCTTTTTGGAATTGCAATTCGATATTTTTCTTAAAAGTGCTTGTGTAACTTTCAGGTTCATGCCCTGTCAAATGCTTTTTCTCTTTGGAAATGTTGTTTCTTTGTCTGGAATATTTCACAGTATGGCATTAAACTAAACCAGACTAAGTTACAGGTCAGATCTGTGGAGAGGCGACCCCGCTCACAGTCAGAATGTCTGTTTTTTGAGGTATTTTTGAGCTTTAAAACCACCTGTAAAACCTTTTTTTGATTGAAAAAAGAATATTCAAATAAAATAAAATATTTTCTAAATGGTCCTCGATACAAATAGATTTCTGTAACTGACTTTTCTTAGTTACACTTAAAGGTGCATTGTGTAACTTTTCTGGTGGAGAGCCTGTCAAATGCTTTTTCGCCATGGAGATGTTATTGCTTTGTTTGGAATGTTTCACAGTATGGCATTAAACCTTTATATCTTCATGGAGACCAAACCAGACCAAGTTACAGGTCAGATCTGTGGAGAGGCGACGCCGCTCACAGTCAGAATGTCTGTTTTTCTAGGTGTTTTTGAGTTATAAAACCACCTGTAATTGAGTAAATGTAAAGTAGAGCTTTAAAGTCACACTGTGGAACATTCCAGACAGAGCAGTGACGTCTGTCAAGATTTGACGGAGCCTCCACCAGAAAAGTTACACAGTGCACCTTTAAATACCTTTGAACGCTCCAGTATGTGTGTAAAACGTGCACTGTGAATTCACTCTTGATTTAAAAAAAGAATATTGGAATTTAATTTAATCAGAATTGCAATAAAATATTTTCTAAATGCTTTTTCTCCATGGAGCTGTTTTTGTTTTGTCTGGAATGTTCCACAGTATGGCATTAAACCTTTCTGTCTTCACGGAAACCAAACCAGACCAAGTTACAGGTCAGATCTGTGGAGAGGCGACCCCGCTCACAGTCAGAATCTGTTTTTCTGGGTATTTTTGAGCTCTGAAACCACCTGTAATTAAATAAATGTAGAAAAACAAGAGCTGTTTAATGTCACACTGTGGAACATTCCAGGCAGAGTAGTGACATCTGTCAAATTTTCCACCAGAAAAGTTACACAATGCACCTTTAAATGCCTTTGAATGCTCCAGGATGTGCGTGAAACGTGCAATAAAATATTTTCTAAAGAGTTCAGTCCTGGATAAAAGTATATTTCTGTAATTACCTTTTCTTAGTTACACTTAAAGGTGCATTGTGTAACTTTTCTGGTGGAGGGTTTGTCAAATGCTTTTCTCCAGGTCAGATCTGCGGAGAGGCGATCCCGCTCACAGTCAGAATCAGTTTGTCTGAGTATTTTTGAGCTGTGAAACTGCCTGTAATTGAATAAATGTAGAAAAAGTAGAGCTGTTTAATTCAAAACAATGACATATCCATAGAAACATGCATTAGGCACACCCAAAAAACAAAAAAGTTACACCGTGCACCTTTAAATCCATGTATTAAACTTTCTTGTGTAATAAGTTTTATCATTTGTCTTAATTTATTTTTGTGTTTTTGCAGGAAATGTGGTGCTGGAAAACCTGAAAGTCAAAGAAAATGCCCTGGTAAGTCCCGCCCTGGTTCAGATTTCATTCCCTTTGGTCCGCAGAATCGCTGAAATGTTATACTGACTAACAAACTCTTATTTTATTCTATGTTTATGGCTAAAAAGTGACAAACTATGACTCACTGTTTGACCCCTTTACTGTTTCATTTCCTTCGTATCCTCCCGTGCTCCACTTTCTATTGAAAAACACTCACTTACTGTATCGCTGTCACAGGTGAGTTATTGTATTTTCATGGTGAAAAGTGAAACACGGAAGCTGAAAACCTACGAAAAGCAAACTCCCATTTATTTTTATTTCTCCATATTAGTTATATCACAACTGTACGTGATGAGCCGAATGCAAATTTGAACACAAAACAAGAAAAGTAAGTAAAGAAAACATCTGGAATTATTATTATTAAAGAGGAAGTATTATGCAACGTCAACTTTTTGGAGCGTTCTATCATTTTATAACGTCGTTCTCTGATGACAAACCTGGCTGAAGAGGTTTTAGATGTCATCCGTGTATGTTTGAGTAATCTAGTGATCTCCCCTGGGCCCTATTCAAACCCTCCTTACTGTAAAATTCTCCATAAAAATATAAAAACATAAACAAAATTGTACACAAATCTGATGCGATGTGCAGCAGTTGCATTAGCGGGATTCACACTGATTGTGTTGTGATAGCGCTCTGAAGGGGGAGTGACTTAGCGTGGAGAGCAAAGGAAAGGGAGACTCAAAGCAAAAGTGAAATAGTACCCCACAGAAGTCCAATACCCCCTCTAGATTTCAGTATTGAATTGATTTAAAAAAAAAAACATTTGCAGTGAGTACAGTGGGCAAACATGCACTCAGGTCAAAGTGCTGTCGCTTTAAAATTATGTAACTGAAGAAAGTACAAATAAGTACTCAAGTAAAATTTTAGAAAAGCATTTGGAAAAATACAGAGTAATTGCTTAGAATTTGATAAACTAGTCGATCTGACCTGGGACAGAGGGGGAGGGGCTTATCCAGGTCTTATTATAGAGAGATCAGGAGTCTAACCCACAACCTCCTGGTGAGAGGGAGGAGACGGGACAAATCCACTTCTCAGACCGTGAGGGAGCAGAGGCACCTTTGCATGACTTCATTGTCTTTGCTGGTTCAGTGGAAAGTTACTCAGAAAATCCTCAGGTAAAGGGGCGTGGCCTCACTGCTCAGGTGATATCATGATTTTCTAGTTGCTGTATAAGAAAAGAGAAAAGAGGTGAGGACCACAAAAGTCTCAGGAACGGACAGTTTTTATACACCGGTGGTCAGACAACAACTGTAGTCATAAAGGTGTACTGTGACAACTTAACTTCAGCGACAACAAATGGTCTATTGAGGTCCATAAACATTCCTTAACGTAATTTTACCATACCAACTTTATTTATAAAGCACTTTAAAAACTTTACAGTTGACCAAAGTGCTGCACACAAACACAGAACAGACAATGATATTCGCAGTAGAATCAAATATACAGTACAAACACAATACAACGGCTAAAATAAAAACATAAAAAACAGTGAGGTAGTCAATAACAACAAGTATACATGTCACTTGTTAAAAGCCAGTGGAAAAAAGGTGCGTTTTTAGGAGTCTCCAACTGTCTAATCTCTAATGACGACTGGTTCCAGAGCCGAGGGGCCACAACAGAAAACGCACGGTCCCCACGAAGCTCAAGTTTAGTTTTTGAAATGACGAGCTGGAGTTGGTCTGCAGACCTGAGAGTGCGAGATGGGGGTGTAAGGGTGGATCAAGTCAGCGAGGCAGGAGGACGCTAGACCGGGCAAACACTTAAAAGTAAATACAATCATTTTAAAATCGACTCTAAAAGACACTGGGAGCTGATGGAGAGAGGCTAAAATAGGTGAGATGCTCTTGTGTTTCCGGGTTTCAGTTAATTTTAGGAAATAACAGACTTCTTCTCCTATTCCTTACATGAAGATTGTTTGTCATTCAACATAAAAAAAAAAAACCATGCCATCATCGGGTAACTCAGGTAAAGGGGCGGGGCCTCATTGCTCAGGTAAAGAAATATGTCACTCAGGGCCTGTTTACACGAGAACTCTTGCAGGTAAAAACGACAAAATATTTAATTGGAAGTGCCTTTTGTTTACACTGTGACGCTTTTTGGGGATTAAAAACGCAAAAATCTGAAACCACCCTCCAGAGTGGAAAGGTTGAATACGCTTCACCGTAGCGTTTCCGTCTACACTGCCCAAGACGCAAAACTCTGGTCAGATCTGCTCACGGCGCGTACATATTTACATCACATACATCACCACCGAGCATCACCACCGAGCCGCCTGGCATGCAAACACAATCGAATTCCACACACTTTTGCGTTACCTTATGCATGCAGATTTCCTCCTGAAAATGCTCGACTAAACGCGGAATAAAAAGTGAAGACGTGACGCCACTTTTCCGTTTTCTGTTTAGACCATCGTCATATAAACATAGACTCATTTAAAAAAATCTTTGGCATTTTTCGGCCAAACAGCATGAAACTTGGCACTGCACACACTTGTCCCATTCGGATGACACCCCCCGAATTTGAGCTCAGTCGGACGAGCGGTTTGAGAGTTCTGCGTGGAACAGACAAACAGGAGGAGACACAGACATTTCTTACATTAATATATAGATGTTAGTTTTGGGACAGTGTGGTAGACAAAACATTAAGCACAAAGAATCGATCACAGACATTCACTTAACTGCAGACGTGTGAGTCCTGTGTTCACACGTGGCTTTAGTCTGGAGTTAAGCAGAATTTTAACTGTAACTATTGACACTGTAGTAACAGTAACAGTACACAGACATAATCTCTTTGGTCAATATTGACATAACTGCTGTACTTACACACATGATGATGATATGATGAGTGTTTGTCTGTGTATTTGTCAGTGTTTGTCCGTCTATGCAGCTCTGATCACTGGTTTAACAGGTCCGTCCGAGCGGTGGGTGGGAGCCTCTACTGCACAGGTGTCAAACATACGGCCCGGGGGCCAGATCCGGCCCTCCAAGAGCTTTAATCTGGCCCTCGGCTGATTTTCTACTAAAATATTTTAATTATATTTTCTATTAATATATTGGTAATTTTCTGCATCGCTTAGCATAGCAGCGTTCATTTTTACTGTTGACCGTGACACCCTCATCAGCAAAATGTCAAAAATGAGAAAAGTGGACACCGAGTGCAGAATTTTCCAAGAAAAATTGACTTATTCCTATTTACATACAAGTTCATGTTAAAACATTGTGTTGAAATTGGATTTTCCTTAAAGTTTCAGGTTGTTCATAATATTATAATATTTTGTAAAAGAAAGAGTTCATCAATTAAAAACAGATTTCTGTAATAGATTTGCGTTTCTCTGCACAAATATTTGAACTTATTGTTAATTTTTGGGGTTTATATGTCATGAGTTTTCTGATCCGGCCCCTTTGGAATCAAAGTAGGTTGGATACGGCCCCTGGACCAAAATGAGTTTAATACCCCTGTCTACTGTTTTCTGTCTAAACCAGAACTAACGCAGCAAATACAGCAAATACAGCAAACACATGGTCACGGCTCTAAACCACAGAGACAAATGTGTGTACAAGTGTCAGGCAAATACAGTGTTATGATAACCAGTGTTAGGGAAGTTACTTTGAAAATGACTAATAACTTAATATATATACTATTTCTGTCTCAAAGTAACTTCATTTGTATGTTTTTCATTTATATTTGAACATTACTGATATGTTTTCATGTTTTTAAGACATTTAAATTGAGTCAAACTACAGATGAGTTGTACAAACGGGTTAGAAATGGTAAAAAAAAAAAAAAAGTTTTGTCTGTGTCTTTTTCATTTTTAGCACATCCAGCATGAATTAACAGCTAATTTAAGGTTAAGCTCTCCTCCCACACGTTGGGCTTTGTGCTGCAAGTTATGAGTGTTTTGTTAGTGAGTGTAATTGTGAGTAATGTGTTGCACGGCTACGCAATTTAAAATCAAATTTAAATGCAATATCTAATTATTACAAGGTTCCCACGGTCATGGAAATCTTGGAAAGGTCATGGAATTTTAGTATCGCTTTCACACAACATACATTAGACTATTATGATTATTTCTGAACGTCTGCGCCTTTTGTTTAAAAGAGATGACAATAAATGCACTGACAGGATTTTGAATGTTAAAAACTATAATCCCAAACCATAAGGTGAGTGGAAAGGGAAACATTTCATATTTAGATCTAAAAATCTGATCAATTCTAGACATGTAGGTGCTGTAAAGACACGGAAAAGTTCTGAAATTTTATCAGTGAAAAAGACTGGGAATCCTGTTATCAGTGAGTAAGTTACACTCAAAACTGGTTATAACAATATGAGACGGAAAATCAAACATGTGGTAACTAGATTAAATATTACAATATTTACATATTGTGATGTTTTATTAATATTGTGGAACAGAGCTGCAAGATGAACCATAAATAAATCAAAAACAATATTTAAATGGTAAAATGGTTAAAACATGACAACTTTTTTTTATAGGTTTATGGTAACCAAGAACTGCTGGTGAGTGTTTAGTACATTTAAACCACATAATTAAAAAAATAATATCGTCAGAGTTTATCGACATGATTACTCTGGATTCCAAACAATCAGTATCGTATCAGCATCAGCCACGAAAACAAACCAGTTCGATTCTTACAAAAAACAATCTACTCAAGATCAAGTTTGATTTTCAGATATTTGTACAATTATCTTTTAAATGATTGCGTTGATTTCACTATGATCTGTATAATCATAATAATAATTGTTTCTGTGTAATGTAATTCTGTGTATCGTAAAGTCACACCAGCCAAAAAATGCACAATGAAGAAGAAAAAAACATACATAAATCGCACCGGCCTATAAGTCGCACTTTTTGGGGAAATGTATTTTGTAAAATCAGAGACCAGGAACCGACATTTCATCTTGAAAGGCAAGTTCTAGTAATAACAACAGAACAGAGAACAACAGGCTGAACAGGTGTTAATATGTTAACGCAGGGGTGTCCAAACTTTTTTCATCAATAATAATAATAATAATACATTTTATTTATATTGCACTTTACATAAAATAATCTCAAAGTGCTACAGGTAAAAACAATGAGTAAAAAGGTGCATCAGAAACAGTGGATCAAGCTAAAACCAGTGCAGGAATTTATAAGATAAAACAAGAATAAAATACAATTAACAAAAGGCTTTAGTAAAAAGGTATGTTTTAAGATTTTGTTTAAAAACAGAAATAGATTGTGGGGCTCTCAGGTGGTCGGGGAGAGCATGCCAAAGCCTTGGAGCAGCAGAGGAGAAGGCCCGATCTCCCATGGTGCAAAGTTTGGTTCTGGGGGTTTGGAGAGTGTTGGTGGCTGCAGAGCGGAGGGAGCATGAGGGGGTCTGGGGAGTGAGGAGTTCCTTAAGGTACTGGGGGGAGTGACCGTGGATGCATTGGTGAGTGAGGAGGGAGACCTTGTACTCAATCCTGAGTGTGATCGGGAGCCAGTGAAGGGATTTCAGGATGGGGGTGATGTGGTCAAATTTTCGCACCCTCATCAGGATCCTGGCAGCGCAGTTCTGGATGTACTGCAGTCTCTGGATGCTCCTGCCAGGTATCCCGATGAGGAGTGCGTTACAGTAGTCCAGCCTGGAGGAGATAAAGGTGTGGACGAGCTTCTCAAGGGCCACATATCTAAACACAGATGAAGCAGAGGGCTGATCGAGGCCGTAGACTGGTGCTCAATACAGTGAATAGTTTAAATATGTGCATGTTTAACACATTAGAATAAGTCATCAGTCTTTATTCATGCTGAAATCCTTAAAATCACACACTAAATATTCAATATTAGCTTTATCAAAGTAGATTTTCAAAAAACTTGCAGTGAAAACTAAATTTTTAATTGATGCAAGGTAATTTGGGCCAAGTCACCTTTAAGACTGAGGGCCAAGAAAAATTTGTCCGAGGGCCGCATTTGACCCACGGGCCGTAGTTTGGACATGCCTGTGTTAACGTAACATATGAACAGATCTTCAGCTAATTATAGCGTAAATAACAGAACATAAGTTTACCAAACTCACGATCTCCCATTAAATTCTTCATCCTCGGTGTCACTTCTGCGCGATCTCCAGAGATAAACCATAGATCCATGATGTAAACGCCGCTTCCTCTTCTGTGTCGCTGTCGTCAGACTCAGCATCAGTTCCAGTTAGAATTATTCGGGTCTTTCTGAATCCCGACAGGATGGTTTCGGTGTCACTGAAGTTCAGGCTTTGTCCATCCATCCAGTGACTTCAGGAAAGTTTCATGGTTCATCCTCCCGGTTCCCGTGAAGCTGTGTTCTCCATCCCCGCTTTCCCCCAGCCCCTCACAAGTTTCTCGCTCACTCCAAACTTTCTTTCTGCTGCTCGATTACCGTTTTTGGCTGAATATTTCACTATTTGCAGCAGGACAGCAACTTTTTATACAGGAGAAATGCGCAGTAGAGTGTGAAGTGACAGTGGTACAGGAGAAATAGTCGTACTAGATACTGACACACAAGCCTAGAGCCTCTTGTGGCTGTCAGTCTGAAAATGTTAATATATAAGTCGCACCGGAATATAAGTCACAGGAAACACCCAAACCAAGAAAAAAGTGCGACTTATAGTCCAAAAATACGGTAAATCTAATCTACTGTTAATATTTTGTTTCAGAGTGAGTTCGACGTCCCCTTCAGAGTAAAAGCCGGACAGATCAGTGAGTGGTTTTTTTTTGTATTTAAATGATAAATAATCACTACATTTTGTGTTTCTACCTCGATTCTTCAAAGCACTACAAAACGAGGAGTCATTCAAGCTTAAATATTGTGAACTTTGACTTTGATTTTCAGGTAAATTGACGCTGAAGATCCCATGGAAGAACCTGTACAGTGAGGCTGTGGTGGCGACTCTGGAGGGGCTCTATCTGCTCGTGGTTCCTGGGTCGAGTAAGACACAAGATTCTCCTCTTTAACCTAATTTATTTGACAAATTTTTTCATTTAGCTGAACTTTTAATACAGTAAATCAGAGTAAAACATAATAACCAGCTTTTTTTCAGGCTCAGTATTTATAGTGTGTAACTTTTGTTTGCACTAATGGGGGAATTAGTCTTAATTTTATGTAGTTTTAAGCCTGTGTGGTTTGTATTTGTATTTATTAAAGGGATAGTGCAGATTAAAAAACAACTTAAAAGAACTGCAAAAGAAAAAAAGGATTGCAGGATTATAGCCAAAGTTAATTTCCATCCTTAGTCCCTGCTGTTTCAAGACCAGCCTTAAAACCCACACAAGTCATAAACCATGTAACATGTAATAGTAAATACTATTGCCTATATATAAATGAACATAGTTATATGATCCTGGTGTTTTTATTTTTTGTCTGTAAACAAATTTCTATTCCTAAATCACTCTTATAACTGCTAACCTAAACATACCTGTCAGTCAGCCCCAGGGCAGCTGTGGCTTTGTAGTTGTAAAGGTCCGTTCAAACCGGAGAGTCAAGGCGTTCAGTTTACAAAGTCTATGTGGACACGTGTCGAGGGCGTCCTGTGTTTTTGAGGTGTGTCTTCAGACGTCAACGCGCTGGATCCAGGGCGTCGGCGTCAGAAGTTGAAAATGCTGAACTTTTGGCGTTGGAAGCACCGAGTCAACCAATCAGGGACGACTATCCAGAGACGTAGTGAAGTTACTTACTCGCAAGAGGGAGAAGAAAGAGAAAGACCCAGGAACCGGGGCCGGGGAGACACAAACATTAGTGGAGTATAAATATATACATGCTGCAACAACCAAGCCGATCGCCAGGACTGGACCAGGACTGGACCAGGACCGGACCAGGACCAGACCAGGACTAGACCAGGACTACACCAGGACTGGACCAGGACCGGACCAGGACTAGACCAGGACTGGACCAGGACTGAACCAGGACCGGATCAGGACTAGACCAGGACTACACCAGGACTGGACCAGGACCGGACCAGGACTAGACCAGGACTACACCAGGACCGGACCAGGACTAGACCAGGACCGGACCAGGACCGGACCAGGACCGGACCAGGACCGGACCAGGACCACCAGGACTAGACCAGGACTAGACCAGGACTAGACCAGGACTAGACCAGGACCGGACCAGGACTACACCAGGACTACACCAGGACCGGACCAGGACTAGACCAGGACTACACCAGGACCGGACCAGGACTGAACCAGGACTAGACCAGGACCGGACCAGGACTGGACCAGGACTAGACCAGGACTGAACCAGGACTAGACCAGCACTACACCAGGACCGGACCAAGACTAGACCAGGACTGGACCAGGACTGGACCAGGACTGAACCAGGACTGAACCAGTATCATTAGCGTGTCTTTAGCGGAGTAAAAACATATACACGCCGCAGCTGCAGAGCCGATCAGCCTCCTCTGATGGAGGAGATCGGCTCTATCGACCTGGTCGGCCTTCATTCCCTTGAAAAGACACGTGTTTCCAGGGCAACAGGCGCCCTGGACGTGTATCAAGTATTTTTCTCCCTTTGGTCCATGATGTCCAAGACTGACATCAGGGGCATCTAATCTCAAATGCAAAGGCTCCAACTGGAGGCGTGCAGCTCGTTCTTTGACGCTCCGGTTTGAGTGGACCTTTACTGTCAGTGCGAGGCGTGTATGAATAATACTGTTATGACACGAATGTCTGATCTGGTCTGATCTCTGAGGCTGAATAAAAGCGTGACCCTGTGTGGAGTGAATGACTAATGCACAAAACTGTAACGCACTTTTGAATGTCTGAACACTGTGTATAAGACTAATGCTTTATTATTATTATTATTATTATTATTATTATTATTATTATTATTATGTCTCACTGGTGCGATGATGCTTTGTGTGAATGTGTGTCCTGAGTTGTCCTGTTCATTTACAGCTGACAGGGGTCCCAGCAGCTGCCCCTATGGTAAGATCTGAGCAGCAGGTCTGAGGAGCCGGTCTGTGGGTGGGGGCGTCCGGTCCGGGTGCAGGTGTCTGGAGCAGAGGGTTGGATGAGGGTGTAGATCTGCTCTGTCTGTTCTCATTCTGTGGAGCTCCTGCACGATGCACTATTCTGGCTTTTTAAACAATCTTTGAACTCCTTTCACGTTGATTTTCACTTCAAGCTTAAAAACAATACATTATTTTTAAAAAAGCATTTCCTGAATCATCCTCAGTTTGATTATCACCTCATATATTTATAGCTCTGCGGCGGGAGACTGCGTAAATCAAATACTCAGACTTGCATGATTGAAACTTTGGTAGAAAACACAGGACGATAAATCTCTCTTCCTCTTTATTTAAGTAGTTTTGGTGTTTTCAAGAATCAGTATAAGATCTGGGTTTTGGTTTTTGCAGACAAACTTATGACAATGCTTTTTTCGCTTTGTCTGGAATGTGTCTCAGTATGGCATTAAACTTTTCTGTTGTCATGGAGACCGAACTAGATCATGTTGCCGGTCAGATTTAGTTTTTCTAGGTGTTTTTGAACTATAAATCCAACTGTAATAGACGCATCAAGAATCTCGGACTTTTGGTCATCGCGCAGTTCATACTGGGAAGGATTTTCCGAAAAAGTGAGCATCAAACCTCCATGTTTGTTTTCCCAGTGGGATGCGTTTATTGTCAGAGTCGATCTTTTCAAGTCTTTTGAACCATATCACTTTTGTTTCTGGTTCTGATATTGTCATATTTTAGTTTTGGGATTTGGACATCGTTAATTGTGTGGTTGTTGGATCCTAACAGCGGAAAACGGCTCGAGAAATTTGGAATCAGATGTGTGTGGCTGCAAACCTCTGTTCAAACTGTTTCTCTTCCCAACGGAATTGAAAAATAGTGAAAGGTGAAGGTGATGGGCAGGATTGATCCACAGGAAGAACCAAAAAGGAAACATTTGACTGACTAAATCATCCTGAGTTTACAGTGAACATTTTGTATGTGGAGCGACAACAAAGCGGGATGCTGTTTGTTAAGTGAGAGGAGCAGAAGACAAACAGACTGAGCTGCACTTTCTTGTTCTTGTGGTTTTACAGCAACATCACGTCTTGGTCTCTTTGCAGTGGAAGGTGTTTCTTGGTGAACAGTTGGTGCCTTTCGCTTTGGCGTTGACTTTTTAAATTCGTAACCGAGGTTGAGCGAGGGATCGGGATTTTGCTTTGTTGTCGCTCCACATACAAAATGTTCGCTACAAACTCAGGATGATTTAGTCAGTCAAAAGTTTCCTTTTTGGTTCTTCCTGTGGATCAATCCTGCCCATCACCTTCACCTTTCACTATTTTTCAATTCCGTTATGAAGAGAAACAGTTTGAACAGAGGTTTGAGTCACACACATCTGATTCACTTTTGCATTTATGGAGTTCACGAAGAAATTTCTCGAGCCGTTTTCCGCTGTTAGGATCCAACAACCACACAATTACGATGTCCGAATCCCAAAACTAAAATATGACAATATCAGAACCAGAAACAAAAGTGATATGGTTCAAAAGACTTGAAAAGATCAGCTTTGCCAACAGACACATCCCACTGGGAAAACAAACATGGAGGTTTGATGCTCACTTTTTCGGAAAATCCTTCCCAGTATGAATTGCGCAATGACCGGAATGTCCGAGATTCTTGCTGCGTGTATTGAACAAAAGCTGTTTAAAGTCATACTGTGGAACATTCCAGACAGCGCAACGATGTCTTCATAGAAACAAGCAGGTGACGGACCCTCATCGGAAAAGTCACAAAAGTTTTATGTTGTGTTTTTTTTATGTTTCTAGCGATAAAATACGATGCGGCGAAAGAGGAGAAGTACCAGCAGGAGCTCAAGCAGAGAGAGCTGCAGAGGATCGAAGACGCTCTGCAAATGGCCGCGCGAAGAGGTGAGACTTTGACCTTTGAACTCCGACCCCTCGCCGTTACACTCTTTTGAAAGGTTACGGCGTTTACAGCTTCGTCCTGGCACTTTCCGGTGAACGGTCGTCTAATAATGCTCATTAATACACAAACTGAACTGAACGGAACTGAAATAAAATGACTTTTTATGTCCTCTGTGTGTAATTAACGACAGATTGGGCGCAATTAGGAGTTTTAAAAATGCGTTATAATTTTTGGAAGAAGAAAAAATAAAAAAAAAAAAGAAGAAAAGAAAAAAAAAATTTTAAAAAAGAAGAAAAAAATAAAATAAAATGTAAAGTCCATTTAAAAAAAATATATATATATAAAATAAATTAAAATGCGTTATAATTTTTTGGAAGAAGGAAAAAGAAAAGAGAAAAAAAAAAAAAAAAAGAAGAAATAAAAATAAATAAATAAAATAAAACAAAAGATAAAGTCCATTAAAAAATAAATAAATAAAAATGCGTTATAATTTTTTGGAAAGCTTTTTTGAAATATTGTAATTTAAGGAAACATTTGCAATTTAATATCTAGTACTGTTTTATTAAATTACTTAAAGGGCCCATATATTTTCTGATCTATCTTATAATGTTGTTTCCTCATCACAAACAGACCTGGAGTTGTGTTTTGTTTCATTTACACATGTTTAATTAACGCACAAACTTTGCAGATTTAGGCTGAGTTCTTCTCTCAAGCTGAAAACGCTCTGTTCCACCTTGCAATGTCATGCGATGATGCAGGAAGTTCTCCCTTGTGTTTTTAAACTTTCAAATCCCACTTGAAACAGCGGCTAAAGGAAAACCAGACTTGTGACCAGATTTTTAGTTTAGAACTGTCACTTTTTTTGTTGTTTTTTTTTTCTCTGTTAAATTTGTGGTGTTACCTGCCGAGGGACGACAGATTTAAATGAACATTCCTGCTATAATCTGTCATATTTACACTGTAATGTTGTAGATGTTCATTAATATGCACTGTCCCTATTAATTAATTAAATATATATAAAATAAAATGAAATGAAATAAATAAAATAAAATTTAAATTAAATGAATAAAAAATAAATAAAAAAAAATAAATAATATATATTAAAATAAAATAAAAAATAAAAAAAAATATAAAATAAAATAAAATACAATAATAAAATAAAAAATAAATAAACACACCTTCATTAGAATCATTTGGATGATTTCAGCCCTGTGTTACGACCCAAAGGATCAAAACATATTTAGAAAGACATGGAAAACAAAGTTAAGGATTAAAGATATTTATTTAATTTCTTACTTTGTATTTTTGAGTCTGGAAACAAAACCCTCAACCCGTGCCCCCGAAAAAACAAAGAAAAACAAAAGGTCCCCAAACGTAGCACCCCCACCCGGAGTCACTGAATAAATTGATAGTGCACAGGGTTCCCACGGTCATGGAAATCCTGGAAAAGTCATTTTAGTATCTCTTTTACGCAATTCCAGCATTCTGTTAAGTTCTAATTAGGCTGTTATGATTATTTTTCGAACGTCTGCGCCTTTTGTTTAAAAGAGACGACAGTAAATGCACTGACAGGATTTTCAATGTTAAAAAACTATAATCCCAAACCATAAATTGAGTGGAAAGAGTTAAGATTTCATATTTAGCCCTAAAAGTCTGATCAATTCTACACATGTAGGTGCCGTAAAGTTAAGCAAAATTCACTTTAGGTCATGAAAAAATCATGGAAAAGTTTTGAAATTTTGTCAGTGAAAGAGTGTAGCAAAAAAATTAATAAAAAATCCAGCGAGGTGTAAACGCTCTGGACCTGCGAGCCACAGCTGCGGAGGAGGAGAGACAAAAAAAAAGAACCTTAAACCTCTACAAAAAATATAAGAAAAACAAAACTGTGACAAAAGGAGAAATTTGTCAACTGGGCAAAAGTTTAATCATAATTTGTCCAGTTGACAAATCCAATTTCTTGTTTTGTCATGGATCCTACCCGGACGGCAGAGGGATTTTACACACATCTTGGGAAAAACAAAACTAAGCAAAATACTACAACAACAAAAAAACAAAAAAAAGAAAGAAAAGGTGCCCAAACGTAACACCCTGGAGCTGCCGATCTCTACTGAACAAAAGGTAAAAGCAGCTATTAATGTGAAAACTACCACTCCATGACATCACAAGGTGGAGCAGAGCCTTTTGTTTGAGCTTTGGAGATGTAGACAAATCTGTGTATCATTCGTTAATTCGTTTTTCAATATAAAACCAAAAATAAGAAAATGAAAAAACAAGTATTTTCTTCATTATTTGTCTCCAAAACAAAAAAAACAAAAAACAGATAATGATTTGTTTTTTCAGTTTTTGATTTTGTGTTTAAATGAAAAATGGAAAAAACGGATAAAGGACGTTTCCTGTTTATGTGACTTCTGTGACTGCGATGCTGGACTTTTGCACCGCATACGGACTGAACCAGGATCCAGGTCCAGAAAGGGACTGAGACTAGACCGGGACCAGAGCGGGACCAGAGCGGGACCAGAGCGGGACCAGAGCGGGACCAGAGCGGGACCAGAGTGGACTCCGAGCTTTGACTCTGAGCCTCCGCTTCGAGCTCCAGTCCCTACCGTGGGCTCTGAGCCTCCGGTCTCAGTCCCGCTCTGGTCCGGTCTGGTCTCGGTCTGGTCTTGATCTGGCCCCGGTCTGGTCTCAGTCTCAGTCTGGTCCCAGTCTCGTCCCAGTCTGGTCCCAGTCTGGTCTCGGTCTGGCCCCGGTCTGGTCTCAGTCTTGGTCTAGTCTCGGTCTGGTGCCAGTCTGATCCCCGGTCTGGTCTCAGTCTCGGTCTGGTCCCCGGTCTGGTCTCAGTCTCGGTCTGGTCCCAGTCTGGTCCTGGTCTGGTCCCGGTCTGGTCCTGGTTTGGTCTCGGTCTGGTCCCCGGTCTGGTCTCAGTCTTCGGTCTGGTCCCAGTCTGGTCCTGGTCTGGTCCCGGTCTGGTCCTGGTTTGGTCTCGGTCTGATCCCGGTCTGGTCTCAGTCTCTGTCTGGTCTCTGTCTGGTCCCAGTCTGGTCTCGGTCTGGTTTTGATCTGGCCCCGGTCTGGTCTCAGTCTCAGTCTGGTCCCAGTCTCGTCCCAGTCTGGTCCCAGTCTGGTCTCGGTCTGGCCCCGGTCTGGTCTCAGTCTCGGTCTGGCCCCGGTCTGGTCTCAGTCTCGGTCTAGTCTCGGTCTGGTGCCAGTCTGATCCGTCTGGTCTCAGTCTCTGGTCTGGTCTCAGTCTCAGTCTGGTCCCGGTCTGGTCTCAGTCTCGTCTAGTCTCGGTCTGGTGGGTCTGGTCCCGGTCTGGTCTCAGTCTCTGGTCTCTGGTCCCAGTCTGGTCTGGTCCCAGTCTGGTCCTGGTCGGTCCGTCTGGTCCTGGTTGGTCTCGTTCTGGTCCCCGGTCTGGTCTCAGTCTCGGTCTGGTCCCAGTCTGGTCCTGGTCTGGTCCCGGTCTGGTCCTGGTTTGGTCTCGGTCTGATCCCGGTCTGGTCTCAGTCTCTGTCTGGTCTCTGTCTGGTCCCGGTCTGGTCCCGGTCTGGTCCCGGTCTGGTCTCAGTCTCGGTCTGGTCTTGGTCTGATCCCGGTCTGGTCTCAGTCTCGGTCTGGTCCTGGTCTGGTCCTGGTCTGGTCTCGGTCTGGTCTCGGTCTGATCCCGGTCTGGTCTCAGTCTCGGTCTGGTCCTGGTCTGGTCTCGGTCTGGTCCCGGTCTGGTCCTGGTTTGGTCTCGGTCTGATCCCGGTCTGGTCTCAGTCTCGGTCTGGTCCTGGTCTGGTCTCGGTCTGGTCTTGGTCTGATCCCGGTCTGGTCTCAGTCTCGGTCTGGTCCTGGTCTGGTCTCGGTCTGGTTCCGGTCTGGTCCTGGTTTGGTCTCGGTCTGATCCCGGTCTGGTCTCAGTTTCTGTCTGGTCCCGGTCTGGTCCCGGTCTGGTCTCGGTCTTGTTCCGGTCTGGTCCCGGTCTCAGTCTCGGTCTGGTCCCGGTCTGGTCCCGTCTCGTCTCGGTCTGTCCCGGTCTGGTCCCGGTCTCAGTCTCGGTCTGGTCCCGGTCTGGTCCCGGTCTCAGTCTCGGTCTTGTTCCGGTCTGGTCCCGTCCGTATGCGGTGCAAAAGTTCGGCATCGCAGTCACAGACGTCACGTAAACGGGAAACGGTCGTCATCTCTTTTTTCCATTCTTCATTTAAACACAAAATCAAAAACTGAAAAAACAAATCATTATGTTTTTTTTCATTTTGGTTTTGGAGACAAATAATGAAGAAACTGTTGTCTTTTCAAACAGAACAAAACACAACTCCAGGTTTGTTTTTGACGAGGTAACATTATTCTAACACGACTTAAAGCTCACGAGAGTCAGTTTTGTGTAATATTTGCCCTTTAATATGTCATGACTATTGAGGTATTAAAGCTTTTAGAGCAATTTATTCTGTCTATGCAACACTAACTCTGCATCTTTGACCTCTACAAACATGTTCTGAAATAGGATTGCTCTTTGAATGGGCAATTAACAAAGGCTGCAATTTCTGAAGTACCATCATTTCCTCCACAAATGCTCCGTTTAATTCTGTATAAAAGCTGATAACTCTGTAGTTTAGATCTGTGCAAATGTTCTGAAATGTGATTCTTGTATTAGTTTGTCAGGTCAGATGTCAGCTTTTTGTCATTTCTTTCTAAAAATATGAACTTTGAGCAGAATCTTATTATTAAAACATTATACTTGTCTGAAAAAAAAAGAAAAATATATGGAATTCTTAAATTACTTTACTAGTTTAATATAGCTGTCTTCTCTCAAATGTTTTTAATTTTCAATATGTCTCTTTGTAGATGTCATTGCTTAGTCTATAATGTTCCTCAGTATGGCTTTAAACTTATGTATCTCCATGGCAACGGGCGGGTGATGCCACACAGGGCTGTTTATTTCTTTTGCGTAATGTGTACACATATTATGCCAGAGCGGTCAGTTTAATGCCATGCTGTGGAACATTACGGACAAAACACAAACATCTTCATGGAGACAAGAGGACCGTGTGAGCAGAAAAGTTACGCAGTGCAACTTTAACGCTCCTATGCATTTTGATTTGAAAAAAAATTAAATTATAAAATACAAAAAAATTTTTAAATAAAATAAATAATAAAATAAATAATACAATAAAATGAAAAATAATAAAATAAAAATGAAATAAAATAAAATAAAATAAAATGAAAAAAACTAGAAATAAATAAAATAACAATAAAATGAAAAAATAAACTAGAAATAAAATAAAATAATATAAAATGAGATCAAATTAAATAAAATATGAAAATGGAATGAAATAAAAATAAAATATAAAAATGAAATAAAATAAAAAATATATATATATAAAATAAATAAATACAATTAAAATTTAATAGAATATGAAATGAAAATAAAAATAAAATAAAATAAAAAATAAATAAAACAAAAATAAAATATGAAAATAAAATAAAATTAAAATAAATAAATACAATAAAATAAATACATACAATTAAAATTAAATAAAATATGAAATGAAATGGAAATGAAAATGAAATCATAATTTGATGCAAGTTCTAATAGAGGGACATCAACACATTGTGCATTAAAATACAGTTATGAAATGCTCTCTTTCTATCAGTTAACAGGAGTGTAACTTGGTGTGTTAAATGTTAAATTTGCTTTGTTTACGTTCTCTTGTTGTTCATGCTGCGTTTGGTGTCAGCCTCTCAAACCGGAGACATGCTGTTTAATCTGGAGACTGTGGTTTACAAGGATCCTCACGGTAACGCTGGAACGGACTGAGAATATTTACAAACGGCTTCATACTACAGATATAACAGAGGCAGCAGGGTTATTCTGTTAGACTGACAGTAGGGCTGGGCATTTACTCAAATTAACAACATTAATTTGTGCTTTTATAATCAAGATTTTGTTCAAGGGTTGAAAAATCGTCTCCCCTCTTGTTATTTTCGTCTTAAAATGTTCTTATTAACTCGCTCTACGTGATCCATTGATAGTAATATTTTAATTTGAGTTGATGCCTGGCAGTAGTATTAGTAGTATTAGTAGTATTAGTTTATTTAAGCATGCTGTGTGTTCCCCCCCCGTCTGGAAAACCCTGAGAACAATGTGTATTTTATATTATACTTATATTTTACTATTAATTTTTGCACTATCTGTTTTTTCTTTTTTGTTTTGTTTGAAATACTGTACACTTTTAACAGTCAGGTTAATCCATGTGTCGTTCGTTCATTCGTTTTTCAAAATAAAACCAAAAATAATAAGAAAAAAAACAACAACAATTTTCTTCATTGTTTGTAACCAAAACCAAAATGGAAAAAAAAAAAAAAAACAGATAATGATTTGTTTTTTCAGTTTTTGATTTTGTGTTTAAATGAATAATCGAAAAAACGGATAAGGGACGTTTCCCGTTTACGTGAATTAAACTGAGATGACTGAAACAGGACTGAAACAAGAATAAAACAGGACTGAAACAAGAATAAAACAGGACTAAAACAGGAATAAAACAGGACTAAAATAGGTCTACACCAGGACTAAAACAGGGCTAAAACAAGACTAAAACAGGACTAAAACAGGACTAAAACAGGGCTAAAACAAGACTAAAAACAGGACTAAAACAAAACAGGACTAAAACAGGACTAAAACAGGTCTAAACCAGGACTAAACCAGGAGTGTCAGGATGGGCCTAAAGTTGCCCACATAAACCTTTGGGTGATCAGGACTCAGACCGGGGCCAGACCGGGGCCAGAGCGGGAACTGAGACCGGGACTGAGACCGGGACTGAGACCGGGACTGAGACCGGGACTGAGACCGGGACTGAGACCGGGACTGAGACGGGAACTGAGACGGGAACTGAAACCGGGACCAGACCGGACCAGACCGGGACAAAATCAGGACTGAGACTAGGACTGAGACGGGAACTGAGACCCGGACCAGACCGGAATTGAGACAAGGACTGAGACTGGTTTTTAGTCCTGGTTCAGTCCTGGTTTAGTCCTGGTTCAGTCTGTTTTTTTTTTCATTTATTCATTTAAACACAAAATCAAAAACTGAATAAACAAATCGTTATCCGTTTTTTCATTTTGGTTTTGGAGACAAATAATGAAGAAAATAATTGTTTCTTCGCTTTTTTATATTTGGTTTTATTTTGAAAAACGAATGAACGAATGACACATGGATTCAGATTAATTGAATTTATTAACTGCAGCGATCAAATTTACAGCTGTGACGTATTTGTTAGAAGACATAAGTTTAAGACTTGGTTCCATTATTTAAAAAAAAAAAAAAAAAACTAAAACTAAAACTCAAAAATCGTGTCTTCAAGGCTAAATTCCAGTTCTGTTCTTCCACAAAAGTTACAAACACTGTTGGAAGTCCTTGATTTTGCAGAATTAAACGCGCTGTACCTGATTTTTACTTTCTCAAAATGTGAAAAACAAAACTAGTTTGATTAAAACACATTCTGAGCATCCAATTTATTCACTGTGATGAGTTTATATGCACATTTAAGAGAGCTTTTTTGTAAAAATTTGCTCAGATACATGAAAAAAAAATCTGCTATAGTAGTTTTTAGGATTCCCTTTTCCTCCTCTGTTCCTTTGCATGCTTCAGTGTGTGTGTGTCTCTCTGCTTTAATACTTGTTTCTAACTCGCTCACTTTCTCTTTAACGCTGCCAAAGTCTCAAAAGGACACAAAAAACTCAAAAAGCATAAAAAGAGTTTGAAGAAACTCACAAAAAGACGCGACCACAGCAAAGGTAAGTCTCGTTCGTAAGTGTAAACCTGACGCACTCCACTTGAGACAAAAAAAAAAAAAAAAAAAACTGGCACAACTTTCAACGTCTTCTCTGACAATGTAACTCTTGTTTATTTATAAGATTTTTTTCACATTAGTCTCCGAAAGTGGTTCCAATGTTCAGCCACAAAGACGTGATTGTGTCTGTGATGAGTTTAGAAGAACTTTGAAAAGACTAAAAGAATCTCAAACAAACAATTATAAGAATCATAAGTTTGGAGATTTATGTGAAATAACAGTAATAATAACACTTTTATTCTCTATTCTTCTAACTCCGCGTGAGTCGTGTTCTGTAGAAATAAAGAACATTGGATTGGAAAAAAAACAGCGAGTCTCCCATCTCCCATCATTCCGTCTGTTTTCAGGGTCAGATCTTGATTTATTTCCGTCATATAAAATAAAAAAATAATGCGTGTTATTCCAGAGAAAGCCCCGGAGGAGAAGAAGGACACGTTTGTGGAGAAAATGGCCACTCAGGTGATCAAGAACCTGCAGGTGAAGATCAGCAGCATCCACCTGCGATACGAGGACGACGTAAGCAACGATACAACAATACAGCCTTTTACCACTAGAGGGCGACTGGCACTGCACCATACAGGCCACTAGAGGGGGTCAGAGCAAGCCCCGGGGTCTAAATATGGCCACAAATTCAAATCAATGGGCCGAGCTCAATGGCGCGTGTCTCCAGATTAGCCTTGCCCGGGTTGGTACGTCTGGTGGCTCCCTGCCCTCTGAGCATGTGCAGTAGAGTTCTTTTCTCCCGCGAGCACACGCCAATGCACACGAGCGAGGAGCCCAGGCAACACTCACTTTGACTAATCAGAGCGAGAAGGCGCTGAGCAGAGCCGGAGCTAACGATTATAAAGTGTTTTATAAACAGTGTTGGGAAGGTTACTTTTAAAATGTAATCCCCTACAGATTACAGATTACACACCCCAAAATGTAATTTGTAACGTAATCCATTAAATTACTTAAAGTGAGTAACGTAATCTGATTATTTTGGATTACTTGATATTGTCATGTTTTTTTAAACGACATGAATGTAGCAACCACATTCTGAAAATTCTTGTTTGTTGTCTTCAAATTGTCTGAGCCCAAGTCTCCATGAATAAGCAACTGTTTGCTGTAGAGAAACAAAGACCACGAGATCTTAATATAAGAGGTTTTGTCTGTTAAAAGACAATAACAAGATCAGTCTTTCCTTCACCAGATTAAAAAATATTATTGATAGAGAAATTATATGAGATCACCTTAAATTATGTCAACCTACTGTTAGGTGTCATGTTGTTTAGACCTGGTTTAGTCCTGGTTTAGTCCTGATTTTTAGACCTGGTCTAGACCAGGTCTTTAGTTCTGGTTTAGTCGTGGTTTAGTCCTAGTTTAAACCTGGTTTAGTCCTGCTTTAGTCCTGCTTTAGTCCTGGTTTAGTCCTGGTTTAGTCCTGGTTTAGTTCTGGTTTAGAGGCGCACAGGAGGAAGTGCGGTTTACGCGAGAAAACACGGTCCACACGCGGCGCACGAGACGGCGGCGTCCACGCAGTAACTACGGAAGGAGACGTGGTCCGCGGGTTCTCAGGTTGATGACGATGATGAAGGTGTTTGTTTGTGTTTGTGTGTGTTTGTGTTTGTGTGTGTTTGTGTTGTGTGTTTGTGTTTGTGTGTGTTGTGTTGTGTGTGTTGTGTATATGACAGTAGTGCAGATATTATGAGTCTATGCAGGTTGTTTTCACCAGTGCCAGTTGCTCCGGTTTCACATTTAAGTTGTAGGCGATTTTATTATTTGTTTTTATATATATATATATATATCTCACATCGGGAGAAGAATTTCCAAGACACAAATGCGTTTTTACCAATGCACTGCTGCTTCCACTGTGTGACTGACACCGCCAACTTTAACATGACGTTTACATCGCTCTTATTGCGCGCGTTCTGTTTGGGCTTCAGGCAATGAGTGAAATTACCGAAATAAAAAAAATAAATAAATGGGATGTAGCACAAAATGTGAAAACAGGAAAATACCGCCTTGTAATCCACTTATTTCAGCAAAGTAACTGTAATCCAATTACCACTCATTGAAACAGTAACTGTAACGGAATACAGTTACTCATAATTTGTACTCTGATTACGTAACGGCGGTACATGTAATCCGTTACTCCCCAACACTGTTTATAAGACAACTGAAGGATTTTGAGCTGAGAAAAAGTTTATGATCTTAAAATAGGAAAACATTGCCACAGAATCTGACATTTTTGAAAACTGTAGGTGTTCTATCAGCTGAACACGAGCAGTTTGCGATTACAAGGTCAAGTTAAAAGTTTTCTGTCAATTCTTCATACAAAGATCATATGAAGAACCGAAATTGTGTTTCTCACTGTCTAATGCATAAAAAAGTAAATACTAAATGGTAAATAATTCAAAAATGCAAAAGGCATATAGTGCAAGGCACACTTGTGGGGTAAGCGGGGGTTCTTTGTGGAGTTCTGTTCTTGGGGAGATGCAGATTCTTTCTTCCTGGCTGCTGGTGGGTAGAGAGGGGACAGAGTTCAGCATCCTAACAGCCTGGGGGATGACACTGTTCTGGAGTCTGGTGGTGTGGGAACGGAGGCTCCTGTGGGTGGGCGTACGTGCGGGTGCGGGTGGCGTACGTGCGGGTGAGACGGGTGGCGTACGTGCGGGTGAGGCGGGTGGCGTACGTGCGGGTGAGGCGGGTGGCGTATGTGCGGGTGAGGCGGGTGGCGTACGTGCGGGTGAGACGTGTGGTGACATGGCTCTGGTGTTGTTTGTCAGTGCAGCTTCAGCTGGCGTACGTGCGGGTGGCGTACGTGCGGGTGAGGCGGGTGGCGTACGTGCGGGTGAGGCGGGTGGCGTACGTGCGGGTGAGGCGGGTGGCGTACGTGCGGGTGAGGCGGGTGGCGTACGCGGGTGAGGCGGCGGCGGATGAGGCGGGTGGCGTACGTGCGGGTGAGGCGGGTGGTGACATGGCTCTGGTGTTGTTGTCAGTGCAGCTTCAGCTCCACACAGTGATGCAGCTGGAAAGGATCAGGGGTCAGACCAGGGTTGTCAGGTTGGAAAAACCAAACCCAATTGAAAGAAAAACACCCAAAACTAGGCAAGGCAAGTTTATTTGTACAGCACAATTCGTACACAAAGTAATTCAAAGTGCTTTACAGAATAAGAAATACATTAAAATCATAATAAAAACAAATCAAAACATAAATAATCATGAAGATTAAAATTAAAAAAGAGAGACATAAATTGGAGAGAAGAGTGCGGAATGAAAACCTTTCAGTTATTTGCACAGTTAAACAGAAATGTTTTGAGTCTGGATTTAAACAGCGTCACAGAAGAGTCTGTCTCACATGTTCAGACTGTTCCAGGTTTTAGCTGCATGAACCTGAAACTCTGACTCCCCTTGTTTAGTCGTGACTCTGGGCACCAGCAGGAGGCCGGTCCCTGAGCTCCTCAGAGTGTGAGATGTTCATATGACACTAACATGTCACAGATGGACTTTGGTGCTCGGTCATGGAGACACTTGTACAAGCAGAGCTGCTTTAAAGTCTCTGAGCCACAGGAGCCAGTGCAGAGACCTGAGACCAGGACTTATGTGCTCGTACTTCCTAGTTCGAGTCAGGACCCGAGCTGCAGCGTTCTGGATGTTCTGGATGTTCTGGATGTTCTGGATGTTCTGGATGTTCTGCAGCGTCTCACAGCTCGTTTGGAGAGACCAGTGAGCAGAACATTACAGTATCTAATCTGCTGGAGACAAACACATGGATAAGTTTCTCCAAGTCTGATTTAGACAGTAAACCTTTGATTTTTGCTATGTTTTTTAGATGGTAAAAAACTAACAGGACATATGACATGCTGGTATTTTTCACTTTGTAGAAGTAGTGTTCGACAGAAAACACTTCATTAGGAAATGCTGAAAAAAATAAACTGCAAATCTTCCAAGACTGTGTCAGACATTTAGTTTTACAGGCCACTTGGGGAACGGCCATATGCCAATAATGTAATGACAAAGATTCTCTACAATTAGCACAAGATCATTCAGATTTAGTTTTTCGCACAGACCTAAAAGCCCCAGAGGTGAGTGGGGATGAAGAAAAGAGAAATGAGACGCGGCCCAAATGAACTGACTGATTGTTTTTCATCTGTTCACTTCTTTTCCTTTGTGATTCCAGGTGTCAGACCCACAGCGCCCCCTGTCTATGGGAGTCACTCTGTCAGAGCTGAGCCTGCAGGTGAGTCACAGAACACTGTCCACAAAAGAGGATCTGTTTCTCCTTTTATGAGCTCCTTTACAAAACCAAAATTCCAGAAAGCTACGCAACTTTTCAGATAGACGGTCTGCTGCTTCATTGTCTCGATGGAGATGCTTCTGCTTTGCCTAGAATGTTCCACAGTATAGCATTAAACTTAGCTGCTTTACGTTAGGTGTTTTTTTTTTTGCTGGAAAATACCTTTAAAACATGCATTCTCATTGTCAGCGTCGTCGCCTCTCCGCAGACCTGACGTGTAACTTGGCCTAGTAGTGTCACTTCTTGCTTCATTGGAAATCAATATGTTTAAAGTCGTGCTGTAGGAAATTCCAGACAAAACGAGGAAAATTACACATTGCATCTTTAAACAGGAACAGTTAGAAGCCTGAAAAACATAAAACATTATCCATTTATTGGTGCACAAAGTTAAACATCAGATTGACATATTTACAATGAAAATAGGCATCAAATTTTACTTATTTTTCTGACTATAAGTCGCACTTTTTGTGAGAAATTTATTTTATGAAATCAAAGACCAGGAGCCGACATTTCCTGTTGAAAGTCAAGTTCTAGTAACAAAATCCAAATCACTAAATCCATTCAATTCTTCATCCTCGGTGTCACTTCTGAGCAACTCCTCAACCTCCGGAGGTAAACAGAGCGACGCTTCCTCTTCTGTGTCGCTGTCGTCAGACTCAGCATCAGTTCCAGTTAGAATTATTCGGTCTTTCTGAATCCCGACAGGATGGTTTCGGTGTCACTGAAGTCCAGACTTTGTCCATCCGTCCAGTGACTTCAGGAAAGTTTCATGGTTCATCCTCCCGGTGTCACAAGTTTCTCTCTCACTCCAAACTTTTTTTCTGCTGCTCGATTATCGTTTTCAGCTGCAGATTTCTTGACTTGTAGTTTGTAATCTACAACATCTGATTTTGTTTTTCGGGCATTTGCGTTCAGTCTTGTCAGTCGTCTTTATAAGTTTAAAGTTTCAATGTTAAATTGTTCATTGGTGCAGAAGTAATGGTGCGATCGACTGACATGACACAGACAGGACAGAGGCTCTTTCTGCAGGAGACATGCGCAGTAGAGCCAAGTGACAGTGGTGCAGGAGGAACAGGAGCAGCAGATACTCACACACAAGACTAGAGCCTCTCCACACTTCACTGTCAATATTTTAATATATAAGTCACACTGGAGTATAAGTCACAGGAAACACACAAACCATGAAAAAAGTCTGACTTATAGTCCAAAAAATACAGTATATTATGTTTTAATAGACGTATAATTCAGAAATCCCTTGGCGAGATACTCAGAAGGAGGTGGAGAGCTACTGGTTTCTCCAAAGCTACAGGTTGGACATCAGTGGTTTAATTTAATAAAAGTAAAGAGTAAAAGGGTGATGATAAAGTACAACTCTTGCAAAACAAATTATAGTATTTTGGTCAAAGTTCCTCAAAATGATGCTTGCAGAAAGGAACTGAAACACACGCTGCTGTTGTTTAACCATGAAAAACAAAAATTTTAAATAAGCCATCTTAAGAAAGGGGATAGAAGGGATATTTTTTAATACTGTGAAGGTTGATACTCAGATTTAATGGCAATAAATCTTCAAAAACAATGTAAGAGGCTTGGGAAACACATAAAAACACTGTATCAGCAGCAAAACTTTAGGGGGCAGGAGTGCAACTTGGATGTGTAGAGATTGTGCAAAATTGCCTTTTCGGTAATTTTCAGTTTAGGGACAGGTTTCAAATGCAAAGTTGAAAAAGCTGAGGCACTCAAAAAGTACAAAATAATTAAAAGCCTTTAATACCGCATGGCAGATAAAGTTAAAATCACGAACACTGTATTAGTTTAAAATAGTTTTATTAAAGAGATAACGCAAAACTATTTTAACAGCGTTCATTTTTTTGTCGCAAATTAGTTTTTTCGTAAGATGTGGTCACTGCTAGTAATGTTAGAAAACCTACAGGATCTGGCTGTAAACAAGAAGCAAAACAATTTGTGTGCCCTGATGTTGTTCATACGAGGAAAATACTAAATAAAGTCCGCTCCAAAACACACGGCGAATCTGCGCTGACCTTCGATAAAGACTGTGACAGAGACAGAAGTTTTGCAGCCTTTCGTTTCCTCCTGTTCTCACTGCTCCGAGCTGTTGTTATCTCCATAAACTCACGGAGGAGTTTGTATCGCAGCAGAACTCACATCTGCCTCACTGTTTCATAAATATTTCATGCCGCTGGACTTCGCGTTCGCTCTGCCGCCACATGTAAACAAACAGCGCCGTGTGATGACGTCGCTCTTAGTGCGGCAGCGTTGGAACAAACACGAACCCAAACACAGATGCAATAAAAAAAACAAAAAACAAAACATTGATAAGAGTATTAAATGATTATTCAATGGCCAAAAATGTGCGATCAGTTTGTGATTAATCGTGAGTTAACTATGACATTCATGTGATTAATCGAGATTAAATATTTTAATCGACTGACACTGAGCACTAGTTTAAAATGTTCTGCTCTTACCCGTTAATAAGGCAAGGCAAGTTTATTTGTACAGCACAATTCGTACACAAAGTAATTCAAAGTGCTTTACAGAATAAGAAATACATTAAAATCATAATAAAAACAAATCAAAACATAAATAATCATGAAGATTAAAATTAAAAAAGAGAGACATAAATTGGAGAGAAGAGTGCAGAATGAAAACCTTTCAGTTATTTGCACAGTTAAACAGAAATGTTTTGAGTCTGGATTTAAACAGCGTCACAGAAGAGTCTGTCTCACATGTTCAGACTGTTCCAGGTTTTAGCTGCATGAACCTGAAACTCTGACTCCCCTTGTTTAGTCGTGACTCTGGGCACCAGCAGGAGGCCGGTCCCTGAGCTCCTCAGAGTGTGAGATGTTCATATGACACTAACATGTCACAGATGGACTTTGGTGCTCGGTCATGGAGACACTTGTACAAACAGAGCTGCTTTAAAGTCTCTGAGCCACAGGAGCCAGTGCAGAGACCTGAGACCAGGACTTATGTGCTCGTACTTCCTAGTTCGAGTCACGATTCTCACGCGTTCTGGATGTTCTGGATGTTCTGGATGTTCTGCAGCGTCTCACAGCTCGTTTGGAGAAACCAGTGAGCAGAACATTACAGTATCTAACCTACTGGAGACAAACGCATGGATAAGTTTCTCCAAGTCTGATTTAGACAGTAAACCTTTGATTTTTGCTATGTTTTTTAGATGGTAAAAGGCTGCATATGTTATTGATTTGATGTGACTGTTAAAGTTCAAGTCTGAGTCCATTATTACCCTGAGATTTCTTGCCTGATTTGAAGGTTTTAGAGAGAGAGACTGGAGGTGATGCTGACACTGTCCCTTTGTTTCTGTGGACCAAAGACTATGACTTCTGTCTTGTCTTAATAAACTGTACGATAACATCAGATTTATACAGATGCGTAATCACACGTCAATTAACTGTATTTTTATATCAAAATAACCAAAACATTCAGATAGAGCACACAAAATATTATAATTTATATATATATTTAACAAAAAAAGCTCGTGTCTCTTCAGGGGGGTAACTAATGTAAAAAAAAAAACATTTCACTATTGCTCCTTGTCAATTTTCTTTCTTACTATGTTGCCGTCTTTATTTTTTGTCAATATAATTCTCACTCAAAAAAAATAAAATAAAATAGAACAAAATATCAAATAAAATTACTGTGTTAGAAAAGAAAAATACACAAGTTGGTTATTTAGATTGTGAATATTTGTGTTTCTTTTCATGTTTTCAGACGACAGATGAAAACTGGAAAGCTTGTATCCTGAACGAAGCTGCCAAAATCATCTACAAGGTAACTCTTCTCTGTTCTGTTCTGCAAAATAACTTAATTTTCTTATTTTTAAACCACAAAACCTCTTATTTTCCTGTAGCTGGGCAGCCTGGAGTGCCTCTGCGCCTACTGGAACGTTCCCAGTCACATGTTTTACAAAAGCTCTTGGGAGAACATCATTGTGAGTTATTTTATTTGTTTATCAAAAAAGAAAAAAAACACACATCTTTCCAACTGTTTCCAATCTTCATTGAAACTCTTAGGATCAGTTGAAGTCCGGGATCAGCACCAAAACAAAGGAGCAGACGCACTACCAGTACAGTAAGTCTGAAGAATTTTGTTTGAGTATTTTCATTCAAATTCAAAATAAATAAAAAAATAAAAAAGGACAGGATGAGAGTCGAATTTCACGAAGAGACGAGCCGAGATTGGGTCCACGAAATGAGACAAGACGACATCATTTCTAATACTTAAATTTCATGATTCAGTTTCCAATTTTGCTCCTCACTTTTTTAAATTTATTTGATTTTATATTTCTGTTTCCATTCTAGTACAACGTTTTGGGACTGTTAAAGAGATGTAACTCACCAGAACTTAACGCTTTTTTGTCCTATCCAAATGTAAACACTTGTTAAAGAATCTCACGGGATAGTTTTTCTTTTGTGTTTCAAGATCTTGTTGGCAATTTTGTCTCACGAGATTTTGTCCCATCTCTATTAAAAAATACTTGAATGGTCACAGTTAGCAAATGGCAAAAGCTGCAGTTTTTTAAGTTCCATAATTTCTTCCACAAACAACAAAATCTCCTGTTTTATTCTGCATAAAAACGCTGTAGTTTCGATCTGTACAAACATGTTCTGAAATGCGATTCTTGTTTTAGTTTACCAGTTCCACAGACTGTAAAAAGAAGTGGACTAAAGGAGTGTGACGTCGCCCATAGTGTTCAGCTCCAGTCAAATGAAGCTCACTGAGGCTGGGGTTTGAAGCCATGTTTCATGTTAGGGATTCATTAATGCACAGGTGTCAAACATAAAGCCCGGGGGCCAGATCCGGCCCTCCAAGACCTTTAATGTGGCCCTTGGGTGATTTTCTACTAAAATATTTAAATTATATTTTCTATTAAAATCTTGGTAATTTTCTGCGGTGTTTATCACAGCAGCGTCTCCAGCGTCTCTGTACGTGGCCCCTCCCACCAGAGCAGCACAAATGAAGACTTGTCTCTTTCCAAACGCTCTTAAAGGACGATCGTTTTGACTGTTGACCGTGACACCCTCATCAACAAAATGTCCAAAAATGAGAAAAGTGGAGCCGAGTGCAGGATTTTCCAAGAAAAATTGACATACAAGTTAATGTTAAAACATTGTGTTGAAATTGAATTTTTCTTAAAGTTTCAGGTTGTTCATAATATTATAATATAATAAGAAAGAATTAATCAATTAAAAAAGATTTCTGTAATAGATTTGCGTTTCTCTGCACAAATATTTGAACTTATTGTTATTTTTGGGGTTTATATGACATGAGTTTTCTGATCCGGCCCCTTTGGGATCAAAGTAGGTTGGATACGACCCCCGGACCAAAATGAGTTTGACACCCCTGCATTAATGGATAAAAATAGTGAATTAAAAACCGCAGGATCATATAGAGCGGGTTAATACAAACATTTTAAGACCAAAATGACGAGACTCACAGCAGTTACAGAGAGAGGAGTGATGTTTTTTTTTTTTACTATTTATTTACTGCATTTTTATTTATTTATTTAACAAAACATATACAAGCATTTAGAATAGTTATGGACGTCTTGTAAAATTGAAGCTACCTTAAGCCCTATTCACACGGGTTTAGTACAACCTGGGGATGTCTGGTAATTTGCAAACACATAAGAGACTGAAAGAGAAAATGATGCAGAAAGAAAAGAAAGAGATAGAAAAGGAGCGCAATTACCACAACACACACTGAGATACAGATTAACATGGGACTTGTATTATCACCGGACGTCTGCGTTTGGCGAATTATAGTAGGTAATGTGCGGCAGAATTTTTACTTTGCAAATTACAGACATCCTGCGCAATTATTACACATCACCAAAGGTCCACAGGTAAAACTAATCCCGTGCGAATAGTGTTTTAGCTCAAAAAAGGGGCCCGATATATATATATGAAAACAAAATACATACGTAGCTAAAAACTATAATTTAATTTCTACAGTCTTGTTGTCTCTACACAGTTACCATTCGTCTTACCGCAATCATACATTTTACAAAAGTCAACTGGACCCAGAGCCGATGGAGCTGGAAGCGTGCCCATGCTCACTTCCTCTTTGTAAAACGGCGGCAGCTGTTGGGTTTGCTTTGTTCACTTTTACATACAGTCTGTGGTCACTTCATATTTCAGTTTTTTGTCAATTCCTCTGAACATGTTTTAAAATATTAATTTGGAACCGAATCCTACTATTAAAAGTAAATAAATTGTAAATTGCGGTCTCAAAGCTCCACTATGTAACTTTTTGGTTGGGGGTCCGTCACCTGCTTGTTTCTATGGAGATGGATGTCATTGCTCTGCCTGGAATGTTCCACAGTGTGACTTTAAACAGCTCTACTTTACATTTTTTTCAATTACAGATGGTTTAAAGCTCAAAAATACCTAGAAAAACAGGCATTCCGACTGTGAGCGGGGTCGCCTCTCCACAGATCTGACCTGTAACTTCGCCTAGTTTGCGCTCCTTGAAGATAGAAAGGTTTAATGCCATAGTGTGAAACATTCTAGACAAAACCAGGACATCTCCATGGAGAAAAGAATTTGACAGACCCTCCACCAGAAACGTTACACTTTTAATACTTTTCAGAAACATCACAATTGTGTATTTTTTCCTACTCTTTTCATTTCATTTTTCATAACTTGTTTCTCTGTTGTTGTTTTTTTGTAGTTTTTAAGCCGATTTTTGCCTCGGCTAAAATGTGCATCAACCCAAACGCGGAGGTGGAGCTGAAGACCCCCAAAGCTCAGCTACAGCTCGAGGTGCAGAACATCGCCATCGAGATGACCAAGCCTCAGGTAAAACTGAGTCCAAACAGAATAGGTTAGGTTAGTTTAGTTTATTTTACTTATTTAGTGTCATGCACCATTTAGTTGGTGCCCAGCCCGCATGGACTTATAAGACACATAAAACAAGAAGCAGACAGATCACACATCAAACATAAAGTGTCCTCTTACGGAGGTCGCAGGCTTTCAGCACAAACTGAGCCAACTTAAAAACATTACATTTAAACAAATACTTCAGTCTCTCCTCATCAGACACAAACCAACAGAAAGACACATTAGACACAACTGACAGCGAAGGTCATGATACAAAGGACAATAAAACAAAAAATGCATTTCATTACCTCCACCAAGGAGGTTATGTTTTTGCCGGTGTTTGTCTGTTTGTTTTGTTTGTTTGTTTGTCTGTTTGTTTGTCTGTTAGCAACATAACTCAAAAGTTATGGACCGATTTTGATGACATTTTCAGGATTTGTTGGAAATGTGAAAAGGAAGAACTGATTTCATTTTGGGGGTGATCTGGAAGAAATCCTGGATTCTGGATCACTTTGAAATTTTAGTTAACATTGTGGTAAATGGGGCCAAAAATGTTGTTTCTCAATATCTCGGTTAATTATTGACCAAACCCCATGAAATTTGACTCAGGGATGGACAATGGGATCCTCTTTCATATTCCAAATTGAAAGATACGAGACAAATATTTATGGAAAACACAATTAATATGAGGGGGACTGTAGTCCTTGGCGGAGGTCTGCGCTCTCTGAGTGCTTTTCTAGTTTTCAATGTCCTTTAAATCGCACAGAACAGAAGTGCGCTCCTCCTCTGGGACTGAGTGGAAGCGTCACATCTCCAGAGCCAGAGCCCCACACCTCAACTGGGCACATTCTGACCTCTGACCTCTGACCTCTGCTCAGGTTCAGGGTGACATATGGTTCAGGTCCAAAACAGTCTGTAATTAAGATATATGTTCTTAATTTTGGTTTACATAAGATGTCATTGTGCCACTTTTGTTTATACTTATCAAAGTAAATGTTCCTCGCTTGTCGAACACTACAGATTAACTTATTTCTGTAAACAAACTGGAGATCTGCAATCTCAAAAATTTTCTCCATCTCTCTACTCCAGGACGATTTATGTAACAGACTCCAGTTAAATACATGTTTGGTTAATCTTGTGTCTGGCAAATTAACCAACCTGTTCCATAACCGCACCATGTCACAAATGTGTCTCACTTCACATGGTTCCCAGCCCAGATCTCCATACAGAGCAAGTTTAGGCGCCTAAAAAGTACCTCAGAGCTCTGCACTGAACTTTTTTACTGTGGGTGTGTTTACATTAACCCCAGACTCCAGCGCCATAGTCCAGAACAGGACAGACACAGGCCCTGTACAGTTCAGTGTAGGTTTTGTAGCCCAGGTCACGACATGCAAGGAAATAGGAAGTCATGTTGTTTCACTAGAATATTTTGTCATTCTGTCAGTGTAATTAGAATTTTTGTCTTCCTTTGTTGTAGTCATTGTTTAGGAACTAGTTTGTTTAGGAACTCATGCAGAAGTCCAATTTCAGACTTAGACTTTTAGACTTCGACAGACTTTATTGATCCACAAGGGAAATTATTTAGACACGGTAGCTCACACATCACAATATAATGTAATAACAATGAGCAGAGACATAATTTGGTAAAATAAATTCAATATAAGCAGCAAAAGAGACTAGTGTCAAATAATGCACAATTATGTAAATGTGTAATTTACAAGTAAAAAGAAAATAAAGAAATTATTCATACAAAAATACTTCTGGAGGTGTTTAGACTTAAACTTTAGACGCTAGATTTTTATTTATTATAATAACAAAGAAAAATTGCATAATAATTTCTAAATAAATAGGAGAAATGGCAAAGGAGTATTATCTGTTACATAAGGGTGAGTTGTTGTACAGTTGTAGGGAGTATTATCTGTTACATAAGGGCAAGTTGTACAGTTGTAGGGAGTATTATCTGTGACATAAGGGTGAGTTGTTGTACAGTTGTAGGGAGTATTATCTGTTACATAAGGGCGAGTTGTTGTACAGTTGTAGGGAGTATTATCTGTTACATAAGGGAAAGTTGTACAGTTGTAGGGAGTATTATCTGTGACATAAGGGTGAGTTGTTGTACAGTTGTAGGGAGTATTATCTGTTACATAAATGTGAGTTGTTGTACAGTTGTAGGGAGTATTATCTGTGACATAAGGGTGAGTTGTTGTACAGTTGTAGGGAGTATTATCTGTTACATAAGGCCGAGTTGTTGTAAAGTTGTAGGGAGTATTATCTGTTACATAAATGTGAGTTGTTGTACAGTTGTAGGGAGTATTATCTGTTACATAAGGCGAGTTGTTGTACAGTTGTAGGGAGTATTATCTGTTACATAAGGGAAAGTTGTACAGTTGTAGGGAGTATTATCTGTTACATAAGGGAAAGTTGTACAGTTGTAGGGAGTATTATCTGTTACATAAGGCCGAGTTGTTGTACAGTTGTAGGGAGTATTATCTGTTACATAAGGGCGAGTTGTTGTACAGTTGTAGGGAGTATTATCTGTTACATAAGGGAAAGTTGTACAGTTGTAGGGAGTATTATCTGTTACATAAGGGAAAGTTGTACAGTTGTAGGGAGTATTATCTGTTACATAAGGCCGAGTTGTTGTACAGTTGTAGGGAGTATTATCTGTTACATAAGGCCGAGTTGTTGTACAGTTCTAGGGAGTATTATCCGTTACATAAATGTGAGTTGTTGTACAGTTGTAGGGAGTATTATCTGTGACATAAGGGTGAGTTGTTGTACAGTTGTAGGGAGTATTATCTGTTACATAAGGCCGAGTTGTTGTACAGTTGTAGGGAGTATTATCTGTTACATAAGGGAGAGTTGTACAGTTGTAGGGAGTATTATCTGTTACATAAGGCCGAGTTGTTGTACAGTTGTAGGGAGCATTATCTGTTACATAAGGGAGAGTTGTTGTACAGTTGTAGGGAGTATTATCTGTTACATAAGGGAAAGTTGTACAGTTGTAGGGAGTATTATCTGTTACATAAGGCGAGTTGTTGTACAGTTGTAGGGAGTATTATCTGTTACATAAAGGGCGAGTTGTTGTACAGTTGTAGGGAGTATTATCTGTTACATAAGGGAAAGTTGTACAGTTGTAGGGAGTATTATCTGTTACATAAGGGAAAGTTGTACAGTTGTAGGGAGTATTATCTGTTACATAAGGCCGAGTTGTTGTACAGTTGTAGGGAGTATTATCTGTTACATAAATGTGAGTTGTTGTACAGTTGTAGGGAGTATTATCTGTTACATAAGGGTGAGTTGTTGTACAGTTGTAGGGAGTATTATCTGTTACATAAGGTGAGTTGTTGTTACAGTTGTAGGGAGTATTATCTGTTACATAAGGGAAAGTTGTACAGTTGTAGGGAGTATTATCTGTTACATAAGGCCGAGTTGTAAAGTTGTAGGGAGTATTATCTGTTACATAAAGGTGAGTTGTACAGTTGTAGGGAGTATTATCTGTTACATAAGGGTGAGTTGTTGTACAGTTGTAGGGAGTATTATCTGTTACATAAGGCCGAGTTGTTGTACAGTTGTAGGGAGTATTATCTGTTACATAAGGCCGAGTTGTTGTACAGTTGTAGGGAGTATTATCTGTTACATAAGGGCGAGTTGTTGTACAGTTGTAGGGAGTATTATCTGTTACATAAGGGCGAGTTGTAAAGTTGTAGGGAGTATTATCTGTTACATAAATGTGAATTGTTGTACAGTTGTAGGGAGTATTATCTGTTACATAAGGGCGAGTTGTTGTAACAGTTGTAGGGAGTATTATCTGTCACATAAGGGTAAGTTGTACAGTTGTAGGGAGTATTATCTGTTACATAAGGGCGAGTTGTTGTACAGTTGTAGGGAGTATTATCTGTTACATAAGGGTGAGTTGTTGTACAGTTGTAGGGAGTATTATCTGTTACATAAGGGTGAGTTGTTGTACAGTTGTAGGGAGTATTATCTGTTACATAAGGGTGAGTTGTACAGTTGTAGGGAGTATTATCTGTTACATAAGGTGAGTTTGTTGTACAGTTGTTGTAGGGAGTATTATCTGTTACATAAGGGTGAGTTGTTGTACAGTTGTAGGGAGTATTATCTGTTACATAAGGGTGAGTTGTTGTACAGTTGTAGGGAGTATTATCTGTTACATAAGGGTGAGTTGTTGTACAGTTGTAGGGAGTATTATCTGTTACATAAGGCCGAGTTGTTGTACAGTTGTAGGGAGTATTATCTGTTACATAAGGCGAGTTGTAAAGTTGTAGGGAGTATTATCTGTTACATAAATGTGAGTTGTACAGTTGTAGGGAGTATTATCTGTTACATAAGGGCGAGTTGTTGTATAGTTGTAGGGAGTATTATCTGTTACATAAGGGTAAGTTGTACAGTTGTAGGGAGTATTATCTGTTACATAAGGGCGAGTTGTTGTACAGTTGTAGGGAGTATTATCTGTTACATAAGGGATGAGTTGTTGTACAGTTGTAGGGAGTATTATCTGTTACATAAGGGTGAGTTGTTGTACAGTTGTAGGGAGTATTATCTGTTACATAAGGGCGAGTTGTTACAGTTGTAGGGAGTATTATCTGTTACATAAAGGTGAGTTGTTGTACAGTTGTAGGGAGTATTATCTGTTACATATGGGTGAGTTGTTGTACAGTTGTAGGGAGTATTATCTGTTACATAAGGGTGAGTTGTTGTACAGTTGTAGGGAGTATTATCTGTTACATAAGGGTGAGTTGTTGTTACAGTTGTAGGGAGTATTATCTGTTACATAAGGTGAGTTTGTTGTACAGTTGTAGGGAGTATTATCTGTTACATAAGGGTGAGTTGTTGTACAGTTGTAGGGAGTATTATCTGTTACATAAATGTGAGTTGTTGTACAGTTGTAGGGAGTATTATCTGTTTTAATAGGTGGTACTTGTGGAAAATTTAGAGAAGGACTGCTGTAACTTTTTTTTTAACATTTTTTTTGGTGAAATGAATGAAACCTTCTTCTTCTGTTCTTGTTCCAGTACTTGGCCATGGTGGATGTGCTGGAGTCCATCGATTCTATGGTGAAAAACGCTCCGTACAGGAAGTTCAGGCCTGAAGTCCCAGTCCACACAAACGCTGCTCTTTGGTCAGTAATTTTTTCACCTTTACTGTATTTATTGGACTATAAGGCGCACTGAATTATAAGGCGTAATATCAATCCGTGTATCATTCGTTCATTCGTTTTTCAATATAAAACCAAAAATAAGAAAACGAAAAATCAACAGTTTTCTTCGTTATTTGTCTCCAAAACCAAAATGAAAAAACGGATAACGATTCGTTTTTTCAGTTTTCGATTTTGTGTTTAAATGAAGAATGGAAAAAACAGATAACGGCCGTTTCCCCTTTACGTGACTTCCGTGACTGCGATGCCGGACTTTTGCACCTCATACGGACTGAACCAGGACTGATCCAGGTCCGAGACCAGAGCGGGACTGAGACCGGGACCAGACCGAGACCAGAGCGGGACTGAGACCGGGACCAGACCGAGACCAGAGCGGGACCAGGGTGGACTCCGAGCTTTGACTCCGAGCCTCCACGGGGTCCGAGCCTCAGCTTCGAGTTCCGTGGGCTCTGAGCCTCCGGTCTGGTCCCGGTCTGGTCCTGGTCTTGTCTCGGTCTTGGTCTCAGGCCCGCTCTGGCCCCAGTCTGGTCCCAGTCTCAGTAGCGCTTTGGTCCTGGTCTGGTCCCGGACCTGGTCCATTTGAACCAAAAGCTCTTCGTTCGATTCATTTTCATTGGTGTGAAAGCGTCAGTCGGATGCTTTGCTCCACCTCGGAACCAGCCGCGGTTCTTGAGCGCGGAGGACCAGAGCAGCTCTGTCCCGGTCTCAGTCCCGCTCTGGTCTCGGTCTGGTCTCGGACGTGGATCCGTCCTGATTCAGTCCGTATGCGGTGCAAAAGTTCGGCATCGCAGTCACGGAAGTCACGTAAACGGGAAATGGTCGTTATCCGTTTTTTCCATTCTTCATTTAAACACAAAATCGAAAACTGAAAAAACGAATCGTTATCCGTTTTTTCATTTTGGTTTTGGAGACAAATAGCGAAGAAAACTGTTGTTTTTTCGTTTTCTTATTTTTGGTTTTATATTGAAAAACTAATTAACGAATGATACACAGATTAATATCAATAATGCTGAATTCTCTCGTCTATTTTCATAAGTTGCACCGGATTATAAGGCATATTCAGCAAAACAAACGGACGACACTTTAGACTGATCCTTTAGTGGTGTAATTCGCCCGGCGTTTCCTCTCTGTTTTGGTGAATGTGGATTATGAATGTGAATGTGGGTGGATCATTTAAGTGTTTAAGTTTTTTTTTTATTTCCTAAGAGGACGACTCAAATATACATTGAGTGATAATATGTTTAATGCAGCTTTGCCACATTTGTTTATATTTTACAGAAACCACTTGGCTAATTTGCATGAACTTTAAGCGCTGAAAAAGACAGCTTACTCCTTGAGCGCTGATGCGGCTGTAATAAAACCGTAATGCTCAGACAATCCAACAAGCGGTGCATCTTCGTAGTTTACCAAAGTCGTACTAAAGCATTTTGACAGATTTTTGAGCACCGTGTACCACACAAAATCGTTCAAGGTCAGTAAGCGCAACCAAAATGAGCACATAAGGCGCACTGTAGATTTTTTAGAAAATTAAAGGATTTTAAGTGCGCCTTATAGTCCGAAAAATATGGTACTTCAATATATAGAATGTTTCATAGGTGGTCATCTGGGCGCAAAAACAGTTCAGATGACCACTGATGAAACATTTAATCACTCTCCTGGATGGATGAATGGATGAATCACTTGCCTGAGCTGCCTGTCCCGTCTACTTTCTGTTTGAATCCTCGAGAGTCTGGAATCGGACCATAGAGCATGAAAATCCTCCGTCCAAACTTTAAACAATCCAGACACAGCTGCTCATTTGTATCACGCATCACCTCCTCTCCAAACTTCTGTTCAGAACAACACATAAAACTTCTTTTACTTGTGTGGTTCTGGCTGGACGGCTAAATGGATTTACTTTGTCTCTTTACTTTAATCCTTCATCATCTTGTAAATGCGATTCTATTAGAAACTTAAATTAGTTCACTCCAGTAAAGTCCTGATATAGACTTCAGCCTGAACAGGATATTGCAGTCGAAGCAAAATCACAATTTGAGATGGCGAGACTATCAAATTACAAAAGCTGCAATTATGTAGATAATAGAATATCTGCAAAGAACAAAATATCCTGTCTTTTTTATTGTCGTACCTGTAGTTTAGTCCCCTCTTATATTATTTATTTCAGTTCATATTTCAGTATTTTTTTAAATGTTTACTCTGAAAATTCTACTTTTTAATCATGTATTTTAAATTGTGAATCTCAAAATTTCGCAGCTCTTTAAGACTTGGTTTGGTCCTGTTGTAGTTCTGGTCTAGTCCAGGTTAAGTTCTGGGTTGAGTCCAAGTTAAAGGTTGTATAGAGGATTTTTTTTAGATTCAATCTGTCAGTGAAAGATTAAAATACCATTACAGAGATGCAGCAGCTTTGTAATTATGATGACCAAAAAAAAAAAGAACGAAAATCTATGAACTGTGGACGTAGTGCGGCCAGATAAACATCAGCCAATAGAAAACGAGGCTCCCTCATTTTCTATTGGCTGTTAGGTTGTTAATCAAACTCCCTAGTATAACTGACTCATCTTAGCGCGGGGATTATGTGGTTTACGCAGCGGTTCTTAGAGGCTTTTTCGAACTGTCGCTTCCTCGCATTTCGCACAAAGTTTGTCGCGACGGCGGACGAGAATCTACGACCGGTTCGCCGCAAAAGAAAGTCAGTTTTTGAGGTCGCTGAAAGAAGAAGAGAAGAGGAAAAGTAGCAAAGCCAAACTGAGGTGATTCTTTGAGATCTCGTCCAGCGATGGCGCGACCGAAGCAGACGAAGGGTCTAAAAACTGACGCGTCGGTCGCTGAATTACTTCTAGACAGGAAACTTCAACAGTAATTCTGAACGCGCGCAAGGACTGTCGCTGTATTTCTCTTCCCTTAAAAAAAATCCTCTGTACAACCTTTAAGTCCAAGTTTTGATGTGTTGTGTGAGTGGGATTCATGTGTAAGTGTGTGTTTTCGCAGGTGGAGATACGCCTTCAGCAGCATCATGGAGGTCCACGTCAGACGCACCAGTAAAATGTGGTCGTGGCTCAGTATCCGACAGCACCGCGAGACTCTGAAGGCCTACAAGAACGTTTACAAGACCAAGCTCCTCAACGCCAACAAGACCAGCCAAGATATTGAACAAAATATACAGGTCTGACCTAATCCTCTCCATCCTCTGCTCCATCTGACCCTCTCCTCTGCTCCTCCTCTCCTCTGACCCTCCTCTTTTCCTTCTCTAACCCGCTCCTCTGGTCCATCTGACCCCCTCCTCTCTATCTTCTCCTCCATCTGAACCTCTCTTTTTCATCCTCTGCTCCTCTGACCCTCTTCTGCTTCATCTTCTGCTTCATCTGGCCCTCTCCTCTACCTCCTCTGCTTCTCTGACCCTCTTCTTTACTCCTCTGACCTTCTCCTCTTCTCCTCTGACCCTCTCCACTGCATCTTCTGCTCCATCTGACACTCTCCTCTGCTCCATCTAACCTTCTTCTCTTTATCCTCTGCTCCGTCTGGCCTTCTCCTCTCCATCCTCTGCTTCTTCTGACCCTCTCCACTGCTCCTCTGACCCTCGTCTTTGCTCCTCTGATCTGTTCCTCTGCTCCATCTGACCCTCTCTTCTACATCCTCTGCTCCATCTGACCATCTCCTCTACCTCCTCTGCTCCTCTGACCCTCTTCTTTACTCCTCGGACCTGCTCCTCTGCTCCATCTGACCCTCTCCTCTTTATCCTCTTCACCATCTGGCCCTCTCCTCTGCCTCTGCTCTATCTTACCCCTCTTTTCTTCCTCCTCTGCTCCTCTGACCCTCTCCTCTTCTCTTCTGCTCCTTCTGACCCTCTCCTCTCCATCCTCTCCTTCATCTGACCCTCTTTTCTTCATCCTCTGCTCCATCCTCTGCATCATCTGACCCTCTCCTCTCCATCCTTTGCTCCATCTGACCCTCTCTTCTTCATCTTCTGCTCCATCTGACTCTCTCCTCTCCATCCTCTGCTTCTTCTGACCCTCTCCTCTGCTCCTCTTATCCACTACTCTCCATCCTCTGCCCCATCTGACCCTCTCTTCTTCCTCCTCTGCTCCATCTGACCTTCTTCTTTTCATTCTCTGCTTCATCTGACCTTCTCCTCTGCTCCTTTGCTCCATCTGACCCTCTCCTCTTCATCCTCTGTTCCTTTGACCATCTCCTCTGCTCCATCTTCCGCTCCTCTGACCCTCTTTTCTTCATCCTCTGCTCCATCTGACCCTCTCCTCTTCCTAATCTACTCCTCTGACCCTTTTCTTTACTCCTCTGACCTTCTGACCCTCTCCTCTGCTCCATCTGACCCTCTCTTCTCTATCCTCTGCTTCTTTGACCATCTCCTCTGAGTCTTCTGCTCCTTCTGACCCTCTCCTCTGCTCGTCTGCTCCATCAGGATTTGGAGAAAATCTTGGACGCCTTCAACATCACTTTAATCCGTCAACAAGCTAAAATGGAGGTAGGTTTTCTAACTGAGATAATACAAAATCCTCACTGTAGAGACGTTTATTCTGTATCCTTTTTGTTCAGGTGATCCGCTCGGGGCAGAAGCTGGTGGCCAAGAAGTCGACGGGGCAGAAGCAGGGCTGGTTCGGAGGGTGGTTCAGTAAAAAGGCTAAGAAAGACGAACAGGAGCAGGAGGAGAGCAAAGAGACTGAGGGTGAGTGAAGGTGGGGCTGTGGCAGAGTGGTTAGCAGCCCTGCCCCACAACAAGAAGGTCCTTAAGGTCCTTTATCCTTAAAGGTTGTATAGAGGATTTTCCAAGGAACGAGAAATCCAGCGACTGTTTGTCCTTTTTCAAATGTTGCGCATGTGTGAAACCACCCCCCCTCCCCTACAGCTCCTACGTAGAAACGCCTCCTCCCTCCTCCTCCTTACGCCAGAAACAGGTTTGTTTACAGCCGCTGCACATGACTTGTAAACAACTAACTACAGTGTTGGTTAGGCAAGACGGAGAAGTGAGGAGCGGGGGGAGCGGGTGTGCGGACATTTCGTTCGCGGACGAGAAGTGAGGAGCAGGGAGAAGAGCGGAGCAGGGAGCAGGGAGAGAGGAGAGGAGAGAGGAGAGGGGAGAGGAGATTCCGTGCCCAGAGAAGTGAGGAGCAGGGGGAAGAGCGGATCGGGCAGCGGGGAGAGGAGCAGGAAAGGGGTGCAGAGAAGGTTGCGCGGAGATTCCGTGCGAATGAACTAGCTACAACACACAGCAGCAAGCGGACTCTTTCTTTGCCTTGAAAATTACGTTTTCAGACATAGGATATCGCTTTCGTTTCCTGAAAAACGTTTTCTAGCTCTTGGAAATAAAGTACGTTTTCATAATAAGCAGAAGTTTTCTGTCCAGGAGTAATTTGTGGACCAGTGCGTCAGTCTTTAGACCCTGCGTCTGCTTCAGTCGCGCCATCGCTGGAATGAATCTCCAAGAATCACCTTAGTTTGGCTTCGCTGCTTTTCCCCTTGTCTTCTTCTTTCAGCGACCTCAAAAACGGACTTTCTTTTGCGGCGAACTGCTCCTGGATTCTTGTCACCATTGCAACAAACTTTGTGCGAACTGCGAGGAAGATATAGGTCAAAAAAAGCCGCTAAGAACTGTTGCGTTGGTGGAGTAAACAGCGTCTGTGCGTCTTGCGTCTGTGGACTGCGTGACAGTCGTACGTAAACCACGTACCGGCGGCGCAGGCAAGTCAGTTACACTAGAAACGTAGGGAGTTTGATTGACAGCCTGTCAGCTCACAGATAACGAGGCAGTGTCGTTATCTATTGGCAAATGTTTAGCCCCACCACGTCCAGAGTTGATGAATTTTTATTCTCTTTTTTTTGGTCATCATAATTACAAGGCTACTGCACCTCTATAATCTATCATTGACAATTTGAAACAAAAAAAATCCTCCATACAACCTTTAAGCACACAAAAACATCTCTGCATTATGTGCTGTAATAAAGCTGCTCTACGTAACTTTTCCGATCAGCGGAGAGTCTGCCACCTGCTTGTCTCCGTGTAGATGTTAAGGCTTTGTCAAAATGTATTTTTACATTTACTTTATCACATTTTTTATGGCTCAAAACAATTTTAAACATATGGATTCTTCCTGTTTCATCTGTAACATGATCTGGCAGTGTCACCTGCTCGTCTACATTGAGATAGACAAGATTAATGCTGCACTGTGGGACATTCTATCCAAACAAATGGCCTGTTTACGCGAGATTACTTGTGGGTAAAAACGATCAAAATGTTTTAACGGAAGTGCCTTTCGTTTAGACGGTGACGCAGTTTTTGGGGCTTAAAAACACAAAAATCTTTTTATTACCAAATGTTTATTTGTTTTTAATATAACAAATAAACAATACACAAATATCTGTGAAATATCTAAAAAGGTTCGTGGGAAGTAGTCACAACCAGGCAATCACAATTTCACATCAATCAATGCCAGCACACAATGAAGCTAGAGTGAACGTGTCTGTCTATTCCCCGCTTAACATTGTTACAACAAGCTAGAATAACTGTGCCTGTTTATTCCCCGCTCAATAATTGTTACAATGAAGCTAGAACAAATGTGTCCGGTTACTCCCCGCTTAACATTGCTACACACACAATGAGGCTAGAGTAAATGTGTCCGTTTACTCCCCGCTCAACATTGCAATCATCACACAATGAGGCTAGAATAAATATGTCATTCAACATTGTTACAATCATATCAATCAATCAATGGGTTTAAGCATCAACCATCACACAAACTGGCACATAAGAAAATCAAACTCACCGTTGACACTGGGCTGGAGAGCCAACAACCCACGGCAGAGTGGCTTAAACCCGGCTGGGCGTTCGTACGCAACCCGCAGCAGACTCTAAAGTGGGTGCTTTCCCTCCGCCTCTATATATTCTCTTCATGCACCTGTGCGTGCAGAGAGGGCCAGTCTCCACCGCGCACACATACATGGAGGCGCATTCCTGTCCCATGTCCAGTCTTCTGAGACTGGCAATGGGGCAGGGTGCCCTGTTTTTCATAAACACAGTGTCCTTGGCACAAACCCCAACTAAAAGATAGCGAGTTGTATAAGCATAATATTGACTTCGTGCAGGCATGCAGGCCTAGTGAATTGATCTCAGGACCATCTTATATGTTCCCACTACACAGGTCCAGGACAAATTTAAATAAATGAAAGATTAGTGCTCATCAATATCTGCGACATTAAACTTAGACAAACTTAAAACAACAATATTACTGAGCCGCTCAATGGTCTAAAATATAAACCTCATAACAAGGAGGTTTTAAGATCAGATATTGATTGGTTCCAGAACTGAATAGTTGTTTTCTTTTGCATTATGGATACGCACTGTGGACAATTCTATAATAAGCAATGTCCTTAAATGAAAGTAACCACTGGCGATGTGATAAAGAATGATTGCATCTAACAGCAACCATTTTTTTAGCAGCTGTAAGATCTGCCAGAAAAAACAATCCAAGAGAATCCAAACCAAAGGTGAACAGGGAAGATTAGTAGATAGTAGAAGAGACAGACTATTCCTTATTACCTTCCAAAAGTAAAAAACACCTGGGCATTCCCATACCATGTGGAAATAGGTACCTAATGAATTTGTATGGCAAAGAGTACAATTTGGGTGAGTTCTGCACTTATTGAAAAGTCTGGGTGTCATGTACGTCCTGTGAATAAAGTTCAGATGTTAATGTTGATGGTCTGGATTAATCTGATTGACTCTCCACCGTATGTTACTTGCCCATGCTGTAGAGTAAGCAAAAACGAGGAAATCTTCACATAAGAAGTTTTGTCTGATAAAAGAAAATAAAAAAGACCAGACTTTACTGAACTAAATTAAAAATATTATTGATAGAAGAAGAGGAGACACGTCCACACAGCAGGATTTAGTCCTGGTTTAGTCCTGGTTTAGACCTGGTTTAGTCCTGGTTTAGACCTGGTTTAGACCTGGTTTTAGTCCTGGTTTAGACCTGGTTTAGACCTGGTTTGGTCCTGGTTTAGACCTGGTTTAGGGTTTAGACCTGGTTTAGACCTGGTTTAGACCTGGTTTAGTCCTGGTTTAGACCTGGTTTAGACCTGGTTTAGACCTGGTTTAGTCCTGGTTTAGACCCTGGTTTAGACCTGGTTTAGACCTGGTTTAGACCTGGTTTAGACCTGGTTTAGTCCTGGTTTAGACCTGGTTTAGACCTGGTTTAGACCTGGTTTAGACCTGGTTTAGTCCTGGTTTAGACCTGGTTTAGACCTGGTTTAGACCTGGTTTAGACCTGGTTTGGTCCTGGTTTAGACCTGGTTTAGACCTGGTTTAGACCTGGTTTAGTCCTGGTTTAGACCTGGTTTAGACCTGGTTTAGGTCCTGGTTTAGACCTGGTTTAGACCTGGTTTAGACCTGGTTTAGACCTGGTTTAGTCCTGGTTTAGACCTGGTTTAGACCTGGTTTAGACCTGGTTTAGTTTAGTCCTGGTTTAGACCTGGTTTAGAACCTGGTTTAGACCTGGTTTAGTGGTTTAGACCTGGGTTTAGACCTGGTTTAGTTTGGTCCTGGTTTAGACCTGGTTTAGTCCTGGTTTAGACCTGGTTTAGACCTGGTTTAGACCTGGTTTAGACCTGGTTTAGTCCTGGTTTAGACCTGGTTTAGACCTGGTTTAGACCTGGTTTAGACCTGGTTTAGTCCTGGTTTAGACCTGGTTTAGACCTGGTTTAGACCTGGTTTAGTCCTGGTTTAGACCTGGTTTAGACCTGGTTTAGACCTGGTTTAGTCCTGGTTTAGACCTGGTTTAGACCTGGTTTAGACCTGGTTTAGTCCTGGTTTAGACCTGGTTTAGACCTGGTTTAGTCCTGGTTTAGACCTGGTTTTACCTGGTTTAGTCCTGGTTTAGACCTGGTTTAGACCTGGTTTAGTCCTGGTTTAGACCTGGTTTAGTCCTGGTTTAGACCTGGTTTAGACCTGGTTTAGACCTGGTTTAGACCTGGTTTAGCCTGGTTTAGACCTGGTTTAGACCTGGTTTAGTCCTGGTTTAGTCCTGGTTTAGACCTGGTTTAGACCTGGTTTAGACCTGGTTTAGACCTGGTTTAGACCTGGTTTAGTCCTGGTTTAGACCTGGTTTAGACCTGGTTTAGACCTGGTTTAGACCTGGTTTAGTCCTGGTTTAGACCTGGTTTAGACCTGGTTTAGACCTGGTTTAGACCTGGTTTAGACCTGGTTTAGACCTGGTTTAGTCCTGGTTTAGACCTGGTTTAGACCTGGTTTAGTCCTGGTTTAGACCTGGTTTAGACCTGGTTTAGACCTGGTTTAGACCTGGTTTAGACCTGGTTTAGTCAGTTCTGCACTTCATGAGTCTTTCAGTACGTCCTGTGAATAAAGTTCAGATGTTAATGTTGATGGTCTGGAGTCCCAAAAAAACACAAAAATCTGAAACCACCTCCAGAGTGGAAAAGTTACTCTCCACCGTAGTGTTTTTATCTACACTGCCCAAGACGCAAAACTCTGGTCAGATCTGCTCAGGTCACGTACACGTTTATGTTACAAACGGCACCACCGAGCATCACCACCGAACCGCGTGGCAGGCATACGCAATCCAATTCTACACACTTTTGCGTCACCGTATGCACGCAGATTTCCTCCTGAAAACAGTCGTCTAAACGCGGAATAAAAAGTGAAGACGCAACACCACTTTTACGTCTTCTGTTCAGACCGTCAGCATATTAACGTAGCCAAAGTCCAGTGTTGGGAAGGTGACTTTTCAAATGTAATCCCCTACAGATTACAGATTACATATCCCAAAATGTAGTTTGTAACGTAATCCATTAAATTACTTAAAGTGAGTAATGTAATCTGAATACTTTGGATTACTTGATTTGCTGTAGAGAAGCAAAAACGAGGAAATCTTCACATAAGAAGTTTTGTCTGATAAAAGAAAATAAAAAAGACCAGACGTTACTGAACTAAATTAAAAATATTATTGATAGAAGAAGAGGAGACACGTCAGGATTTAGTCCTGGTTTAGTCCTGGTTTAGACCTGGTTTAGACCTGGTTTAGACCTGGTTTAGACCTGGTTTTAGACCTGGTTTAGTCCTGGTTTAGACCTGGTTTAGACCTGGTTTAGACCTGGTTTAGTCCTGGTTTAGACCTGGTTTAGACCTGGTTTAGTCCTGGTTTAGACCTGGTTTAGACCTGGTTTAAGTTTCCTGGTTTAGCCTGAGAAAGGGATATAGTCCAAAATGTGAAAACAGGAAAATACCTCCATTTAATCCATTGTAATCCATTTATTCCAACAAAGTAACTGTAATCCAATTACCACTCATTGAAACAGTAACTGTAACTGAATACAGTTACTCATAATTTGTACTCTGATTACATAACTCTGGTACATGTAATCTGTTACTCCCCAAGACCAAAGTCATAAGATGGAGACAAGCAGGTGGTGGCCTTTTACCGGTAAAGTTACATGGTGCATCTGCAGACACTAAGTAATTAAATTCATTTTATTTAACCTTTCTTTAAAAGTTTATTGTGTAACTTTTCTGGTGGAGGGACTGTCACCTGCTTGTTTCTATGGATATGTGATTGCTCTGCCTGGAATGTTCCACAGTATTAAACAGCTCTACTTTACATTTATTAAATTACAGGTGGTTTTATCGCTCAAAAATACCTAGAAAAACTGAGTGGGGTCGCCACTTCACAGATCTGACCTGTAACTTGGTCTGGTTTGGTCTCCGTGAATAAAAAGGTTTAAAACCACATTGAAACTTTCCAGACAAAGCAATAACATCTCCATGGGGAAAAGCATTTGATGAACCCTCCACCAGAAAAGTTACACAATGCACCTTTAAGCACGAATGTCCCGCTGAGCTTTAAAAATGTATTTTTCAAGAGATAAAACACACAGGTGTAAAGCAGACAGTATCAAAGTAAGAGACAGCGACAGTTCACTGATTGCATTTTGAGGTTTTTCAGGAGTGTGTCAGAGATGAGTCAGAGGTACAAGGTTTTCTGCAGAGGTTCAATCACAGGAGCACAAAACTGAAAATACACTCTGTCTCTGTCCTGACACAAGGGACAAAAACTCTCCTCTTATTTTATTATATTACGTTCTACACTTTTTATTGTTTTTGTTTCTTTTTACTTGTTCTGTCATGTTTGAAATAAAAGTGTTCAATTAAGTAGGAAGTATTTTGTTGAAATTGGAAACTGTGTCTCAGATCACATGGCCCTGACCTGTGGGGTGCCTCAGGGGTCAATCCTGGGCCCCCTGTTGTTCAATCTCTACATGCTGCCACTAGGCCAGTTAATAAGCAGCGATAACGTGTCCTACCACAATTATCCACACGACACTCAGATCTACGTCTCTCTGGCAGCAGGAGACGATGGACCAGTGGACTCACTTGGTCACTGCATCCAACAGATCAGTGTGTGGATGCAAAACAACTTTCTCCAGCTAAACTCTGACAAGACTGAAGTCATAGTGTTTGGTCCACAGAAACAAAGGGACAGTGTCAGCATCACCTCCAGTCTCTCTCTCTAAAACCTTCAAATCAGGCAAGAAATCTAGGGGTAATAATGGACTCAGACTTGAACTTTAACAACCACATCAAATCAATAACATCTGCAGCCTTTTACCATCTAAAAAACATAGCGAAAATCAAAGGTTTACTGTCTAAATCAGACTTGGAGAAACTTATCCATGCGTTTGTCTCCAGTAGATTAGATACTGTAATGTTCTGCTCACTGGTCTCTCCAAACGAGCTGTGAGACGCTGCAGAACATCCAGAACATCCAGAACATCCAGAACATCCAGAACATCCAGAACATCCAGAACATCCAGAACGCTGCAGCTCGGGTCCTGACTCGAACTAGGAAGTACGAGCACATAAGTCCTGTGCTCAGGTCTCTGCACTGGCTCCTGTGGCTCAGAGACTTTAAAGCGTCTCTGTTTGTACAAGTGTCTCCATGTCCGAGCACCAAAGTCCATCTGTGACATGTTAGTGTCATATGAACATCTCACACTCTGAGGAGCTCAGGGACCAACTCCTGCTGGTGCCCAGAGTCACGACTAAACAAGGGGAGTCAGAGTTTCAGGTTCATGCAGCTAAAACCTGGAACAGTCTGAACATGTGAGACAGACTCTTCTGTGACGCTGTTTAAATCCAGACTCAAAACATTTCTGTTTAACTGTGCATATAACTGAAAGGTTTTCATTCCGCACTCTTCTCTCCAATGTATGTCTCTCTTTTTTAATTTTAATCTTCATGATTATTTATGTTTTGATTTGTTTTTATTATGATTTTAATGTATTTCTTATTCTGTAAAGCACTTTGAATTTCTTTGTGTACGAATTGTGCTGTACAAATAAACTTGCCTTGCCTAATCAAATCTTTTTTTCCAGGCTCTGGTTTGGACGACATCATGACGCCTGAAGAGAAACAGAAACTCTACACGGCCATCGGGTACAGCGGCAGCTCCCACAACCTGACTCTGCCCAAAGAGGTACGCCCCCTACAGGCCTGTGTTAGGGTTAAGGCCTATTCATGCTTCATAAGAACATAAAACTTTTTTTCTTGTTCTTGTTCATGAATTTCTTGCCATTTGGCGTCTTTGTAGTTACTGAGCGTCGAGTTGTACAGATGTTTGTATTTTCTCACCATTTACGCCAGCTGTGACTTTTTTCTTGTTCCGCATTAGTGAGGAAAAAGAAAACTCACCAAAATAAATAACCAGTCAGAGCGAAGATGATGGACAGTGTGGCCGAACTGTCGAATAAAGTTCTGCTCAGCTGTGGTTTCAAGAACAAGCCGCAAGAGTTTTGTTTGGCCAGGCCTGGGTGCAAAAAAAAGTTCTTTTATGTTCTTATTAAGTATGAATAGGCCTTTAGTCCACAGCCATTTTACATAAATATACAAAAGCATGTAAATACACAACAGATGCGATGTGCAGCAGTAGTTTGATTAACTTAAAGCATGATTATTATGATGTGATAGTCCTCTGAAGGGAAGTGAAACTATTTAAACATTTTAATATTTTAATATGTTAAGGTAACATGGTGATCTAAATATATTATTACCTCCGCCAAGGAGGTTATGTTTTTGCCGGCGTTTGTTTGTTTGTTTGTCTGTTAGCAACATAACTCAAAAAGTTATGGACCGATTTTGATGAAATTTTCAGGATTTGTTGGAAATGTGAAAAGGAAGAACTGATTTCATTTTGGGGGTGATCTGGAAGAAATCCTGGATTCTGGATCACTTTGAAATTTTAGTTAACATTGTGGTAAATGGGGCCAAAAATTTTGTTTCTCAATATCTCGGTTAATTATTGACCAAACCCCATGAAATTTGACTCAGGGATGGACAATGGGATCCTCTTTCATATTCCAAAGGCTGATCCGGATCTGATCCAGAAGACTGATTTTATCGCAATTTATATAAAAAATGGGGGTAGTCCTTGGCGGAGGTCTGCGCTCTCTGACTGCTTTTCTAGTTATTGTTAATAATTACCGTATTTTCCGCACTATTAGGCACTCTGGATTATAAAACGCACTGTCATTAAATGGTCTATTTTTGAACTTTTTTCACAAATAAACCACACCGGACTTTAAAGGAAACACAACAGTGTGATGGGTGAGTGGTTTTGTTTGTTTGTTCGTTCACAGTGACTCTGGGCTTTGTTCAGTTGTGGCGTGTAGGGAGGGTGTGTCTGGGACCAACGGATTGTCGGCGTGTTCGCAGTGACTCAGTTGTTCAGTCGTGTCTAGAAGTGGCACATTGCACTCGCTTTTTCGGTTCGTTCCTCCGTTCCGTTCCTCGTCGGTGTGGAGTGATGAGTGTGTCTGTGGGTGTTTTTCGCCGTGCGGTCGCTGTCTGCTCCGTGTGTGTTTGCGTGTTCTGCGGGTGGTGCGGCTTTGTAGTTTACTGAGGTCGTACTGGGACACCCGAGTGGATTCGTGTATGGGACGATCGTTTTTTGATGCGGTTAGAGGCTTAAGAGCGCGTCTAATAGCCCGGAAAATACGATAAGTGAAATCCGCCCTCTTTAATGACCCGTCCCTTTGTCTCTTTGTTGGTCTGCAGTACGTGGCTGTGGTGGTGCAGTTCCAGCTGCTCCGGACCTCAGTGACCATCAGAGAAAAACCTGAAGTTCCTGAAATCCTCAAAGTTCAGATCATCGACCTGAGCACCAAGATCTCCCAGAGACCAGGAGCCCAGGCCGTCAGGTGAGACACAAACACAAACTCACGCCTCATTTACACCAACTCCATCAAGACCCGTGACAAAACAGCAGGTTTTACATCTCCTCGACATTTTCATACATACTTAAGATTTATCGCATAAAATAAAGCCTTGGGATGTTTACAAAAGCACACACATTTCTACCAGCGCTGGGCTTTAGTTTATACTTTCACTTCAAGGCGAGACTGTCGAGCACTTGTTGAACGCTGAGGGGAGAAAGCACGGTGGTTTATGGATTTACAAAGAAGACGACTGAATACAGGAACAGAGGAGGAGAGGCCAGAGGAGTAGAAGAGAGAGAGTTGAAGGAGAGTTGGTGTAAATGAAGTGTTACAAATGATAAATATTGTTTGTTTTAGAAATATTATGAAGTTGTGTTAATGTAGTGTCCTTTTGTTGTAATGTTTTTATTATAAATACTAATTTTGTTGTGTACCACTGGAGTGGACCCCAAAAACAGACTCAGAACGAGGGCAAAAATGCAAAAAAGAAACAAAGGTTTATTGACGAGGCAGGATAGGCAGTGGAGGAGCGAGGAGCCAGGAGCTGGAATGCCGGAGTCTTCCACAGCGGGAACTAGGAAATACAAAAATGCAGGTAAGTAACAGGAAGCGACGTAGAAACAAAAACTGAGCCGACTGGTAGAATCACCATCAGGTAGACGAAACAATCTGGCAGAGTCTGGCTGGAGAGCTGGGCCTTTGTAGCAGGCTTGATTGCAGATGGAGAGCAGGTGCTCCCAGCAGACTCCGCCCACATCCACACAAGGAAGACTCAGGACAGGCAGGGGCGTGACAAATTTACCCTTTGTAGGAGTCTAAAGATGATTTTATTTTGGGCCTCTGACACCATGGAGATGTTATTGCTTTGCCTGTAATATTCCAGAGTTATTATTACTTATATAATATTATTATATATTATTACCATATACGTGCAGCATTTTGAAGCCCAACTTTGTGCACTAATAAATGAACAATCGTTTGTTTTATAGGCATCTAAATAGGATTACTTTTTTAGTTACACAATGCATTTATTCAGCATTTCTCTCTCAAAAAAACACTTTGTTATTGATAATTTACACAAAACTTTCGAAAATAATAAATACAGGCTACAACAAGAATTTAGAATTGATTTATTTGGTGGATAAGCCCCTTGAGATGTCTTGCCATCTCGTTTTCGAGGGGGTCCTCACAACAACAAAAGACTATCTTGGAGCAGTTTTGCAATGTGTAAAACATAAAATGAATAAAATGCACTGTGAACATGAAATAAGGCACAGAAAAACATGAATGTATCCAAAATAACCTATATATCCAGCTGTTCTCTTTATTTAAAAAATTAAATACTTATTCATATATTTTTTTTTAAATCCCAAAATACACTTTGTTAAGTTTAAATCGTTAAATTCTTTCAACTTGATTATATGAGTTTGGAGATCGTTTGACGCACCAGAGGAAAAAGTTTGGAGACTCCTGATTTAAAACTTGCTTTGGTTCTTTGGTGAGTGGAGTTGCGTCTCCACCACAGTCTTGTGACGTCACCTGTTTGTCTCTTTGGAAATTGATCAGTTCAGTGCAGTGTTGGGAAGGTGACTTTTAAAATGTAATCCCCTACAGATTACAGATTACATACACCAAAATGTAGTTTGTAACATAATCCATTAAATTACTTAAAGTGAGTAACATAATCTGAATACTTTGGATTACTTGATTTACTGTAGAGAAGCAAAGACGAGGAAATCTTCACATAAGATGTTTTATCTGATAAAAAACAATGAAAAGTTCAGACTTTACTTAACCAAATTAAAAATATTATTGATAGAAGAGGAGGAGACACAGCATGGTTTAGTCCTGTTAAATCCTGTTTTAATCCTGGTTTAGACCTGGTTTAGACCTGGTTTTAGACCTGTTTTAGACCTGGTTTAGATTTAGTTTAAAACTGGTTTTAGTCCTGGTTTAGTCCTGGTTTAGACCTGGTTTAGACCTGGTTTTAGTCCTGGTTTAGATCTAGTTTAGACGGGGGGGGGGGGATATATCCCAAAATGTAAAAACAGGAAAATACCGCTGTGTAATCCACTTATTTCAACAAAGTAACTGTAATCTAATTACCACTCACTGAAACAGTAACTGTAACAGAATACATTTACTCATAATTTGTACTCTGATTACGTAACTCCGGTACATGTAATCTGTTACTCCCCAACACTGGTTCCGTGCCATAGTTTAAGAAAATACTGTGGAACATTCCAGGCCAAGCAGTAACATCTCATTGCTGACACCTTTAAAAACGTTCTTCTCCTGTTCGTTTTCAGGCTGGAGGCGACTCTTCAGCACTGGTATGTGACGGGTTTACAGCAGCAGGGGGCAGTACCGTCGCTCATCACGTCTATGGGCGACTCCAGCTCGTCTCTGCTCAACGTGGTGTTTGAGATGAACCCGGAGGAGAGCGCGGCCGACCAGCTGCTCCGGGTTCACTCGCAGCCCGTGGAGATCATATACGACGCGGTGAGATTTGGGAAACTACACCTTTTAATTTACTTTTATACGTAATAAACCAGCTTTGCTTATTTAAGATAAGATAAAACTTTATTAAACGGAAATTTGCTTTAGATATCTGGAGCTGACACCATTTATTTGTAAGTTAATGTCAACACTGTGGGACCAAAACACTTAATACCAGAAGGTTTAATATGTCCTCTTTAAAGCTTCTATATTACACAGAATTTACTCTGATGAGCTTTATGAGCTTATGTGACCTTCTCAAAAACATGAGCAGAGTTTTGTTTTGTTTCATTCGCACGTGCTTGAGTAACCTTTTACACGGTTCCCATAGTCATGGAAATCCTGGAAAAGTCATGGAAATTGAAAATGTCTTTTTCCCAGGCCTGCAAAAGTCCTGAAATCTCTTTCACACAACTACTCTATTTTTTGGACTATAAGTCGCTCCGGAGTGTAAGTCGCACCGGCCAAAAAATGCAAAATGAAGAAGAAAAAAACATATATAAGTCGCAGTTTTTGGGGGAAATTTGTTTGATAAAATCAGAGACCAGGAACCGGCATTTCCTGTTGAAAGTCAAATTATAGTAAAAACAATAGAAGAGAGAACAACAGACTGTTAACTTCACATATGAACAGTTCTTCAGATAAACTATAACATAAACAACAGAACAGAACAAGTTTAACAAACTCTCCATCTCACTCCAAATCACTAAATCCATTCAATTCTTCATCCTCGGTGTCACTTCTGAACTTCTCCGGAGGTAAACAGAGCGTCGCTTCCTCTTCTGTGTCGCTGTCGTCAGACTCAGCATCAGTTCCATCCATCCATCCATCCATCCATTTTCGTCCGCTTATCCGGGGCCGGGTCGCGGGGGGAGCAGCCTAAGCAGGGACTCCCAGACTTCCTTCACCCCAGACACGTCCTCCAGCTCCTCCGGGGGGACCCCGAGGCGTTCCCAGGCCAGCCGAGAGACATAGTCCCTCCAGCGTGTCCTGGGTCCTCCCGGCGGGACATGCCCGGAACACCTCCCGAGGGAGGCGCCCAGGAGGCATCCGGAACAGATGCCCAAGCCTCAACTGGCTCCTCTCAACGTGGAGGAGCAGCGGCTCTACTCCGAGCTCCTCCCGTGTGACTGAGCTCCTCACCCTGTCTCTAAGGGAGCGCCCAGCCACCCTGCGGAGGAAACTCATTTCAAGCGCTTGTATCCGCGATCTCGTCCTTTCGGTCACTACCCAGAGCTCATGACCATAGGTGAGAGTAGGAACGAAGACTGACCGGTAAATCGAGAGCTTCGCCTTTCGCCTCAGCTCCTCTTCACCACAACGGTCCGATACAGCGACCGCATCACTGCCGAAGCTGCACCGATCCGCCTGTCAATCTCACGTTCCGTCCTTCCCTCACTCGTGAACAAGACCCTGAGATACTTGAACTCCTCCACTTGAGCATCAGATCCAGTTAGAATTATTCGGGTCTTTCTGAATCCCGACAGGATGGTTTCGGTGTCGCTGAAGTCCAGACTTTGTCCATCCATCCAGTGACTTCAGGAAAGTTTCATGGTGCATCCTCCCGGTTCCTGTAAAGCTGTGTTCTCCGTCCCCGCTTTTCCACCAGTCCCTCACAAGTTTCTCGCTCACTCCAAACTTTCTTTCTGCTGCTCGATTACCGTTTTTCGGCTGAATATTTCACGACTTGCAGCAGGACAGAGGCTCTTTCTGCAGGAGACATGCGCAGTAGAACTCGAAGTGACAGTGGTGCAGGAGGAACAGGAGCAGCAGATACTCACACACAAGACTAGAGCCTCTCCACGCTTCAGTGCAACATTTTAATATATAAGTCGTACTGTAGTATAAGTCAGAGGAAACACCCGAACAATGAAAAAACTGTGATTTATAGTCTGAAAAATACGGTATCTCTTTCAAACAACTACAGTGTTCTGTTAAGTTCTCATGAGGCTATTATGATTATTTCTGAACGTCTGCGCCTTTTGTTTAGACAATAAATGCACTAACAGGATTTTGAAAGTTTAAAAACTATAATCACAAACCATAAGGTGAGTGGAAAGAGTTCACATTTCATATTTACCCCTAAAAGTCTGATCAGTTCTACACATGCAGGTGCTGTAAAGTCATGGAAAATTCACTTTAGGTCATGAAAAAGTCATGGAAAAGTTTTGAAATTTTGTCAGTGAAAAACGAGTGGGAACTCTGCATTTATTATTAGTCTGTTAGCTCTAGTTTTCACGTTAACAGCTCCTTTTACCTTTAGTTGTTTAGAGATCGGCAATTCCAGGGCTGAAGTGATCCAAATTGTGAAGTGAAGTGAAGCTGCGTGGACTTTAAAAACACAGTGGAGCACTTTCTGTATTACCACATGACATCACAAGGTTTAATAGAGTGTTTTCGGTTTGAGAGAAGAACTCTAAAGCCTAAATCTGCAGGGTTTGGTTGTTAAACATGTGTGAATGAAACAAAACACAACTCCAGGTCTGTTTGTGACGAGGAAACGACAATATAGATCAGAAAATAGAAAAAATAAAGATACTGTACTTTAAGATACTGTTTTTTTTATACTGTTTATATTTCTTGTCCTACAGCTCACAGTGAACAGTATGGTGGACTTCTTTAAGACTGGAAAAGGCGTGGATCTGGAGGTGCTGACTTCTGCCACTTTGTCCAAACTGGAGGAAATCAAAGAGAAAACTGCATCAGGTTTGTCGAATCTTTGGGAAAATGTGGGTTTGCAAAAGTGACTAAAACCAGAAGTGGATGAAGTATACAGTGTTGTTACTTTAAAGCTGCTCTGTGTAACTTTTTGGTTGGGAGTCCATCACCTGCTTGTCTCCATGGAGATGCCATTGCTCTGCCTGAAATATTCCACAGTGTGACTCTACTTTACATTTATTCAATTACAGGTGGTTTTAAAGCTCAAAAATACCCAGAAAAACAAACATTCTGACTGTGAGCGGGGTCGCCTCTCCACTGATCTGACCTGTAACTTGGTCCGGTTTAGTCTCCATGAAGATAGAAAGGTTTAATGCCAAACTGTGGAACATTCCAGACAAAACAACAACACCTAAAAGTAAAAGTACAGATGCAAGGACAAGAAGTTACTCAAGTAAAAAGTAAAAGGATCACATGAAAAAATCTACTTAAGTAAAAGTGTTAAAGCATCTGTTTAAAATGTACTTTAAGATTAGAAAGTAAAAGTATTTTCAAGAGATTTTTAGAACAATTTAAAGACAAAATGTGGTGATTTTGATACAAGAATTTGGCTGGAATTTGGAATTTGACTTCTTATTTTTGACACTTCTAGCAGTTTTTATGTATTGTGCTGCTCAAAGTTGGGACAAAAACTCAAATAAAATGTACTAAAAAAAGAAAACCAGGTCTTAAACCATTAAAAAGTACTTTTTACTTTTCAGTCCAGATCTAAAATGTAGTGGACGAGAAAATACAGACCTGCCTCAAATGCAATGCAGTAAAAGTACAAAGTATCTACTGTAAAATGTATTTGAATAAGGTACAGATACCTACAATTTTTACTTAAATATTGTACTTTTACCTTTGTACTTTGTTACCGTCCACTGAATAAAACTGAAAAGTATAGAATTAAAGTATAGAAACTAGATACTCATTTGAAATAGGTACCAATACTTAAAAATGGTACACAAAAATGCATAAAAATGGTACAAAATTAGACTTTTCCTGAGTAATTTTAGCATAGTCTGGATCTGTATCAATGCTAGAGAAAAAACACATAATGTAAAAACAATATTAAAGAAAAAAATATATATATTTTGTGTTGAAAATTACATTCTGTTGTCTAAAAAAGTGATTTTATTCTAATTGTAGAATTGAAAAATATGTATAATGTATGAAGCCTTTTCCTTAGTTTAAAAATTCAGTTCAAAATTGAAAAAACATAAGGTTCAGATAGAAATATTTATTTATTTTACAACTTTACGGTAATTATTATTGTTGTTTTTCTCTCTTGTAGGTTTATCTCACATCATTGAGACCAGGAAAGTTTTGGATTTGAAGATCGATCTGAAACCTTCATATTTACTGCTGCCAAAATCAGGTTTCTACAGCAAAACATCAGACCTCATCATCGTGGACTTTGGAAGCTTAAAGGTTTGTGTCCAGGAATTCTATAAGATGACGCAGATTTGGTCATTGTGTTCTGTTTTTGTGTCCTTGGGCAAAACACTTCACCCACCTTCCCTGTTTGTGTACAGTGTTGGGAAGTTTCCTTTTAAAATGTAATCCCCTACAGATTACAGATTACACACCCCAAAATGTAGTTTGTAACAGAATCCATTAAATTACTTTTTGCTTCTCTACAGCAAATCAAGTAATCCAAAGTATTCAGATTACTTGATTTGCTGTAGAGAAGCAAAAACCAGGACATCTTCACATAAGATGTTTTGTCTGTTAAAAGTATTAAAAATATTATTGATAGAAGATGAGGAGACACGGTCCGTGCAGCATGGTTTAGTCCTGTTCAATCCTGTTTGAAACATGGTTTAGTCCTGGTTTAGATCTGGTTTTAGTCCTGGTTTAGACCTGGTTTAGACCTGGTTTTAGTCCTGGTTTAGGCCTAGTTTAGACCTGCTTTAGACCTGGTTTGGACCTGGTTGTGACCTGGTTTTAGTTCTGGTTTATTCCTGGTTTATTCCTGGTTTAGTCCTGCTTTAGTCCTGCTTTAGTCCTGCTTTAGTCTGGTTTAGTCCTGGTTTAGACCTAGTTTAGACCTGCTTTTAAACCTGGTTTAGACCTGGTTTAGTTTCCGGAAATGAGTGGAATTACCAAACAAACAAAAAATTCATTAATAAAAAAAATGAAAGGGGAATAGCCCAAAATGTGAAAACAGGAAAATACGACCATGTAATCCATTTATTTTAACAAAGTAACTGTAATCCAATTACCACTCACTGAAACAGTAACTGTAACTGAATACAGTTACTCATAAATTGTACTCTGATGATGTAACTCTGGTACATGTAATCTGTTACTCCCCAACACTGACTGTGTATGAAGATGGTGTAGAGTCAGTCTCAGAGAATCCATGTGAGGAGCGCAGAAAACTATTCACTTTTGTTGTTATTTTAAAGATGCACTGTGAAGTAACTTTTCTGGAGAGGGTCTGTCATCTCCTGTCACCATGGTGATGTTATTATTTTGCCTGGAATGTCCCACAATGTTGCATTAAACTAATATATCCTGCACTGATTCAATTAAAGGTGTTTTTATTGCTCAAAAATGCCTTAAAAAGATGTATACTCATGCTGAGCTGACTTTAACTCATCCTGGTTGTGTCTCCTGCTTTTATAATTAGCACTAGATATGTTTAATGCCATACTGTGGAACATTTCAGGCAAAGCAGTAACAGTAACTTTAAAATACCAACTATAGTGAATAGTTTTATCGTCTCCACACATGGATTCCCTGAGACAGAGCCAAATTGTAAAGTGTTTATAAAAGTCCAGTGCTTTATTATTCTTGGACAACAGAAGCTTTTTAGTTTTACAACAGGCCTCACTCATTAACTCGTCTTTTTGGTTCTTTGCAGTTGAACAGTGTGGAGCAGAGCGTCCTTAGCCCCGCCCCCTCCTCGTCTCTGGAGGAGATCATGGACCGAGCCTACGAGAGGTTCAGCGTCCAACTCAGGAAAGTCCAAGTGCTCTACAGCAAGTCCGGTCAGTCTTTAACTTTAATATTTACTTTAGGTTCAGTCGTGTTTTGCTCAGAACCAGACCTGGTTATTTATACATTCATACACCAGAGTTTATTATTACCATTTATGTTTTTGTTCTGTGTTATTTATATTGTTATCGTGATATGTAGGGGTGTGCTGAAATATCGATATATCGATATATCATATATTTTAATGTGATGTTACAGTATCAATATTGTGCTTGTTCAGTGAAAAGAAACTTGTTTTTGCCACACATTTGACATTTTCACAGTTTTAATGATTCAAATGGTCGTATTTCAGATTCACATTGCACAAGAAGTGGTTTAACAAAGACTTTTTGAATGACAGCCATGATTTAGCTTTTATTCTTTATTGAACCGTATCAAATCGATCTGACATATATTGTATTGAATCAAAAGCTCACTGTATTGAGATATGTATGATATCGGCAAGTCGCACCGGACTATAAGTTACACTTTCTGGCGGAAATTTATTTTATAAAATCAGAGACCAGGAACCGACATTTCATCATAAAAGTCAAGTTGTAGTAAAAACAACAGAAGAGAGAACAACAGGCTGTTAACGTCACATATGAACAGTTCTTCAGATAAACTATAACATAAACAACAGAACAAAACAAGTTTAACAAACTCTCCATCTCACTCCAAATCACTAAATCCATTCAATTCTTCATCCTCGGTGTCACTTCTGATCAACTTGGCCTCGACGTCTGCAGGTAAACAGAGCGCCGCTTCCTCTTCTGTGTCGCTGTCGTCAGACTCAGCATCAGTTCCAGTTAGAATTATTCGGGCCTTTCTGAATCCCGACAGGATGGTTTTGGTGTCACTGAAGTCCAGGCTTTGTCCATCCATCCAGTGACTTCAGGAAAGTTTCATGGTGCCCAGTTACCTTGAAGCTGTGTTCTCCATCCCAGATTTTCCCCAGTCCCTCACAAATTTCTCGCTCACTCCAAACTTTCTTTCTGCTATTCAATTACCGTTTTTGGCTGAATATTTCACTTCTTGCAGCAGGACAGAGCCTTTTTCTGCAAGAGACATGCGCAGTAAAGGGTGAAGTGACAGTGATACAGGAAAAACAGGAGCAGCAGATACTGACCCACAAGTCTAGAGCCCCCTCTGTCGGCTGTCAGTGTAAAAAAAATGTATATATAAGTCGCAGGAAACACCCAAACCATGAAAAAAAGTGCGGCTTATAGTTTGAAAAATACGGCATGTCCAAGTAATTTCCCTTGTGGATCTAAGTCTAAAATCAGAGCCTATTATGGTTCTCATTGATTTATTTGCAGCTGGATTCTTCCCTCATATTTAACTTCATTAGCTTTTATTTGACTACATAAATATAATAATTTTTTTCTTACAAAAATACGAGTCCAGTGAAAGCTTGTACTGATATTTTTTCCTTTCCTGTGTGTCAGGAGATGCGTGGAGAGCGGCGCGTCAGCAGAGCTCCTCCGTGCAGCACGTCCTTCGGCCCATGGACTTTAATCTGCAGCTGGCCAAGAGCATGGTGGACAACGACGCCCGCATGCCCAAGTACACTCAAAACACTCAGGAGTTCAACCTTTAATTCAACACGTGGCTTATATTTAAACATTTAACCTTGTATTTCAGGTTCAAAGTCTCAGGAGAGCTTCCTCTGCTTCATGTGAAGATCTCAGACCAAAAGATCCAGAGTCTGTTTGAGCTCGTGGACAACATCCCCCTGCCAAACATGGGCTCTGCTCCCTCCACGCCCACAGACAAGGTAAACATCTGTCACTAAGGATGTAACAATAACAGAAATATCATGATATCGTATCGTCAAAGTTCTCACAAAAATATCGTGAACCGTCACAATATATCGAATTACAAGTCTCTTTGCTTAAATGAAGAGTTATGGTGCAGCAACAGCTAAAAAAAGACAGAAAACTACATAGACCATGATCCTTTGCTCCATTTCAGTGCAGACGACAAGAAGAAATAACAGTTCTAACACTTTTAAGTCTTAATTTTTTGGATTAAGTCTTGTCAGGCATTTTAAGAGGAAAAAGTAACATAATTCAGTTTTGTTTGTAGCCTCCACAAAATATCGTAATAAATATCGTACCGTGAGATGTATATCGTGAAAATATCGTACTGAGAGATTTGGATATCGTTACATCCCTAATCATGAGCTTTCCCTCAATATTGCAATAAATATCGTACCGTGAGATTCATACCGTGATGATATCGTATCGTGAGATTTGGATATCTTTACTGTTATATATTTAACTAAACAAATAGGAAAACACTCATTTAAATATAAAGCTCCTTCTGATCGGAACAATCTTCCTTCATCGATTCGTGCATTAACTTCTGTCCCTTCATTTAAAAATGTTCTGGTTCAATATTTACAGAACCCATGTCATTGTTTTTGATCATTTGTTGAATTTTCATTGTTCATGTTGTTGTGATTATCTTTGAACTGTTCTTTGTTTTAGTTTTTTTTTTCTCAAACTTGTTTAATTATGTGTCAAACAGTCAAGTGTGAGTGAGTTTGTGTTCGTGGTTGTGTTGATTTTGTTGTTTTTATGCTTATTTGAAGTTATGTCTCCTACTGTGCTCTGTCTTTTGTTGTTGTATTTATGAGGAGCCCCTTGAAAACGAGATGGCGAGACATCTCAAGGGGCTTATCCTCCAAATAAATAACTTCAAATTCAAATACATTTAATCTAATATACACTTAATAATGTCAGGTTTGAATTAAACAGAATGAAACTTTTTTTTTTTTTTTTTTTTTACCAGGTCCTGTCCTTGGTTGAGTCCAGACCCAGAGCTTTGAATCTTCAGAGTGCCATTCTCCCAAACATAGAAACAGGTTGGTCTTATACTAGTTTCACAATTTTTATATTTGTATAACATTTAAAGTACAGGATTTTTCAACACTGGGTGAATTTATTTAACCATTCTGGCCTAAAAAGAAAATTGTGAGCTATTTAGGAGACAAAGTAGACTCAGTGGTGTAAAAAGAATGTGATTAATGGCAATAAACAAACAAAAAAACAAACGACTGCCCAGTGTTCGCTGTAACGGTGCCGTTTCATCAAAAACACCTTGAGTGTGTTTCATTCTTTATTATGAGGACTTTTGTATTTAGCCTTATTTACGCCGTTTCTCTCCTCTGTGTTTTTGTGACAGACTCAGAGGAGGACGTCAGTGAGAAATCTCAAGACGAGGATCATCAGCACGTCCCGGAGGAGCTCACAGAAGTGCAGTTCAAGTTCGAAGTCAAAGAGGTTTGTGTTTTTCATTAAATTCAATCAAAATCGACTCTTGTGAGCTTTAAGTCCTGTTATAATGTTGTTACCTCCTCAAAAACAGACCTGGATTTGTGTCTACCTTTGATTAGGAAACAACATCGGAACATAGATCAGAAAATAGCGTAATAAAGGCCTTTTAATCAAGTGTTTTTATAACATTTTGTCAATAAAACCTCACACTGTATACATGTATATTTGTCGTGTTCTTCAGGTGTTACTGGAGCTGACGCAGCAGGTGGACCAGGAGAGGCCGGTGCTGTTACTGAGCGTGTGTCAGCTCGGAGCAGAGGGACGAAAACGCAGCTACGACCTCAGCGCCACCGCGTATCTAAACAAGATCACGCTCGACTACTGCGACGTGCCCGGTAACTGCGGATACTGATACATGATACTCCACCGTGTTTGTAAAAGTGTGCAAATCATCCTTAGACAAACAGACAAACAGAGAAAGTGAAAAAGACTTTACTTTTGTGTTAAGTGTTAAGTTTCGTGTTCAGAATCCATTGGGTTAACGTTAGGCCAACTGAAAAAAATCTGTAATGAAAGTTATAAAGCGATAATTATTGAGAACAGATGGATCCAGATGGGCAATAATAACAGAATTTAAGAGCACGTAGTAATTATTTCTGAGCCCGGTGATTTCAGCTTCTATATTTCTTCCTTTTCCCTCATTTGTCCAGCTGGCAGAAGTCCTCTGCACCTCATGAGGTCGTCAGAGCAACACGGCTGCACTCTGCTCAAAGTGGAGTACACCAGGGTAAATACAAACTACACAAGCCTAGGTTTATATTTCTTTTTGATTTATTTTTTGTTTTGGTACATCGTCGCTGCCAAAAATCTACACATTTACACGTTCTGTTACTTTTATTTATTCTAGTCGCAATTATATATAAATATAGATATACCCTAGATAAAAACAGTCTTTTTATTATATATAACTCGCTGGTAATGCCCTACATAACCTACGGTATTGAGATTTGGGGCAATACATATAATACGAAACGAATACAAAGCCAATCTTTACCCTACAAAAAAAGGCAATAAGAGCAATCACATTATCAACTTATAACGAACCAACCAATGCATTATTTATAAACCTTCAAACGCTGAAATTTTATGATTTAGTCTTTACCTTTACACTCTTAAAATCATGTTCAAAGTAAACAACAATCTCCTGTCGAAATCGTTACAGAACATGTTCAAAATCCGAAAGAGCCGATACGAGCTCAGAGGCACGACCATGTTTATTAAAAAGAAAAAAAGAAGAACAAACATTATGAAATTTTGTATATCTGTTAAAGGGGTGGAGCTCTGGAACAACTGTACAGAAAACCTAAAATTGTGCACCACTTTCTTTCACTTCATAAAGAAGTTTAAATGTTTAACTCTGGACAGATACATGAAATATGAGACTTAGTTTGTGCTGTAGAACTTTGTTGTTCTGTTACTGATTAGCTTGTTTCTTCCTGCTGTATTTATGAAGATGAACTGATGAAGATGAACTGGTGTCAAGATGAAGCTCTGACAAAGGAATAAAGGGTAAAGGCATAATAAACTTAAGCTTCAGCCTGCACCTTTTCGGTCTGTATATGTTAAATATGACTGTTTATGAATTAATGTCAAAATATACCTGTGACCGAAATAAATAAATAAATAAAAAATAAATAATAAAATAAAAAAAATAGTCAAAAGGCAGTTACCCCATAGCCAGGCTGACATCATCTAGTGCCTCCGCTCAATTTCATTTCTTTCCAGTGACTAGATCAGGAATCAGAATACACTAGACGGTTTACAAGAAGCCCAGAAGTTGTAGACCGCACACCGGCCAATCAGCAAAGAGCTGTGAAGTCATGACGTCAAACTCTTCACGTCTGTCTGGGTCCCTTTTGTGGAACAGCACAACAGTAAACAAAGCCTCGAGATGGATGTAGACGAAGACAGACATTCTGTGTTTGCAACGATTCACGAGATCGAGGATTTTCACTCTCTGCTTTGTTTGCTGTTGTGCCGGCAATTACTTGGACACCACTGAGCTTTCCGGAGCATTACATACGTCACGACCAAATAGCAGCGATTGGTTAAATTAAAAAAACTACCCACCTACCGTCATGTGAATGAATCCTAACGCTGTGAGGTCAGACGGTTTCTGCGAAGTGAAGCCGGCTGATGAATCAGTTAGTTACCCCATGCAGTTAGTTACCCCGTGTGTCGTGAACTCATTAGTGAAAAAAGTGAGACTGAGTAATATTGGCCACGTGTTTTATGACATATAATAATAATATTAATACATCAGATTTATATACACTCAAAGACTCTTTACAGAGCATTTTTCTGTTTTTATTTAAGATACTATTGTAGTTACAGCTGCCCTGGGACAGACAGAAGAGAGGCTGCCAATCAACGCCATCAGCTCCTCCAACCAGCACCAACACTCACACAAACCACATTCATACAGGTCCTTGCCTAAGGGCACAACAGCAGTTTTTACACTAACGCACCCCTGTGGCACCTGGTTTTCTTAGTGGTCTCCTATCCAAATACTGACCAGGCCCTGTCCTGTTTAACTTCTGAGATCTGACGAGATCAGGCTGTGAAAAGCCGGTATGGCCACTTATGGGAAACATGTTTTTTATTTAAACTTTTGAAACATTTTCATTCTAGGCCGACCCCTGTGGCCCCAGCTTCCAGACTCAGTTTGCAAACACAGAACAAACTCTAAAGGTGAGTTTTTGGATGACATGTTTTCTTAACTTTTACTCCACAAATCCATATTTTTGTTGTTTTGTTTTGTTGTCCATTGTTTTGTTTTGTTCACATCTCCTCCTCTTTATTCCAGGTGGAGTTCTCGGCTCTGGACTTCCTGCTCCACACCAAAGCTCTTCTGTCCACAGTGAACTTCATGCACAGTGCCACACCCCCAAAGCTCAGGGCTTCAGCGGAGAGAGACGCCAAGAAGCAGGTGGAGAAGACAACACAGGGAAAGACTGGTGAGCACCAAAGAGAGCTGCACTGTAAACGCTGTAGAGAAATATCACCACTGACCTGTTTTTGGTTTTACACAGTGTCCAAAGGGGCCAAAGATGCAGATATCTACAGTTTTAAGCTGTTTGCGATGTTGGGCTGTTTCCATGTGGTGGTGTGTGATGACAGCAAGAGCATCGCAGACATCAGAGTCCAAGGTAAGAACAGTCTGTAGTCTGTAGTGTCTTATAACAGTCTGTAGTCTCTTTATTAAAGGCAGTTTACATTATACTCAGCTGTCAGTCTGGTCTGCCTCCCTGACACAGTGAGACGTGTTATAATGTGATGGGAGCCAGAGGGAAGCAGCAATACGCTCACGAGGAAACATTATCTTATCCTATGCCAAAATATGTTATATCTATTTAAATTTTTTTAATGAAAATTTGTACATTTAGACAAATGTAAACATGCCAGATTATAGCTTTTCTTCTGCAGAACCCCTGACATAGCCTGATTCACTTAGTAGAAACTGTCTGACCTCGCAGTGTTAGAATTCGTGCAGCGGTAGGTGGGTACTTTTTATCATTTAACCAATCGCTGCTATTTGATCATGACGTATGTAATGCGCCGCTAACAGGGCTAACTGGTTTATTAAAGGTTGTATAGAGGATTTTTTTAAGGGAAGAGAAATACAGCGACAGTCCTTGTGCGCATTGAGAATTACTGTTGAAGTTTCCTGTCTAGAAGTAATTCAGCGACCGACGCGTCAGTTTTTAGACGCTTCGTCTGCTTCGGTCGCACCATCGCTGGACGAGATCTCCAAGAATCACCTCAGTTTGGCTTTGCTCCTTTTCCTCTTCTCTTCTTCTTTCAGCGACCTCAAAAACGGACTTTCTTTTGCGGCGAACCGGTCGTAGATTCTCGTCCGCCGTCGCGACAAACTTTGTGCGAAATGCGAGTCAGTTACACTAGGGAGTTTGATTGACAACCTAACAGCCAATAGAAAATGAGGGAGCCTCGTTTTCTATTGGCTGATGTTTATCTGGCCTCAACACGTCCACAGTTGATAGATTTTCGTTCTTTTTTTTTTTGGTCATCATAATTACAAAGCTGCTGCGTCTCTGTAACGGTGTTTTAATCTTTCACTGACAATTTGAAACTAAAAAAAAATCCTCCATACAACCTTTAAGTTTTTCACAAATCCTGTAGGAAGAAGGACAATAACTTTTCCCCTTGATAAAATTCACCAAACATTCTTTTTGTTCAGGATTTAAATCCTCGATCTTGGGAATTATTGCCCAACACTGAATGTCTGTCTCTTCGCTGATTGGCTGGTACCTGAACTCGCACTTCCAGGGTTTTTTGCGAACTGTCTAGTGTATTCCGATTTCTGACCTAGTCGCTGGAGAGAAATGAAATTGAGTGGAGACACTAGGTGGCGCCAGACAAAACATGAAGCCTATATAGTATGAATATATCATAGAGACTGTAATATATTTAAAATGTCACAGATCGCAGCATACTCTGTTCTGAAAAAGTTGGGACATGAGGTCAAAAGGGTTAAGAACCTCTTCTCCAGTGCATACTTTTGTTGTGTCCTAAGGCAAGACACTTTGCTCACCTTCTATAAATGTGGTGCATGAGTGTGTTGGTGGTGAGAGCTCGGCAGTCAGTCTGTCCCGGGGCAGCTGTGACTAATGTAACAAATGTTCATTACTCACCACCAATGACTGTGAAGTGAATGAATAATGCAGAAAATTGTGGAGCGACTTTGAGCGTCTGGAAAAGCTCCGTGTGAAACTAAAGCTGGTGTTGCGCGTTTCAGGTATCGATGCTTCGGTGGTGGTGCAGCCAAAAGAGACTGAGGTCTTCGCTCGGCTCAGAGACATCGTGGTCACAGACGTCAGCCCCGACACCATCCACAAAAAGGTACAAGACTCTAGACTCCGTGTTTCGCAGATCTGTTTTGTTCTCTGCTCTCTTTGACCCCATTCTCTCTCTCACCTGTGTTTTTCAGGCGGTGTCGATCATGGGAGAGGAGGTGTTCAGTTTTAAGATGTCCCTGTTTCCCGAAGCGACGAAAGGCGAAGGCTACAGAGACATGAGCAAAGTGGACGGGAAAGTGACGCTGCGAATGGGCTGCATCCAGATCATCTACCTGCACAAGTTCCTCATGTCCATGCTGGTCAGACTCTCTCACACAAACTCAAACAGAGACACACAATACACTCTATATAATGGTTTAACATGAAAATTCTGATGTTTTGGTTAGATATTATTTGCCCATTTTGCTTTGTTTTATTCAAATGTTTGTTGTTTGTCTAAATTAAATGTTTTATGTCTGTTTTCCGCTTACGAGTCAAATTTGAGCCAGTTTCAGCGATTAAAACAAGTTGGTTAAATCCTAAAAGGACTTTCTCTGATCTGAACAGTCACTATCTAAACCTCAGCAACCGCAGCCAATCATGAGTCAGTGCTAGTGCAGCCTCTACAGCTCAGTGAGTGATTTTCTGGAGGTTCTGAGCTTTCACATGAGGCACTGAGGCATGGCCCGTCCACATACTGAGACAAACTTGTATGTGTCTCTATCTGCAGGTTAAGGCTCTAGAGCAGTGTTTCCCAAAGTCTGGGTCGCAAGAGATATTAATTTTTTTGGGTCGCCTTGTCACGATCTGCATGTCTGTCTGAAATAAACAGTTCTGACATGTGAGGTTTTCTGTGCTTACAAAAATGAAAACAAAGCACAGAAACTGAACTGAACTCTGCTCCTGATCTGCTGCGATGCTTTCCTCCTGCACCCCCGGACAGTTCAGTTGAATGTTGAAAAGAAAAAGAAATGGGCTACATTTAATGTCCAAATAGGCGACTTATGGATCTTTTTATTGCTGCTTCAATTACCGTTTTCATTGTTTAAAACTTGAGTCATACTAATTGTCCAGTCAACAATAAAATATCCTCATTAATGTTCAATAATGAATAATAATAATAATGCATCAGTTTTATATAGCGCTTTTTTGGACACTCAAAGACGCTTTACAGAGCATTATTCATTCACTCCAGACCCGGTGATGGTAAACTACTACTGTAGCCACAGCTGCCCTGGGGCAGACTGAAGGAAGCGAGGCTGCCAATCTGCGCCATCGGCCCCTCCGACCACCACCATCACTCACTCTCACACCACTTTCATAATAATGCTCAAATCCACCTTTATTTTGTGATTTACGAATAACATCTTTTGACTTTGGTCGTGAAGGTTTGTGACTTTTAAAATATGGGGCCCCAGAAAAAAAGTTTGAGAAACACTGCTCTAGAGACACCTGTTCAGTTGTGTTTGTGGTAACTTTAACAAACAAGGTTACACATAGTTCCATTAAACTACAATGCACATGACCCTCACTTAATTAAAGCGTTAGTCACAATAACCTGCACGGGTCGATACAAGCAGTTCACGGGCGATTTTTGGCTGTACGGGGCTCGCAAGTGGCTCGTACAAGATTCCAAGCTCATAGACGCCCGGTGAGGCCGTAGGGAGGAAATGTTCATGCACATTTTTTCCTGCGAGCGGCCTACAGGCGGCAGCTCGTAGCAAGCACGTATCTCACACTGACGGGGGAAATACGGGTCAAGTACGTGTCCGTGGATGTTGCGATCCATACGGATGTACGCGAAGTAGTAGATTCCTGGTCCAGCTCTTGGAACAAGAGTCTCGTACTGTCCCAGTATTGCACGTCTCGGTATCCAGGGCCGCACCCGCCAACGCCTCCGCCTTCTCTGTCTTTCTTCCTGGACACGGTCGCGAGCCAACACAGCCAATACAACTTCTCTTTCCTCTTCATCCTCCTGCTCCTTTAGTTGTAAGAGCCGTCTTGGCATCGCCATGGTCGAACGATGGATGAGTACGATGTGATGAAGTGGTGATGAACAGCCCAGTGTTATACAGCACGGTGATAAGAGGGCTGACTGATACGAGTGTAAGACTGTCACACAGGCCGCGTAAGAGGCTTGTACTTGCCTCATACAAAGGACTAGAGTGAGTTGCAAGTGGCCCGTACGAGATTTTGACTCTTACGTGACCCTTGTGACACTTAAGTACGGCGTACTATTGCCTCATGACAGTCTTAAGACCCGCACAACACTCGCATGCTTCACTTTGCCGAAATTTCTCCCAGGGTCCCACACGAGTCTCACGGGAGACTGCAAGCCGCACTTGCACCACCCTTGCGAAGCACTTAGAAAACACTCTCACGGGCCACCACGGGTCAAGAAATGTCAGCACTCGTACAGATGAATCGCCCTTGCAGATTATTGTGACTAAGCCTTAACTTAAGTTTGTCTGAACAGACGTGTTAACCTCACTGGATGAGCTGTACACAGCTGCTTTTAACGCTCTGCCTCGCACAGTATTTAATGATAGAATAATACTATGTGTGTGTCAGTACTCTGCTGTAAATCAAATGTTCTATTGCTTTTTGTTTGTCTGTTTTCCTGCATGCTCTTATCCTGTGTCGCTCGGTCTCTTCTGTTCTTTCAGGCTTCTTTTAGCGTTGAGTGTGGGTCTGCTGACGAGGTACAGCATGCAGCTCCCATCTGCATCGATCTCTGCCCCTTACAGCACTTTACAGCATTTAAGAACACTTTACTGCATTCTTCAAGGCTTTACTGCTCCTAATGCCTGTTTCAAAGTACCAAACTCGTCCAGTAACCGGCTCTTTGTGGCGCTAGTTCCAGTTCTGTTAAATATCCTGGAATCTCCTTCGTCCCTCATTTTACTGAATCTCTGTCGCACTAAAATAATCTGCAGTGTTGGAGGATTGTCACGTGAAGAGGCTCTGTTGTGCTGTTTTGAAAGGTTTTGAAAGCTTTTATTTAGCTTTTACACATTTATTGAGGAAAAAGCAAAGGGTGAGGAAAGAGAGTTAAGAATGTAACCCCAGTTCTATGAATCCATACTGGCGGTCAGTACAGATGAGAGATAAAATTAGGCCCGAAAGAGATTCCTGAACATTTGAATCAACTGGAAAAAGCGTTGCGGAGCCCGGTTGGACCTGATCACACAGAAAAATAAACCAATGCTAGTCGTACAGAGCCAGTCTTGCTTCAACAAACTGAATGTGCCAGGTGCATTATGGGAACGGCTTCTCGAGCTCTGAACCATGACATCGCCTGTGGCCTGTTCAAAAACAAACATGACGTAATGGAGATAATGTTTTCAATAAGACCACTCCTGTCCATCAGTGCTGTGCTCTTGGCCTGTTTACCTCCATCACCACAGCGCCCCCTGCCTGTGTGCACCTGTGACTACAACCGTCAACTCCATCTGTGTTTCATGAGCCTCACCGTTCACATTTCTGTTTCGTATTTACAGATCCATATGTTTTTAATGTTACTGAACTTGTTTAACCACATTAGTATCTTGACATAAGAGTATATTTTTGAGAAACCGAGGTTAGATTAATACATTTATTTATTTATACTTCAAAATGTTGTATTTTAACAATTACAAATTCACTAGAAAACAACTTTTATGCAAATATGAAATACAGTAGAAACGTTTTTCATATTAAATTCACGGAAATGCCCCCAGAGTAGTCAACGTAAATCATTCGTTAATTAGTTTTTCAATTTAAAACCAAAAATGAAAAGAAAATGAAAAAACAACTATTTTCTTCATTATTTATCTCCAAAACCAAAATGAAAAAAACTGATAATGATTCGTTTTTTTCGGTTTTCGATTTTGTGTTTAAATAAATAATGGGAAAAAACTGATAACTGGCGTTTCCCGTTTACGTGACTTAAACTGTGATGCCGGACTGAACCAGGACTAAACCAGGACTGAACCAGGACTGAACCAGAACTGAACCAGAACTGAACCAGATCTAAACTGTTTTCAGTCCTGATCTGGTGCCAGTCTTAGTCCCAGTCTCAATCACAGTCTGGTCCTGGTCTTGTCCCGGCCTCAGTCCCGGTCTGGTCCCAGTCTCAGTCCTGGTCTCAGTCTCGGTCTGGTCCTGGCCTCAGTCCTGGTCTGGTCCCGGTCTCAGTCTTGGTCTGGTCCCGGTCTCAGTCTTGGTCTGGTCCCGGTCTCAGTCCTGGTCTCATTCCCGGTCTAAGTCCTGGTCTCAATCACGCTATGGTCTTGGTCTGGTCCTGGCCTCAGTCTTGGTCTGGTCCCGGTCTAAGTCCTGGTCTCAATCACGCTATGGTCTTGGTCTGGTCCTGGCCTCAGTCCTGGTCTGGTCCCGGTCTCAGTCTTGGTCTGGTCCCGGTCTAAGTCCTGGTCTCAATCACGCTATGGTCTTGGTCTGGTCCCGGCCTCAGTCCTGGTCTGATCCCAGTCTCAGTGCTGGTCTCAGTCCCAGTCTGGTCCCGGTCTCAGTCTCGGTTTCAATCATGGTCTGGTCCTGGTCTGTTCCCGGTCTATGTCCTGGTCTCAGTCCCAGTCTGGTCCTGGTCTCAGTCCCGGTCTCGAATCACGGTCTGGTCCCAGTCTCAGTACTGGTCTCAGTCCCGGTCTGGTTCCTGTCTGATCCTGGACCTGGTTTAGTCCTGGTTCATTTCATATGTGGTGCAAAACTCCGACATCGCAGTTTAAGTCACGGAAACTGAAAAAAACAAAACGCAATCATCATCGTTTCATTTTGGTTTTGGAGACAAATAATGAAGAAAATTTATTAAATTTTTTAAATTAATTTTTTCATTTTCTTATTTTTGATTTTAAATTGAAGAACTAATGAACAAAGGATTAACGTGGAATGACCAGTGTATAATTTTAAGTCACACTATGTAACTTTACTGGAGAGGGGGTCCACCACCTGCTTGTTTCCATGGAAATGTCATTGCTTTGCCTCGAATGTTCCACAGTGAGGCATTAAACTTCTGTCTATCTGTTCATTCAGTTACATGTGCGTTTACTGCTCAAATATCTCTTGAAAAACCTGCAATTTTACTGGTTACCTGCTCGTCTCCATAGCGATAGACAAGTTTAATGCCATGCTGTGAAACATTCCCGGCGAAGCAATAATGTCTCCATGGAAACAAGCAGATGGTGCATGTTTAAAGCTTTCTTCTGCTTACACGACACGAGCAGGATTTATGAAACACAGATGAAGCCAGTGAACCGACAGGAGTCCACCACTGGGTTTAAACTGGTGGACGGTTTAGTTTTAGTTCTGATTCAGGTTTTTCTTTTTGCAGATGTTCATCGATAATTTCCAGACGGCGAAAGAGGCTCTGAGCCAGGCCACGGTGCAGGCGGCAGAGAAGGCCGCCTCCAGTGTCCGGGACTTTGCTCAGAAGAGTTTCCGTCTCTCCATGGACATCAGGCTGAAGGCTCCGCTCATCATCATCCCCCAGGACTCCAACTCCCACGATGCACTGGTGATGGATCTGGGTCTCATCACCGTCGGCAACAGCTTCTCCCTGGAGCAGGTGGAGGGGGTGGAGCTGCCCGCCGTGGTGGAGAAGATGGAGGTTAAACTCAGCCAACTCAAACTGTCCAGGTATCACACAGACGTACTCATTAATGACTCACGTATTTCTTCATTCTTGTGGTTTTAATTTTGTATTTAACACTGTTTTGGTTGGTTTGGGAATTAACTATTAAAATGTAAACATTAAAAAGTCCTGATCCCATTTGAATGCTGTGCTAAGAGCTCATAATGTGTTTATTGTGAACACAATTTGACTGTAGAGTCTGGTAACGGTTTATGGACTTAAAAATTACAAAGAAGAAATACAGATTTTTTCCTAAATGGAAACATTGCTAATGAAGCACTTTTTTTCTCAAAGACCATAACCAACTGTATCATCTGTTTGTTTTCAGACTGACCCAAAAACAGACAGTACCTGATCTGCAGATGCTTCAGCCAATCAGCTTCGAGCTGCTGGTCACAAGAAACCTCTGCTCCTCCTGGTTCAACAAGATCCCAGGAATCCAGGTCCAAGGAGTCCTGCACTCACTCAATGTAAGACTCAGTCTGGATAAATATGTCACTAGACATATTGTGGCTGTTTATTTCTTATGTAGACACATGTGCAATCTTAGACTTAGATTTTTATATAAGAAATTACCATATTTTCCGGGCTATTAGACGTGCTCTTAAGCCAAAAACGACTGCTCCACAATCCAGAGCGCCCTATACACGAATCCACTCGGGTGTCCCAGCACGACTTCAGTAAACTACAACCGCACCACCCGCAGAACACACAAACACACAAACACACAAACACACACGGAGCAGACAGCGACCGCACAGAGAAACGCCGACAATCCGTTGGTCCCAGACAGCACCTCCCTACACGCCACAACTGAACAAAGCCCAGAGTCACCGTGAACGAACAAACAAACAAAACCACTCACCCATCACACTGTTGTGTTTCCTTTAAAGTCCCACACGGTTTATTTGTGAAAAAAGTTCGAAAATAGACCATTTAATGACAGTGCGTTTTATAATCCAGAGTGTCTAATAGCCCAGAAAATACGGTATAGGAGTCTAGTAAGAAAAAAGGGAATCATTGGCTCCACAAGTGAAATGCATTTGATCAAACTTTAACTAAGTACAGAAAAGCTGAAAGCCGTATGCTTGGCATCATAATTTGTTTCTAATAACAGTCTAACCTAACAGAGTTAGACATTAATAAGTGCTTTAACTAAACCCCTTCAGTCACTGTTTTATGGAAAATGATTATATTAAAGATCAGAGAAATTAAACTTCTACCATCTCTAACTGCATAATTGAGAATAACCTGACTTAAATGACGTCTGTGTTTCTGTGTCACAGATGAGTTTGGGGGAGGAGGACCTGAGTCTGCTCATGAAGATCCTGGTCCACAACATCGGTGAAGGCAGCAAAGTGCAGAGGAACCTCACTCAGGGTACGGCTGCCCCACTGCATCATGAGAGAACACTCAGCTTATTTTATATTTCTCTTGTAGATCCATCAGAAATGCTCATGCTTTGGAAATGATAGTCTCCTTTGTGAATCCAGTTGTGTGTGTTTCTCAGAGAAAGAGTCAGATGCCCCGGAGCAGCAGCAGGAGGTGTCTCTGCCCTGGGCCCCCTCCTCTGAGCTCACTGCACTTCAACAGGACGAAATGGAGAACGCCATCAACCTCCTGCTCAAATTTGAGATTAAAGAGGTAAAAGATTCATCATGTTAATACGAACATTTTAAGACCAAAACGACGAGGTTCGAGCAGCAGGTACAGAGAAAGCGGTGACAGTTTTTCAGTGTAAAGCCAGTTGGAGCCAGAGCCACGGTCACTTCCTGTTTGTTTTAGACATGATTTTGTCCAGGTTTAGATCCAGGGTTTAGTCCCAGCTCAGTCCCAATACGTGCATCCCATATTTCGGACTTCCGGTCATCACGCAATTCATACTGGGAAGGATCCTCCTAAAAAGTGAGCATCAAACCTCCATGTTTGTTTTTTTCAAGTCTTTTGAACCATATCACTTTTGTTTCTGGTTCTGATATTGTCATATTTTAGTTTTGGGATTCGGACATCGTAATTGTGTGGTTGTTGGATCCTAACAGCGGAAAACGGCTCGAGAAATGGGAAGTTTGTGAACTCCATAAATGCAAAAGTGAATCAGATGTGTGTGACTGCAAACCTCTGTTCAAACTGTTTCTCTTCCCAACGGAATTGAAAAATAGTGAAACAGTGAAAACAAAATTCTGATCCCTCGCTCAACCTCGGTTACGAATTTAAAAAGTCAACGCCAAAGCAAAAGTCACCAACTGTTCACCAAGAAACACCTTCCACTGCAAAGAGACCAAGACGTGATGTTGCTGTAAAACCACAAGAACAAGAAAGTGCAGCTCAGTCTGTTTGTCTTCTGCTCCTCTCCATTAACAAACGGGATTTTGTTTTGTTGATGCTCCACATACAAAATGTTCACTGCAAAATCGGGATGATTTAGTCAGTCAAATGTTTCCTTTTTGGTTCTTCCTGTGGATCAATCCTGCCCATCACCTTCACCTTTCACTATTTTTCAATTCCGTTGGGAAGAGAAACAGTTTGAACAGAGGTTTGAGTCACACACATCTGATTCACTTTTGCATTTATGGAGTTCGCAAACAAATTTCTTTAGCCATTTTCCGCTGTTAGGATCCAACAACCACACAATTACGATGTCCGAATCCCAAAACTAAAATATGACAATATCAGAACCAGAAACAAAAGTGATATGGTTCAAAAGACTTGAAAAGATCAACTTTGACAACAAACGCATCCCACTGGGAAAACAAACATGGAGGTTTGATGCTCACTTTTTTGGAGAATCCTTCCCAGTATGAATTGCACGATGACCAGAAGTCTGAAATTCGAGATGCATGTGTTATTGTGAGGCCTCATAGAAACAGAGATTTTCAAATTTGGGACTTGAAACTGAATCTTACAATATTTTTGTTTCAGTGCCCAAACTCCCCAAAACTAAAACTAAATATGATTTCACAGTTTTCCGTTCTCTTAAATTCCTGTATTTCTGCCGTTGACAGGTGAAGCTGACCCTGAAAAAGCCCAAAGACCGTGTGGAGTCTCCGTTCTTGGTTCTTCATGCGTCTCAACTCGGCATTGACACAAGAGTCAGAAAATACGACATGTGTGCCACGGTTTACCTCAGAGAAATCATCATGAACTGCCTCGAATTCAAAGGTTTGTGGTAGATCTGTCCTTACAACTATTTTAAATAGTGCTGTCATGCGATTAAAAAAATTGAGAGATTAATTAATTATGATCTGTAATTAATTAATCTAATTAATCTCATTTTAATCTCACCTAAAAATTGCTGAGAAAAGCTTCAATTTGAGGTATTTTCATTTAAATTCATTATTACATTATTGTGGCAGATCAAAAGACTCATATAGATTTAAAAAAAGTGACTTTATAAAGTCATTTATTGTTTAACAAATCTCCCCAAATTTGGTTGTTGAGCCCAAGTCTCCATGAATAAGAAACTGTTTGCTGTAAAGTAGCAAAGACGAGGAAATCTGAACATAATAACTTTTGTCGACTTAAAGACAATAAAAAGTCCAGTCTTTCCTTAACCATATTAAAAATATTATTGATAGAGAAATGCTTTATATATGAGATCACTGGTTTTAGTCCTTGTTTTAGTCCTGGTTTAGACCTGCTTTAGTCCAAGTTTAGGATTCCCTGGTTTAGTCCTGGTCCTGGTGTTAGTCCTGGTTTTTATTTGGTTTAGTCCTGGTTTAGACCTGGTTTAGGAGACTGGTTTAGTCCTGGTTTAGTCCTGGTTTAGTCCTGGTTTAGACCTGGTTTTAGTCCTGGTTTAGACCTGGTTTAGTCCTGTTTAGTCCTGGTTAGTCCTGGTTTAGACCTGGTTTAGACCTGGTTTTTAGTTGGTTTTAGTTCTGGTTTTAGTTCTGGTTTAGTCCTGGTCCTGGTTTAGTCCTGGTTTAGTCCTGGTTTTAGTCTTGGTGTTAGTTCTGGTTTAGAGGCGCACAGGAGGAAGCTCGGTTTACGCCGCGTACGCGAGAAAACACGATCCACACACGGCTCACGGGAGCACGTCGGTGTCCATGCAGTAACTAGGACGGACGGAAACGTGTGTCCACGCGTTCTCAGGTTAATGACGATGATGAAGGTGTGTGTGTGTGTGTTGTGTGTGTGTGTGTGTGTGTGTGTTTGTGTGTGTGTGTGTTGTGTGTGTGTGTGTGTGTTTGTGTGTGTTGTATGGACAGTAGTGCAGACATCATGAGTCTATGCAGGTTGTTTTCAGGCGATATTATATATTTGTTTAATTCACTTCATTTTGTCGGAAGAATTTAATGATAACTATGAATGTTGAACAACACATAAAAACAGGTTTTATATCATAAAGTTAGAGATTAAAATGAGATTAACGCGATTAAAAAACATAACGTGCTAATTTTAAACGTATTTTTGTGAATTGTAATGTTATTTTTTGCCTGACACGTTCCACAATTTGGCATAAAACTGATCTATCTTGAATTTCTTCAGTTATAAATTTGTTGCAGGATCAAAACTTTAGACACAACGAAATCCAGGCCCTCCAAAGAAGTAAAAATCTCACAAGGACAAATGTTTTATTGCAAAAATAAACACACACACAAAGAAATATGTTCATTCCACAAATCTGACCAGTAACTCGGCCTCTAAACGTACAAAATGAAAGTGTCGTAGATAGATTTAGTTTTTGCCGTACTGTGAAACTCTCTACGCAACTAAATCTCCATGGAGAAAAGCAGGTGCTCACAGAAAAGTTCCACATTGCACCTTTAACGTGTGATTTGTTAGATGCCGGTGGACAGGACCTGTGTCTCGTCAGATCCTCGGCAGAGACGGGGGCAGAACTACTCAAAGTTCAATATTTTAAGGTAACTTTGTTCAAATACAAAGTCCTGGGTGTCAGCAGCGATTGTGATAAATGTAAATAACTAAAACATTGCTTTATAAACTTTTTTTTCAGGCGGATCGAAATGGGCCAAACTTTTCCTCGGTCTTCAAGAACACAGAGCAAATGATGAACGTGAGTACAACAGTGTGTTTGAATTTAAAAGGATCCCCGGCTACTTTGACACTCTGGTCTTATATGATTAACGTTGGCGTCATTTATAAATACGTAAAACCAAAAAACTCATATATGTTCGTTTGTAGTATTTTTTTAGTTCGCTATATTTGTTTACGTTGCAAAGCATTCTGGGTAGTGTCGTCACAAAGTTGTTATCTTCGGTTGTTGGGTTTAACTTGTGCTGTGGCTCAGTTGTTGAGTAATGTTGATAATTGATATTATGCCTCACGGTGCGGCTTTCGGTTGTAATTTCCAGTCCAGAACCAGGACTAAAACAGGACTAAAACAGGTGCAGGCTCACCTCTGGACCCGTCCCGACACTCAGTTCTGGTTCAGTTCTGGTTCAGTTCTGGTTCAGTCCTGGTTCAGTCCTGGTTCAGTCCTGGTTTAGTCCTCTAGGTTCAGTTCTGGGTCAGTCTTGGTTTAGTCCTGGTTTAGTCCTGGGATCAGTCCTGATTTAGTTCTGGTTCAGTCCTGGGATCATTCCTGGGGTCAATCCTGGTTCAGTCCTGGGTCAGTCCTGGATCAATCCGGGTTTAGTCCTGGTTCAGTCCTGGTTTAGTCCTGGTTTAGTCCTCTAGGTTCAGTCCTGGGATCAGTCCTGGTTCAGTCCTGGTTTAGTCCTGGTTTAGTCTGGTTCAGTCCTGGTTCAGTCCTGGTCCTGGTTCAGTCCTGGTTTAGTCCTGGTTTAGTCCTGGTTCAGTCCTGGTTCAGTCCTGGTTTAGTCCTGGTTCAGTCCTGGTTCAGTCCTGGTTTAGTCCTGGTTCAGTCCTGGATTTAGTCCTGGTCAGTCCTGGTTCAGTCCTGGAGTCCTGGTTCAGTCCTGGTTCATCCTGGTTTAGTCCTGGATCAGTCCTGGTTAGTCCTGGTAGTCCTGGTTCAGTCCTGGTTCTGGTCCTGGTTCAGTCCTGGTTCAGTCCTGGTCCTGGTTCAGTCCTGGTTCAGTCCTGGTTCAGTCCTGGTTGGTTCAGTCCTGGTTCAGTCCTGGTTCAGTCCTGGTTCAGTCCTGGTTCAGTCCTGGTTTAGTCCTGGTTTAGTCCTGGTTCAGTCCTGGTTCAGTCCTGGTTTAGTCCTGGTTCAGTCCTGGTTTCAGTCCTGGTTTAGTCCTGGTTTAGTCCTGTCCTGGTTCAGTCCTGGTTCAGTCCTGGTTTCCTGGTTCAGTCCTGGTTTAGTCCTGGTTTATCTCTGGTTTAGTCCTGGTCAGTCCTGTTTAGTCCTGTAGTCCTGGTTTAGTCCTGGTTCAGTCCTGGTTTATCCTGGTCAGTCAGTCCTGGATCAGTCCTGGATCAGTCCTGGTTTAGTCCTGGTTAGTCCTGGGATCAGTCCTGGATCAGTCCTGGTTTAGTCCTGGTTTAGTCCTGGTTTACTCCTGGTTTAGTCCTGGTTCAGTCCTGGTTTAGTCCGTATGCGGTGCAAAAGTCTATCATCTCGATGTTTCTTCTGTTCTTTTGTTGTTGTTCTGTAAGTTGATGACGTGTTTTTGACAGTCGAGTCACATCTGTGAATTCATATTCGTCCTGAAGAAAGCGTAATCATACATTTACTTTTTGTGATTGTAATTCTTGACGTCGTAACTTTTCAATTCGTATTCAGATGGATAAAATACAAGACTGGACTCATTCAGGAGTTTATGAATATTTATTTTAGTCTCAACTACACACAAATATGCACAGATTTTTATCCTATGCAGTCAAATATTTCTGAAAGTTTTCTTACTCCATAGGAATCCTTAATGATGCTCTGTGATTGGTCCAGTCTGAAAACCACTTTTGGTCTAGACCAGGAGTGTCAAACTCATTTTGGTCCGGGGGCCGTATCCAACCGACTTTGATCCCAAATGGGCCGGATCAGAAAACTCATGACATATAAACCCCAAAAATAACAATAAGTTCAAATATTTGTGCAGAGAAACAAATCTATTACACAAATCTTTTTTAATTGATGAACTCTTTCTTATTATAATATTATAATATTATGAACAACCTGAAACTTTAAGAAAAATTCAATTTCAACACAATGTTTTAACATGAACTTGTATGCAAACAGGAATAAGTCAATTTTTCTTGGAAAATCCTGCATTCTGTGTCCACTTTTCTCATGTTGGACATTTTTCTGATGAGGGGTGTCACGGTCAACAGTCAAAACGATCGTCCTTTAAGAGCGTTTGGAAAGAGACAAGTCTTCATTTGTGCTGCTCTGGTGGAGGGGCCACGTACAGAGACGCTGGAGATTCTGCTATGCTCAGCACCGCAGAAAATTACCAATATTTTAATAGAAAATATAATTAAAATATTTTAGTAGAAAATCACACAAGGGCCACATTAAAGGTCTTGGAGGGCCGGATCTGGCCCCCGGGCCTTATGTTTGACACCTGTGGTCTAGGCCCAATGGTGACTAGCATGTTAACAGCGCACCACACTTTGTCTTCCTGGTTCAAGGCTGAAAAAAACGCTTTTGTAATAAATCTTTACTAAGGCAAAACAAATGTAAAAATCAGGCCCAGCGTCACACAAGTTTAATATTTCATAATAAAAAAATGATTCCTTCTCGTGGTGTAGGTGATGTTCACGTCTCTGGACCTGGTTCTTCACACCGAGGCTCTGCTCTCCTCCATTAACTTCCTGTCTGCGGTGATGGCCCCGAGGAGTTCAGCGTCTGCAGAGAGAGAGACACGAACCAAAGCCGAGGACAAGACTGTGTCCACCAAGTCCAGTCAGTACAACTCCGCTCTGTATTATGAGGATTTAACTGACCAAAACACAAACAAACTGAACTCTGAGTCTATTTCCTGGCTAAAAAGTTACATACTGTGGCTTTAAACGTGTGTGTTCACCTGCAGCTGCCCTGGTGTCTCCTGTGGATAACGTGATCGACCTGAAGGTGATGGCGACGCTCGGAGCTTTTAACGTTTTGGTTTGTGACCAGAAAAGCAACATGGCCGACATCAAAATCCAAGGTTTGGACTCAGTCATGCTTCACACGCACGACACACTCACAAACACAAACACACACGTCAGCGGAGAAGACAAATCTCTTGCCACAAATTTTGTCAGATAGAATTGCCAAAAAATTGTGCAAACATGAACTTTTAATTTTTTTTTTTTACATTTGGATTGGACAGGAAAGGTCAGGAGTTGGCAGGCTGCACCTCGTGAAGAGCTGTTGTCTCTAAAAGCAACACTGTTTTGTCAGTTGAAGAAAAGAGGTAGAGTGCTCCACGGGGTCATAAAAAGTCAAAAACAGCAGTGCAGGTGCTCTACGAGGGTTCAACTTGTAATCTTAACAGAATGTTGCACTTACTGAAAACTGTAAAAGTGGGCAAAGTACAAACCCGAGACTCTCTGACTGAATATAATCAAAGTCCTTTGTTACATGGAGGGACGCCAACGCACTTTCTGACCAGCACAATGGTCTTTGTTAGCCAGGCTGGGACCACCTAGTGCCTCCTCTCAATTTAATTTCTCTCCAGCGACTAGATCAGGAATCAGAACACACTAGACCAGGGGTGTCAAACTCATTTTGGTCCGGGGGCCGTATCCAACCGACTTTGATCCCAAAGGGGCCGGATCAGAAAACTCATGTCATATAAACCCCAAAAATAACAATAAGTTCAAATATTTGTGCAGAGAAACAAATCTATTACACAAATCTTTTTTAATTGATGAACTCTTTCTTATTATAATATTATAATATTATGAACAACCTGAAACTTTAAGAAAAATTCAATTTCAACACAATGTTTTAACATTAACTTGTATGCAAACAGGAATAAGTCAATTTTTCTTGGAAAATCCTGCATTCTGTGTCCACTTTTCTCATGTTGGACATTTTTCTGATGAGGGTGTCACGGTCAACAGTCAAAACGATCGTCCTTTAAGAGCGTTTGGAAAGAGACAAGTCTTCATTTGTGCTGCTCTGGTGGGAGGGGCCACGTACAGAGACGCTGGAGACGCTGCTGTGATAAACACCACAGAAAATTAACAAGATTTTAAAAGAAAATATAATAAAAATATTTTAGTAGAAAATCAACCAAGGGCCAGATTAAAGGTTTTGGAGGTCCGGAACTAAGAGAATGTTTGGTGAAATTTATCAAGTGGAAAGACGTTATTATCCTTCTTCCTACGGGATTTGGGAAAAGCTTAATATACCAGTTATCCCCGTTTGCGGCGCATTACATACGTCACGACCAAATAGCAGTGATTGGTTAAATTAAAGTACCTGCCTACTCTCGAGCGAACGAATCCTAATGCTGCGAGGTCAGACGGTTTCTACAAAGTGAAATTGTGAAAAACTGAAAAAGTGAATGAGGCTAAATGAAGTGTCCCTCAACCTTAAATGATAATAAATGTTTTCCTCTCAGGTATAAACGGCTCCATGTTGGTTCAGGGGCCTCAGACTCACATCTCGGCTCGACTCAGAGACTTCATCGTGTTAAACGTGGATCCAAAGTGCATCCACAAGAAGGTCAGGTTCAAACGCAATGAACTGGGCGTCTCTATGTGTTTAATTAGTGTAATAGTTTCTGTTTTATCTTCATCTAAATCCTAATATGATTATCCTCTCAGGCGATCTCTATAGTGGGAGACGAGGTGTTCAGTTTCTCCATGTCCTTGACTCCAAACGCCACAGAAGGAGCCAGTTACGCCGACACGTCCAAAAGCGACGGAAAAGTGAAGCTCAACGTGGGCTGTGTCCAAGTGGTTTATCTGCACAAGTTCATCATGTCTCTGCTGGTGAGTGTGTGACAGACTGACTCAAATGTACAACTCCGATGCATTCAGCCCCATGTGCACCCACAGTTTATCTCTAAACTGTTTCCACTTTATTTCAGAACTTCACCAACAACTTCCAGACGGCGAAAGAGGCTCTGAGCCAGGCCACGGTGCAGGCGGCAGAGAAGGCCGCCTCCAGTGTCCGGGACTTTGCTCAGAAGAGTTTCCGTCTCTCCATGGACATCAGGCTGAAGGCTCCGCTCATCATCATCCCCCAGGACTCCAAATCCCACGATGCACTGGTGATGGATCTGGGTCTCATCACCGTCGGCAACAGCTTCTCCCTGCAGCAGGTGGAGGGCTGCCCTCTGCCCGCTGTCATAGACAACATGGACGTGCAGCTGTCACAGCTCAAACTCTCCAGGTCAGGACTGAGAACCAGAGGAATGTAGTGACAAATGTGACCATGGTTCTATGAATCCTGCGTATCCCTTCACACGTGTGCAGTGAATCATTGAGCGAGAAGATATATACAGGGTTCCCATGGTCATGGAAATCCTGCAAAGGTCATAGAAATTTTGTAAATTCAATCACAGTTTTGGAAAAGTGATGGAATTTTAGTATCTCTTTCAAGCATGTACAGCGTTCTGTTTCATGAGGCTATTATGTTTATTTCTGAAAGTTTGTGCCTTTTGTTTAAAAGAGACGACAATAAATGCACTGACAGGATTTTGAATGTTAAAAACTATAATCCCAAACCATAAGGTGAGTGGAAAGGATTAACATTTCATTTTTGGACCTAAAAGTCTGATCAATTCTACACATGTAGGCGCCGTAAAGTCATGGAAAATATACTTTAGGTCATGGAAAAGTCATGGAAAAGTTTTGAAATGTTGTCAGTGAAAACGAGTGGGAACCCTGCATTACCTCTAAAATATCGTCTGAAATGCCTGTTGTGTTTAGGGCCAGCGTGGGTCTTGAGACCGAGGTGCCCAGTGTGGAGCTGTTGGAGGCCGTGAACCTTCAGCTGAAGGTCAGGAGGAACCTGGCTCCAGCCTGGAACAAAAAGATGGCCGCCATCGAAATCGAAGGAGACATGAAGCCCATGATGGTAAAGACTGAGACACTTGAGATATAATGAAGTACAGATAAAAGCTTTTCAGAGTCACTTTGGACCAGGGGTCTCCAACCTTTTTTCTCCAGTGAGCTCCTTTACAAAACAAAAATGCCCAAGACCTACTACTTTCAGCAGTTGGAAAGAAACTGAGTAAATATAAGAACCATGGCACGCCTTAGATCAGGAACATTTGGAGGCTAATAAAATATAAACCTTTATTCATTTATCAGTGCACCAAGTTGGGCATCAAAATGACACATTTACAATGGTAATTAATACAATTTTACTTATTATCCACAATAGAATTCAAAAATCCCTTTGTGAGCTGCTTGGAAGGGGATGGAGAGCGACAGGTTGGAGGCTCCTGCTTCAGACTAATGAAGTTTACAGTTGTTGCTTCACACTGTAAACCTTGAGTGAATGCTGTGATCATGTTGTGATGTTTTTAATGTCCTGACTGGCATTACTCAGGTGTTATATTTAAATAACCATTGTCACATTTCCTTTTACTTTCGTTCAGCCCACATGTTCACCTCCACAGGTACAGTTGGTTCGGGAGACTGTGTCCTTGTGTAGTTTTAAACTTAACGTAAAACTCATGTACTTAGCTCAGTTAGGTTCCATTTTAGCTCATAAACTTTAGCCTCCTCTGGAAATAGAGTTAGACTAACTATGATAAACATTATATTTTCTTTGTACAAACATTTCTAATTGAGGCGTTTGTTTTAGGTGGAGCTGAGCCAGTCGGACCTCAAAGTGCTGCTCAGGATTCTGACTGAAAACCTGGGAGAGGCCGACCACACGGAGACCAGTGTCCCCAAACAAGAGACCGGCGTCCAGCTCAGAGCGCCACCTACAGGTCTGATACTGCAAACACACACGTACACATACACACACACACAAGACAGGACTACACCAGGACTGAAGAAGCATTAGAGTAGGACTATTGGTACATACATGCAATAATTTCATTGTTAAACGAAGACAAAATTAATGTTTTTGAATTAATTTAAAGGTTGTATGGAGGATTTTTTTTGTTTGTTTGTTTCAAATTGTCAATGAAAGATCAAAATACAATTATAAAGAAGAAGCAGCCTTGTTATTATGATGACCAAAAAAAAAAAAAAAAAAAAAAAAGAATGAAAATCCATCAACTGAAGTGTGTAGTGTAGTGAAGCCAGATAAACATCAGCCAATAGATAACAAGGCTACCTCTTTATCTATTGGCTGTTAGGTTGTCAATCAAACTCCCTACATTTCTAGCATCGCTGACTTGCCGACGCGCTGGGATTGTGTGGTTTATGTTCGTGGTTCAAGTTTAGCGGTTCTTGGCGTCTTTTTTGAACTGTAGCTCTCAGTTTGCACAAATTTAGTTTTAATGACAGACAAGAATTCATGACCGGTTCGCCGCAAAAGAAAGTCAGTTTTTGACATTGCTGAAAGAAGAAGAGAAGGGGAAAAGGTGCGAAGCGCAACATTTAAAAAAGGACAAACAGTCGCTGAATTTCTCTTTCCTTGGAAAATCTTCTATACAACCTTTAAGCCGTTGGAACCAGTGCAGAATTAGGACTAGGGCCAAATTTAGAACTAAACCAGGGCTAAACCAGTTTATTCAGTCTAAAGGTCAACATATAATTTGTTTTTTTCACTATAATAAGATATGTAAGATATTTTAAATTATTAACGTGTTTATTTTCACTTTAGAAAACGGTGAAAAGCCCGCTGTCTTGAGTCCTGAGGAGCTGGAGGGATCTGCAGAGACGCTCAAGTTCAACTTCAACATCGATTCACTTGGGCTGGTGCTCTACAATAATGACCCTACAAAGGTACACGGGAGTTTATATCACGTAAAAATGTCTTTCCATTCGTCTGCTCTCTGGACCACTAAGATTTAAATGACGCGAAAAGTGCAAAATCTGATCAGAGGGACTGTGATCAGCAAGAAATATAGAGTATTTTGATGTTTTTGTTTTGTTTATAACTCCAAAAAATCTGATAATAATCTCTTTTTGAGTGAGTAACCACAGCATTAATTGTTTATGTGACACTTCAACAATCAGATAACTCCAGAAATCAGATAATTGTCAGATTTTGATGAGACAAAATTGCCGCAAGATCGTGCACACAAGAGAAAAATGATCTTATGAGTGTTTTTTACATTTGGATTGGATAAAAAAGTCGTACATGTTAGTGAGTTACGTCTCTTACAGTTCCATAAAGCAGCAGTAGAATGGAAACAAATGGAAATAAATAAAAAAATTATGAGGCAAAAACTGTGAAATGAATTAATTAGGAATTATATTAAAATCTTGTCTTGTCTTGTTCTCGTGGACCCAGTCTCTTACCTTGTTTCTTCTTGTGGAAATTGTGTCTCGTCCTTAATAACCATAGATATTTTTGTTTAATAAAAATAGATAAATTGTGCACTTTTATTCCTTTGTCGTATTGGCCAGGCCCTAATTTAACGTCATGTGAGCAGTTTTGACCTGTGTTTTTATTAAACTCCCCTCAGCCCTCAGTCCTGGAGCACCAGAAGAGCCTGTGTCTGGGTCAGTTTGCCCTCCTCCAGCTCAGAGCCTCCGGGACGATGCTGAAGAACGGAAACATGGAGCTGAAGACTGTGCTGACCTCTTGCTCTCTGGACGACCTCAGAGACAACATGGAGAGGGTCACGTCACGGTAAAGAGAACACACTCTAAAGCTCTTAAATTTGTCACAGTGTTTCTTTGTCGTCAATTTAAAAATACTCTTCTGTCCCGGGTGCTGTTGACTTTACTTGTATGATATGTACCTGCACTCTGACTAGGGTAAAAAAAAACAAAAAAAAACGAACAATCACCACTAAGCCTGAGTTACCATGACACACATCCAAGTTTGTCTCATTCTCAGTTTATGGACAGGCCTCATGTGAAAGTTTAGAACCTTCAGAATTCCCTCCCTGATCTGCAGAGGTTCATGATTCATGACTGTCTGCAGGTGCTGGGGTTTAGGTAATAATCTTTCAGATCAGAGAGAGGCATTTTAGGTTTAAAACAACTGGATTTCCGCTTTGAACCTGGCAACCCAAATGAGAGAATCATGTGAGGCTCACTCTGTTTTCTGATTGGATGATGGATCCATCTAGCCGTGTTCTTCCGCATATCCGGGGCCGGGTCGTGGGGGCAGCAGTTTAAGCAGGGACTCCGAGACTTCCTTCACCCTGAACACTTCCTCCAGCTCCTCTGGGGGGACCTCGAGGTGTTCCCAGGCCAGCCCAGAGACATAGTCCCTCCAGCGTGTCCTGGTCTTCCCCGAGGCCTCCTCCAGGTGGGACATGCCCAGAACACCTCCTGATGGAAGTGCCCAGGAGGCATCCGGAACAGATGCCCGAGCCTCAGCTGCCCCTTTCCACGTGGAGGAGCAGTGGCTCTACTCCGAGCTCCTCCCGTGTGACTGAGCTCCTCACCCTATCTCTAGCGCCCAGACACCCTGCGGAGGAAACTCATTTCGAGCGCTTGTATCTACGATCTTCTCCTTTTGGTCATTACCCAGAGCTCATGACCATAGGTGAGAGGAGGAACCTAGATTGAGCAGTAAATGGAGAGCTTTGCCTTTCAGCTCAGCTCCCTCTTCACCACAACTGCTTGATACAGCGACCGCATCACTGCCAAAGCTGCACCGATCCACCTGTCAATCTCACGCTCCATCCTCCCCTCACTCATGAACAAGACCCCGAGATACTTGAACTCCTCCACTTGAGGCAGAGACTCTCCACCCACCCAGCGAGGACAAGACGCCTGTTTCCAGTCATGAATCCTGTTTGGATAACGGAACCAAAACACCAAATTATAACACAACCGAATATTTGATTTGCACATGTTTACTTCATATCCGGGGACACCGATCACAAGTTATATTTACACATTTTTAAATAAGAAATCTACATACCCAACCTTTAATTACATGAGTTCATTGTTTTGATTCTCGAGTATTAAGGCACAGAACTACAAAACGTATACTGATCTTGTATTGGTGCTGTTCTCCCTTTAGGATATATATGGTGTAGAATAGTCAGCAGTTACACAATAATAATGTTGTAATCTTGTTTGTTTTTCCCCTTCAGGATGCTGGGCCGGCGTGATGAGGGCAGCGTGGAGCCCATGATAGACCTGACCCTTCGGAGGAGCGGGCAGGAGCAGGAGGTGGTGGCGGAGCTCCATAAGATGAGCCTCTGTGCCAGTGTGGAGTTCCTCATGGCCGTGGCAGATTTCTTCGTTAAAGCGTTTCCTGAAGCTCAGAGCCGACCCCAGAGCTCCGGGCAGGGGGAGAGGCTCCCACTGAAGCAGACCACGGGAGGAACCAGCGGAGACAACAAGAGCGGTGAGGGAGAGAGAAGAACAGACATATGTTTTTAAAGCTGATACTAGGCACTGTGTTTACATTTATGGAGTTTTTTTGTTTTTTTTTTTGTGATCAACTTTTTTTATTGAAATGCTGCTTAATCACATTGACTGTACATTCATGAGTTCTGAAATGAGTACAGCTTGCTTATATACATACATAGTCAGAAATACTGCAATCCAATTATTTGTTTTTTCAAATACAAAAAGAAAGGGAAAAAAAAAAAAAAAAGAACGAGAACAACCTCCCACCCCGGTCCAAAGCCTCACCCAAGCAAAGTTCTGCTACAGAGTTGTTGGAGACGCTTAATGAAAACATGCCATAAGGCAGGGATGTCAAACTCATTTTGGTCCGGGGGCCGTATCCAACCTACTTTAATCCCGAAGGGGCCGGATCAGAAAACTCATGTCATATAAACCCCAAAATAACAATAAGTTCAAATATTTGTGCAGAGAAACACAAATCTATTACAGAAATCTTTTATAATTGATAAACTCTTTCTTTTACAAAATATTATAATATTATGAACAACCTGAAACTTTAAGAAAAATGTAATTTCAACACAAAGTTTTAACATGAACTTGTATTCAAATAGGAATAAGTCATTTTTTCTTGTAAAATCCTGCACTCGGCTCCACTTTTCTCATGTTGGACATTTTTCTGATGAGGGTGTCACGGTCAACAGTCAAAACGATCGTCCTTTAAGAGCGTTTGGAAAGAGACAAGTCTTCATTTGTGCTGCTCTGGTGGGAGGGGCCACGTACAGAGACGCTGGAGACGCTGCTGTGATAAACACCACAGAAAATTAACAAGATTTTAATAGAAAATATAGTTTAAAATATTTTAGTAGAAAATCAGCTGAGGGCCAGATTAAAGGTCTTGGAGGGCCGGATCTGGCCCCCAGGCCGCATGTTTGACACCTGTGCCATAAGGTAATTGTTTCACTCTTGGCCCTATGCACCCTGGGCTATGGAGAGTTCTAGTTGGGCCATATCCAGAAACATTAATGACCAAGCATGAATAGATAAACAGTGTGGTGGCTTCCAGCGTGTGGCCACCATTTTCTTAGCTGTGGTTAGGCCTGACAACAAAATCCTTCGCTTGGCCACTTTAAGTTTGACTTGTGAGAGGTTATTTAATATCAACACGTCCGATGAGCAAGGTACTAGTACATCAAATAGTGAAGAGAGTTTACATGAAACCTGCCTCCAGAAACGTTTATGGTGTTTTTTTTAAGGTTTTTTGAACAGGTGGAGGAATAAACTGACAGTCCAAATCTTAAACAGTTAAAAACTTCAACTCATTCAACCTTAGGGGAGTAACGGTACAGAAATCACGGTTCAGTACATACTTCAGTTTTGAGGTGACAGTTTGGTTCATTTTCATTACAGTTTGGGAACAAAATGTAAAACTATTTGCATTTAGTTTTTTTGTGTGTTTATTAAACCAGCATTTTGTTTTAACATACAAACGGGAAAATTAAAATAAATGCAAATAAAATAAATAAGTTAAATAAAATATTCTCAAATAAGCAACAAAAGTATGAAATATTATATAAAATAAATTCCTTGTAAACAGTAACAAAACTTTTCAAAAAGTAAAGAGCAGCACAAACAGTTCCAGCATGAAGTTTTACTCCGTCTTCATATTTTTGGCCAGAAAAACAAACTTGTCCACAGTGTCTGCAGAAAGTGCAGATCTGCTGGGAGTTACAACGTCCCCAGGAGTTGAAAATACACTTTCACCTGGGACAGAGTTTGCGGGTTTGGGTTTGGAGTGAGGACCGCGGTGTGACGACCATAGTTGTGCGAGGATTCATGTGCACAGCAAAAACTGGAGGGTTAATATTTCAGGGTAAAATATGTCAGAGTTGTTTTTAACACAAAAAGTGTTATTTTAACTATTTGAAAGTTAAATGAAAGTTCGAGTTGAGGTTATTTTCCAGGGTTGATATTGCTGAAGTTAAATGAACTTCCATTAGTGTTAATTTGGTTCCTCACACCCACAACTGCAGAGAGAGAGAGAGAGAGAGAGAGAGAGAAAACCAGTTTGAACCAGTTTGGTACATAATTTCATTTTAAATGAACTAAAACAGTGTAAAATTAAGTGTAAAAGTAAAACACCTCTGAGTGTTGTTTAGTTAAATCAGGATAACTCTACAAAGTGTTATTCGTTTACTCTCAAAACATTAATATAACCCTTGATTTCGGGGTTAAACAGGAACTTTGGTTCAGTGTTACTTAATTAACATTTCCAAAAATGAAAGTTAAATTAACTCCAGAATAGATTGGACTCATATAAACTCTGAGAAAATGTTAAAATTGATTCTGTAAGAGTCAGTTTTAACACTCCACTTTTCGCTGTGTGGTTCCAAGGGACGTAGTCAAGACGACTGCTTTAACTATAAATCACTGCAGGAAACACTGTCACCACAAACACGCACGAGTTTCCTTGTGAATATTAAAGGGCCAAACCTTCGTGTAGCTGCACATGTAGAGGTAGAATGTAAACACACACAAATTGCACCGAACCGAACGTCCTGTATCGAAACAGTTCGGCACGAATACAAGTTTCACCCCTATTCAACCTTCAAACTTTCAAAAAACTTCTTAAATAATTTCACATAAATTGCTTCTATATACTGTGCTCCCCTTGAGTTAACTAAGATGTAACTGGGTCTCCTGCCTCTTGACAGATTTAGATTGGGTTTTTTTTTTTTATCCTGATGACATTATTTGGAAATGACTTAAATAAAACTCAAACTTTCTAGCTTTCTTTTATTTAATCTAGAGTTTTATTTTAAGTCATTTCCAAATATTGTCATCTAGATTAAATAAAACTCTAGATTAAATGAGTTTTATTTAATCTAGATGACATTATTTGGAAATGACCTGAACAAAACTCTAGCTTCCTCTTATTTAATCTAGAGTTTTATTTAATCTATATCTTTTTTTTTTTTTATCCAGATGATGTTATTTGGAAATGACTTAAATAAAACTCTAGATTAAATTAAAGGGAGCTGTTATAAAACCGTATTTAAACCCTTCTCTCTCCGCAGGCTCAGTGGTGCGTCTGCGTGCGGTGGTGGTCGACCCTGAGGTGGTGTTTGTGGCCAGTCTGATGAAGGCGGACGCTCCGGCTCTGGTCGTGTCGTTCCAGTGCGACTGTTCTGTCCAGACCACGGCAGAGGGAGGACAGAACATGACGGCGCGGCTCAGGGAGCTCCGCGTCCTGGCCTGTCCCTTCATCAGGGGCAAAAACGACACGGCAGTTACTACGGTAACAGTATTACTCTGTCTAAGGAAGGTTTAGGGATGTGAGGATTTTAAAATAATGTAGTTTAAAGTGCACTATGTAGCTTTTCTGGTAGTAGGTCCACCCCGTGTTTGTGTCCCTGGAAATGTTAATGCTTTGGCAGGAATGTTTCACAGTATTGAATTAAATTCTTATCTTGCATGCATCAATTACAAGGGATTTTATTCTACAGAACATGCATTCTCAATGTCACTGGGCTCGCCTCTCCACAGATTTGACCTGCAACTTTAGGCTGGTGGCATCATCTGCTTGTCCCCATGGAGACAGATATCTAAGTTTAATGCCGTACTTTGAAACACCGAGCAGACACAGTTACCATATTTTTCGGACTATAAGTCACTCCTGAGTATAAGTCGCACCAGCCAAAAAATGCATAATGAAGAAGGAAAAAAATATATATAAGTTTCACTTTTTGGGGGAAATTTATTTTATAAAATCAGAGACCAGGAACCAACATTTCATCTTGAAAGTCAAGTTCTAGTAAAAACAATAGAAGAGAGAAGAACAGACTGTTAACGTCACATATGAACAGTTCTTCAGATAAACTATAACATAAACAACAGAACAGAACAAGTTTAACAAACTCTCCATCTCACTCCAAATCTTCTTCATCCTCGGTGTCACTTCTGAACAACTCCTCGACCTCCGGAGGTAAACAGAGCGACGCTTCCTCTTCTGTGTCGCTGTCGTCAGACTCAGCATCAGTTCCAGTTAGAATTATTCGGGTCTTTCTGAATCCCGACAGGATGGTTTCGGTGTCACTGAAGTCCAGGCTTTGTCCATCCATCCAGTAACAGACGCACCCTCCTGTTTCCCCGCTTTCCTCCAGTCCCTCACAAGTTTCACTACTTGCAGCAGGACCGAGGCTCTTTCTGCAGGAGACATGTGCAGTAGGGCACCAAGTGACAGTGGTACAGTAGTAGCAGATACTGGCACACAAGCCTGGAGACACTGTTACTGACACACAAGCCTGTCAGTGTGAACATTTTAATATATAAGTCGTAGGAAATACCCAAACCATGAAAAAAAAAACTGCGACTTATAGTCAAAAAAATATGGTAGTTGGCAAATATCAGATATAAAACAGCTGTAGGAAACCTTATATAATTTATGTATCTTGAAAAAAAAAAAGTAATACTACAATTGTATTATGTGTGTTTAAAAAAAAAAAAAATCTAAATGCTCATAATAACAAATCTGTTCAAACAGGTGCTGAGGCCGTGTTCTGTGGTGCTGGAGACTGAGACTCATCCAAACAAACCTCTGAGCGGCTCAGTGACAGTGGAGGAAGTCATCGTCAAGGTGATTAGTACATTAACTTATGTAACTTATGTATTTGACTTTAGAATCTATGTATTTGCAAATATTTAGTATGTTTTATCTTTTTCCCTCAGATCTCGCCTGTGATCCTGAACACTGTGATGACCATAACCTCGGCCATGACGGCAGTGAAACCCCAGGCTCAGCTCAACCAGGAGAGGAAACCCGACGTGACGGATCTGTGGTCGGTCATGGACATTTACAGCAGTAACCTGTGGTTTCTGGGCGTGGACCAGGCCACTGAGATCACCGAGAACTTCAGGGAGAGCGACGGGAGCAACGAGGGAGAGAAGTTCAAGGCAGAGGTCAAGGTAAGGTCAAAGGTCAAGAGGACAAAGTGCAACAAAGACAGATTATTAGACTATTTATCGATTAATAAAAAGGATTAACAAATACACGTTTAAAACAGACGTATTATACACAGTCTACTTTTCAAAAATGACATTGAACTGTGTAATCATTTAAGAAAAACATTTAAAATAAGGTTTGATTGTGTTTGTTTGTTACTTTATGTTTTATCTCTCTACAATAAAATGATCTCCATTATAAACAGATTAAATACAATAGTTAGTGCAATTTTAAAATAACACCTGTCAAGCCGTCTTGCAACCTTAAGCTTATAAAAAGCTGCAAGTAACATTTTGTCACCATCTCCTTGTATAAATAAAGACAGTGTTTTATTTCACGCCCTGTCTCTCTCTGTGTGTGTGTGTGTGTGTGTGTTTCAGGTGGTGCAGGTGACTCTGGAGTCTGGTCTGGGACACAGGACGGTCCCTCTGCTTTTGGCCGAGTCGTCCTTCAGTGGACAAGCTCGAAACTGGTCCTCTCTGCTCCACCTGAACGGAGACATGACTCTGGAGGTGAGATCAGATTTAAGATTTTATCATGAAGATGAGCTGGGCAATACTGAATAAAACTTATATTTCCAACAGATGGACTTTAGTATCTTTGCTATAACCTGACATCTTTAGACTGCAGCTGTTACAGATGTTTGTTAATATGAACTGTCTGTGCTGTTGTAGGTGAATTACTTCAATGAAGTCCACGCTGTGTGGGAGCCTCTGATTGAGAGAGTGGACAGTGGCACCCGGAGGTGGAACCTGGCTCTGGAGGTATGTCCCATTAGAGGGATTAAGTCATGTTCAGGTGAAAGTCTGGCTGCAGATTCTGGGGTTTTGGGAACTTTCACACCAGAGAACAGTTTAGATGCATTTACAATCATAAATTAGGAGCTCATTGGATTTCCTCACTGCACAGGAGCAGAAAAGTACAAAGTACAAGTACAGTAAGAAGGAAACAGTTTTGTGTAAATTAATAAAAACCTGAAAAACCTACACTGTTGTTAAAGATGGAAGAAGAATAGGTCTGTTATTATGTCATCAACTTAACACCAGTGATCACGGCATCACACCAGTTCATGAGCTGCTGTTGTTTCAGATGAAGAATAACCCGGTGCAGGATCGGAGCCCGGTTCACGGGGATGAGTTTGTGATTCTGCCGGAGCCTCGGACGGCCGTCACCATCTGCTCCAAAGACACCATGAACATCACAGTGTCACAGAGCTGCATCCAGGTCCTCAACAACCTCGCCAAGGTACAGGCACTGTCAGAGGGCAGGGGGCAGAGGGCAGAGGGCAGAGGGCAGAGGGCAGGGGGCAGAGGGCAGGGGGCAGAGGGGGAGTATTCATTCCTCACAGTCAGAAAGTCTTTGGTTAAATTCCTTGAGCTTGCTCACTCCGTACATTATCCATTCTTCTGTTGTCCCTGATAAATCATTATCAAAATAAAATGATTCATCGACTGATACAAATTTGGTCGACATAAGACTCCATCGACCGATCAATCGACTAAAGAAGGGGTTCTCAACCCCCAGGACAGGGACCAGTAACGGGCCGTGGGTCGTTTGACACCGGGCCACGAAAGCACGAACCCCCCCTTCCATACGCCGTGTGGACCGCACCTCCTCCCCTCCGTGGGCTGCGACTCTAAACTAGAACTAAAACTAGGACTAAACTATGTTTAAACCAGGACTAAACTAGGTCTAAAACCAAGACTAAAGCAGGACTAAACTTCAGAACTAAAACCAGAACTAAAACTAGGACTAAACCATTTATAAACCAGGACTCAACCAGGACTAAAAGAGGATTTAACCAGGTCTAAACCATGCCATGCGGACTGCGCACCGCTCCTCCTCACATCGCACACATTGCTGCCTCTGTGCGCCCTCCCCGGTTCACCCAAACTCAAAACCTTCTGCTGTTAGATGAGACTTCCAGACTAATCTGTAAAAATGGGTAAAACTGGTACAGATTTCATTACTGAATTTAAATTGCGATAAAAGGAATACTGTTTTTTTCCCAGGAATTTTCCGAGGGCGCAGCGTCCACGTACGACTACACTCTCAAAGAAAAGCCCCCGTTCACCATCAGGAACCACCTGGGCATCCCTCTGATCGTGCAGCACAGCGCCAACCTGAGGTCGGTGGAGGCGGCGCAGCAGGGCAAACTCCACGAGCTGCCCGTGGATCAGAGCATGGACCTGGACTACTCCACGTTTGAGCCGCTGGCCAGAGGAAAACTGTCAGCGCTGCAGAGACAAGAGAGCTGCCTGTTCAACCTCAGCATCGGTCTGTATCCGTTCAAGTCTAGAAGGTTCTGTAATGTTGTGTTAACACAGAAAGGCAAACAACATTAAAGGGAACATATTACATTGTTTGATCTATGTTCTAATGTTGTTTCCTCGTCACAAACAGACCTGGAGTTGCGTTTTCAGCCCTGGAATCTCAAATCTCTACTGGACTAAAGATAAAAGGCAGCATTTTGAGCTTTAGAGATGCAGATGCAGACAAGTGATAAAGTTTTACTCAAACATGTGTGAATGAAACAAAACACAACTCCAGGTCTTAACGCTCAAAAGGGTTAAAGGTACAGTTCAGAATTTTGGACATAGGACCTCATTTGCCTCGTGAGTGTTGGAGACGTGTGGAGACACTTTTTAAAATATTCCCTCCAGTCCTTGTGTTTGCAGAGGTCGCTGGTGTTAGACTAGTGCACGTCAATGGTCATAGTTCTCCTGCCACTAAAAACAGTCTTACCCACTCCACAAAACACCCAAAGAAAATCTATTATTACACCAGACTGTCTGTGTAAATGTCTGTGTTGATAGAATAATGTTTGAAATAAAACCAACCTTGCGTCACGTGAATCGTCGCATGTTGAGGGACTATTTTCTCATATATCAGTCCGCCGCTGCCGAGTTTTCTATCAAGAAGTACAACTCACTGCTGCTGCTCAGACATAAATCCTTCAAATGCAACGTTGGTTTTATTTCTAAAATAATTCTATCAACACAGACATTCACACGGACGGTCTGGTGTAATAATAGATTTTCTTCAGGTGTTTTGTGGAGCGGGTAAGTCTGTTTTTAGTGGCAGGATAAATATGACCATTGACGTGCACTAGTCTAACACCAGTGACCTCTGCAAATACAAGGACTGGATGGAATACCGTATTTTCCGGCCTATTAGGCGTTCTGGATTATAAGACGCATGGTCAGGTCATAGAACGGTGTATTTTTAAACTTTTTTCACAAATAAACCGCGCTGGACTTTAAAGGAAACACAAGAGTTGGATGGGTGAGTGGTTTTGTTTGTTTGTTCGTTCACGGTGACTCTGGGCTTTGTTCAGTTGTGGCGTGTAGGGAGGGTGCTGTCTGGGACCAACGGATTGTCGGCGTGTTCGCAGTGACTCAGTTGTTCAGTTGTGTCTAGAAGCAGCACGTCGCGCTCGCTTTTTCGGTTCGTTCCTCCGTTCCGTTCCTCGTCGGCGTGGAGTGATGAGTGTGTCTGTGGGTGTGTTTCGCTGTGCGGTCGCTGTCTGCTCCGTGTGTGTTTGCGTGTTCTGCGGGTGGTGCGGCTTTGTAGTTTACTGAAGTCGTGCTGGGACACCCGAGGGGATTCGTGTATAGGGCTGGATTGTGGGGCGCGCAGTCGTTTTTTGACGGGGTTGGAGGCTTAAAGGTTGTATAGAGGATTTTCCAAGGAACGAGAAATCCAGCGACTGTTTGTCCTTTTTCAAATGTTGCGCATGCGTGAAACCACCCCCCCTCCCCTACAGCTCCTACGTACAAACACCTCCTCCCTCCTCCTCTTTACGCCAGAAACAGGTTTGTTTACAGCCGGTGCTGCACATGACTTGTAAACAACTAACTACAGTGTTGGTTAGGCAAGGAGGAGAAGAGCGGAGCGGGAAAAGGTGCAGAGAAGGGTGCACGGAGATTCAGTGCGAATGAACTAGCTACAACACGCAGCAGCAAGCGGACTCTTTCTTTGCCTTGAAAATTACGTTTTCAGACATAGGATATCGCATTCGTGTCCTGAAAAACGTTTGTCTAGCTCTTGGAAATAAAGTACGTTTTCATAATAAGCAGAAGTTTCCTGTCCAGGAGTAATTTGTGGACCAGTGCGTCAGTCTTTAGACCCTTCGTCTGCTTCAGTCGCGCCATCGCTGGAATGAATCTCCAAGAATCACCTTAGTTTGGCTTTGCTGCTTTTCCCCTTGTCTTCTTCTTTCAGCGACCTCAAAAACGGACTTTCTTTTGCGGCGAACTGCTCCTGGATTCTTGTCGCCATTGCAACAAACTTTGTGCGAACTGCGAGGAAGATATAGGTAAAAAAAGCCGCTAAGAACTGTTGCGTTGGTGGAGTAAACAGCGTCTGTGCGTCTTGCGTTTGTGGACTGCGTGACAGTCGTACGTAAACCACGTACCGGCGGCGCAGGCAAGTCAGTTACACTAGAAACGTAGGGAGTTTGATTGACAGCCTGTCAGCTCACAGATAACGAGGCAGTGTCGTTATCTATTGGCAAATGTTTAGCCCCACCACGTCCAGAGTTGATGAATTTTTATTCTCTTTTTTTTGGTCATCATAATTACAAGGCTACTGCATCTCTATAATCTATCATTGACAATTTGAAACAAAAAAAATCCTCCATACAACCTTTAAGAGCGCATCTAATAGCCCGGAAAATATGGTATTTAAAAAAGTATCTCTACACGTCTCTAACACTCTGGCTCACAAGGAAATGAGGTCCTATGTCCAAAACTTTAACTCTTGTGACATCATTGGGTGGTAATCTAGGAAGAATTTTTTAAGTCTCTTTACCTCCTTTATTACAGAGAAGTTTCCAAACTACAATTCAGCTCAACTTTGTAGTAACTTCTAGCTCATGTTTTAGTTGTTCGTTAGTTGTGCTGCATAACTTTAATCAACAGTAACAATTACAAAGATACGAAGTCAGTCTGTGTGAACGCAAATGTTGAAGAGGAAGCAGAGCAGAGGGTCAGAGGAGAAGGTCAGATGAGACTAAATAATGTTTTTTTGTTGTTTTGTTTTTCTCCTTGCAGTTCCCTCCGGTTACAGTGAAATCTCAAACCTCCCCGTGGACAAACCCGGGAGGCGTCTCTACAACATTCGTGGTCCGATGCTGCAGGAGGCTCTGTCTGTGCTTGTGCAGATCGACGCCGCGGAGGGAAACAAGGTCATCACCGTGAGAGCGCCCCTACAGGTGAGGAGGCTGCAGTACTAGAAATGTATAGTATCATTCTAACATAATGTCCTATTCATACTTTTCACACACTTTTTTTGTTACCGGTGCCATTTGAATTCAACAGATTTAATTATTATACCTAATTATCCAGATTTTTCATTTAAAAAAGTTAATTAAAGGTTGTATAGAGGATTTTTTAAGGGAAAAGAAATACAGCGACAGTTCTTTTTCAAATGTTGTGCATGCGTGAAACCACCTCCCTCAGTAGAAACATCTCCTCCTGCTCCTCTCCTTTACTCTAGAAATCACACTTGTTTACAGCCGTGCGTGTTCAGAATCACTGTTGAAGTGAAATAATTTAGCGACCGACGCGTCAGTTTTTAGACCCTTTCTCTGCTTCGTTTGCACAATCGCTGGAAGGAATCTCCAAGATTCACCTCAGTTTGTCTTTGCTCCTTTTCCCCTTCTCTGCTTCTTTCAGCGACCTCGAAAACGGGCTTTCTTTTGAGGCGAACTGGTCGTGGATTTTCAGCAAACTTTGTGCGAACTGCGAGGAAGCTACGGTTTAAAAAAGCCTCTAAAAACCGCTGCATAAACCACGTAAACCCCACGCGCCGACGAGTCAGTTACACTAGAAACATGGGGAGTTTGATTGACAACCCAACAGCCAATAGAAAATGAGGCAGCCTTGTTTTCTATTGGCTGATGTTTATCTGGCCTCAACACGTCCACAGTTGATAGATTTTCATTCTTTTTTTTTTTTGGTCGTCATAAATCCGAGGCTGCTGCGTCTCTGTAATGGTATTTTAAACTTTCACTGACAATTTGAAACAAAAAAAAAATCCTCCGTACAACCTTTAAGGTGGCTGTACACATTTTAAACACCTAGAAGCGGAATTAGAAAGTTTGGACCACTGCAAACTGTTTTAAAATGAACAGTAAAAATCACGTACAGCGATTTGAATCTCTTTCTGTTTTCCGTTTTCTGTCTTTTGTTTTTCTTTTTCAGATCAGAAACCATTTCTCGGTCCCGTTCACCATCCTCAAGTACTGCCCCTCGTCCAGAGACCTGCAGCCGCTGGGACAGGCCGAACCGGAGAAGGAGTTCCACATCCCCCTAGAGGCGTACAGGTGAAAGAAACACAGCCTCAGAACTAGTACATTTATATCTGTACTCAGTGTTGGGAAGGTGACTTTTAAAATGTATTCCCCTACAGATTACAGATTACATACCCCAAAATGTAGTTTGTAACATAATCCATTAAATTACTTAAAGTGAGTAACGTAATCTGAACACTTTGGATTTCTTGATATTGTCGTGCTTTTTAAAACTACATGAATGTACCGACCACATCCTGAAAATTCTTGTTTGTTTTCTTCAAATTGTCTGTTGAGCCCAAGTCTCCATACAGTTGTTTGCTGTTTTATCTGCTAAAAGAAAATATAAAAAGCCCAGTCTTTCCTTAACCAGATAAAAAATATTATTGACCGAGAAATGATTTATTTATGATTTAATGATTTATTATGAGATCACTGCTGCCTTAAATTATGTCCACCTACTGTTAAGTGTCATTGTTTAGACCCGGTTTAGTCTTAGTTTAGTCCTGGTTTTAGACCTGGTTTAGACCTGGTTTAGATCTGGTTTTAGTCCTTGTTTTAGACCTGGTTTAGTCCTGGTTTTAGACCTGGTTTAGTCCTGGTTTTAGACCTGATTTAGTCCTGGTTTTAGACCTGGTTTAGTCCTGGTTTTAGACCTGGTTTAGTCCTGGTTTTAGACCTGGTTTAGTCCTGGTTTTAGGCCTGGGTTAGTCCTGGTTTTAGACCAGGTTTAGATCTGGTTTTAGTCCTAGTTTAGTCCTGGTTGTAGACCAGGTTTAGTCCTGGTTTTAGACCTGGTTTAGATCTGGTTTTAGTCCTGGTTTAGACCTGGTTTACACCTGGTTTAGACCTGGTTTAGATCTGGTTTTAGTCCTAGTTTAGTCCTGGTTTTAGTCCTAGTTTAGTCCTGGTTTTAGACCTGGTTTAGTCCTGGTTTTAGACCTGGTTTAGTCCTGGTTTTAGACCTGGTTTAGTCCTGGTTTTACATCTGGTTTAGACTATTTTAGATCTGGTTTTAGTCCTGGTTTTAGACCTGATTTAGTCCTGGTTTTAGTCCTAGTTTAGTCCTGGTTTTAGTCCTAGTCTAGTCCTGGTTTTAGACCTGGTTTAGTCCTGGTTTTAGACCTGGTTTAGTCCTGGTTTTAGACCTGGTTTAGTCCTGGTTTTAGACCTGATTTAGTCCTGGTTTTAGACCTGGTTTAGTCCTGGTTTTAGACCTGATTTTAGTCCTGGTTTTAGACCTGGTTTAGTCCTGGTTTTAGACCTGGTTTAGTCCTGGTTTTAGACCTGGTTTAGTCCTGGTTTTAGACCTGGTTTAGTCCTGGTTTTAGACCTGGTTTAGTCCTGGTTTGAGACCAGGTTTAGATCTGGTTTTAGTCCTAGTTTAGTCCTGGTTGTAGACCAGGTTTAGTCCTGGTTTTAGACCTGGTTTAGATCTGGTTTTAGTCCTGGTTTAGATCTGGTTTACACCTGGTTTAGACCTGGTTTAGATCTGGTTTTAGTCCTAGTTTAGTCCTGGTTTTAGTCCTAGTTTAGTCCTGGTTTTAGACCTGGTTTAGTCCTGGTTTTAGACCTGGTTTAGTCCTGGTTTTAGACCTGGTTTAGTCCTGGTTTTACATCTGGTTTAGACTATTTTAGATCTGGTTTTAGTCCTGGTTTTAGACCTGGTTTAGTCCTGGTTTAGTCCTGATTTAGCCCAAAATGTGAAAACAGGAAAATATCACCATGTAATCCATTTATTTCAACGAAGTAACTGTAATCCAATTACCACTTGCTTAAACAGTAACTGTAACTGAATACAGTTACTCATAATTTACTCTGATTACATAACTCCGGTACATGTAATCTGTTACTGCCCAACACTGTCTGTACTAAACTAAAGTGTAAGCAGTACTGAGCCAGAATAAAAACAGTTCTTCATTGAGCAAAGGGTAAAAAGTTCATCAGATTCATGACTTCTCATTTTGTGACTGAAATAAATGAGTAAAAAGACCAAATCAGGGTCATGTAAGTACAACACCAAGACTAAACAGGATTAAACTGGGAACAAATGAGCTTGACCACGTCTCATTTCTCTTTACTCGCTTCCTTCTCCTCGATTCTGCTGCAAATGGGTGAAGAAAACCCGCCCACAGAGGAGACACACGGAGGACAGAGGATATAAAGCCTCCCTCAGGTTGTGTCCTTCCTTTCGTGTTTTTTTTTGGGACACCGCTTAATACGACACATTTGACTGAAGGAAGCGAGGAAAGAGAATTGAGACGCGACCCTAATCCTTCTCTTTCTCCAGGTCTCAGCTGTTCGTGCGGCCGGCCGGACCCCTGGAGCCTCAGTACGGCCCCTCGCTCAGCTGTGTGTCCTGGAAGGAGCAGGTCCACCGCAGTTCAGAGGTACGGCCACAGGGGGCGATACGGGGGGGAAAATGTAGAGGTCTGCGCGGGACAGAATTTTCAGTCTTGCTCCCGCCTGCATCTGCAATATTTTGTCCCGCCCCCCCCCTCAAATCCCTCAAGATGGGAACGTTTGTTTTCTTAAACTCTATCAAACATGGAGAAGCCGAAAGTAATTGTCTAAAACAGGGGTCGCCAACCTTTTTTGCACCACGGACCCGTTTATATCAGTCAATATTTTGTGGATATTTCCTGTTTTAGTCCTGATTTTAGATCTGTTTTTAGACCTGGTTTAGACCTTGTTTATACATGTTTTTAGACATGTTTTTAGACCTGGTTTAGACCTGGTTTAGACCTGGTTTTAGACCTGGTTTTGACCTGGTTTAGACCTGGTTTTAGACCTGGTTTTAGACCTGGTTTAGACCTGGTTTAGACCTGGTTTAGCCCTGGTTTAGACTTGGTTTTAGACCTGGTTTTGGCCTGATTTAGACCTGGTTTAGACCTGTTTTTAGACCTGGTTTAGACCTGTTTTTAGACCTGTTTTTAGACCTGGTTTAGACCTGGTTTATACCTGTTTTTAGACCTGGTTTTGACCTGGTTTAGACTTGGTTTAGACCTGGTTTAGACCTGTTTTTAGACCTGGTTTTAGACCTGGTTTAGACCTGTTTTTAGACTTGGTTTAGACCTGGTTTAGACCTGTTTTTAGACCTGGTTTTGACCTGGTTTTGACCTTGTTTAGACCTGGTTTTGACCTAGTTTTGACCTGGTTTAGACCTGGTTTAGACCTGGTTTATACCTGTTTTTAGACATGGTTTTGACCTGGTTTAGTCCTGGTTTAGACTTGGTTTAGACCTGTTTTTAGACCTGGTTTAGACCTGGTTTAGACCTGATTTAGACCTGATTTAGACCTGGTTTAGACCTGATTTAGACCTGATTTAGACCTGGTTTAGACCTGTTAATAATTATGCATGATATACTTACATGAATCATTTGTATATTTTTCTTTACACTCATATTTAGTTTGCGGGACTGCGGTTTATCATCCCACCCGCCTGTGCCTGCAATGAGTTTTCAAAATGTGTCCCTGTTTTGCGTTGGGTCCCGCGGGTGTAGGGCTCTAGAATTTTTTTTTTTCCAATATTTTGACAACAAAATGACAACAAAAACATTCAGTGAAGTAAGTACAATTTCTGAATCCAGCTTTGGGAACTAAATTGGACTGTTTACCTACTAGAAATCTCGTGTTTCCTCCTTTTGGACCCAGTCTCGTTTAGACCTGGTTTAGACGGACAAATTATTCATGTAAGTATATCATGCATAATTATTAACAGGTCTAAACCAGGTCTAAACCAGGACTAAACCAGGACTAAACCAGGTCAAAACCATGTCTAAAAACAGGTCTAAACCAGGACTAAACCAGGACTAAACCAGGTCAAAACCATGTCTAAAAACAGGTATAAACCAGGTCTAAACCAGGTCTAAACCAAGTCTAAAAACAGGTATAAACCAGGTCTAAACCAGGTCTAAACAAGGTCAAAACTAGGTCAAAAAACATGTCTAAACAATGTCAAAACCAGGTCAAAACTAGGTCAAAACCAGGTCTAAAACAGGTCTAAAACAGGTCTAAACCAGGTCTAAACCAAGTCTAAAAACAGGTATAAACCAGGTCTAAACCAGGTCTAAACAAGGTCAAAACTAGGTCGAAAAACATGTCTAAACAATGTCAAAACCAGGTCAAAACCAGGTCTAAAACAGGTCTAAACCAGGTCTAAACCAAGTCTAAAAACAGGTCTAAACCAGGTCTAAACCAGGACTAAACCAGGTCAAAACCAGGTCTAAAAACAGGTATAAACCAGGTCTAAACCAGGTCTAAAAACAGGTCTAAACCAGGTCTAAACCAGGTCAAAACCAGGTCTAAAACAGGTCTAAACCAGGTCTAAACCAAGTCTAAAAACAGGTCTAAACCAGGTCTAAACCAGGACTAAACCAGGTCAAAACCAGGTCTAAAAACAGGTATAAACCAGGTCTAAACCAGGTCTAAAAACAGGTCTAAACCAGGTCTAAACCAGGTCAAAACCAGGTCTAAACCAGGGCTAAACCAGGGCTAAACCAGGACTAAACCAGGTCTAAACCAGGTCTAAACCAGGGCTAAACCAGGGCTAAACCAGGGCTAAACCAGGGCTAAAAACAGGTATAAACAAGGTCTAAGCCAGGTCTAAAAACAGGTCTATACCAGGTCTAAACCAGGTCTATACCAGGTCTAAACCAGGTCTAAACCAGGGCTAAACCAGGTCTAAACCAGGTCTAAACCAGGTCTAAACCAGGTCTAAAAACAGGTCTAAACCAGGTCTAAACCAGGTCTAAAAACAGGTCTAAACCAGGTCTAAACCAGGTTTTTGTCTTGTGGAAACCGTGTCTCGCCCCATCCCTTTAATGTAAGCGTAATTACCCGCGCCGCTCTCGTCCAGGTCTCCTCTCAGCTCCAGTGCCCGTCCTCGGACAGCGGGATGCTTCCTCTGATGGTCAACACGCTGGCGATTCCAGACGAGCTCCGGCACATCGCGAATCACGGAGAGCAGGACTGGGACCCGGCCTACGTCATCCACCTGCACCCCGTGGCCACGCTCAGGAACCTGCTGCCCTACACCGTGCGCTACCTGCTGGAGGTACGGAGAACTGCAACTGCGGGGAAATGTGAGATCAGAATGTGCAGGATGTTTCTCTCAAAAACTGTGACTAACATAATCTGACTATAAAGAACTGGAACAACGGGTGATCTGACTTGTGCTGTTAAACAAATCTCTCACACCTTTTTCCTTTTCAAACTATCTCAAAACTCTGGCTGGGTGCATTGTGATACTGAACATTTCTCCATAGCCATACATGCAGAACCCCCCCCCTGCCCAAACACATCAGAGACTCATCCACACTCCCCAGGTTTAAAAAGTTTACGAGTTTTCTGTTTCTGTGACTTAAACTGTGATGTCGGACTGAACCAGGACTGAACCAGGACTAAACCAGGACTGAACCAGGACTGAACCAGGACTGAACCAGGACTGGGACTGAAAGGACTGAACCAGGACTGAACCAGGACTGGACTGACTGAAACTGAAACCAGGACTAAACCAGGACTGAACCAGGACTGAACCAGGACTGAACCAGGACTGAAACCAGGACTGTGGACTCCAGGACTGGACTGGACTGACCTGAACCAGGACTGAACCAGGACTGAACCAGGACTGAACCAGGACTGAACCAGGACTAATGATTAGGACAGGACTGATCCAGGGACCGGACCAGGACTTGAGACCAGGACTGAGACTGGGACCAGCCCGGGACAAGATCAGGACTGAGACTAGAACTGAGACCAAGACTGAGACCGGGACCAGCCCGGGACAAGATCAGGACTGAGACTAGAACTGAGACCAGGACTGAGACTGGGACCAGCCCGGGACAAGATCGGGACTGAGACTAGAACTGAGACCAGGACTGAGACTGGGACCAGCCCGGGACAAGATCAGGACTGAGACTAGAACTGAGACCAGGACTGAGACTGGGACCAGCCCGGGACAAGATAAGGACTGAGACCGGGACTGAGACCGGGACTGAGACCGGGACTGAGACCGGGACTAAGACAGGTTTAGTCCTGGTTCAGTCCTGGTTCAGTCCTTTTTTAGTTCTGGTTTAGTCCCGCATCACAGTTAAAGTCATGGAAACAGGAAACGGGCGTTATCAGATTTTTTCCATTATTCATTAAAACACAAAATCGATCATTTGAAAAAAACTAATAATTAATAATGAAGAAAATAGTTGTTTTTTCGTTTTCTTATTTTTGGTTTTATATTGAAAAACAAATGAACGAATGACACACAGATTCATAAGGTGAGTGGAAAGAGTTAACGTTTCATATTTAGCCCTAAAATCTGATCAATTCTACACATGTAGGTGCCTTAAAGTCATGGAAAATTCACTTTAGGCCCTGAAAAAGTCATGGAAAAGTTTAGAAATTTTGTCAGTCAAAAAAAAAAAAAAAACTCTAGAATGTTAACATAAAGTATTTCTCCCCGTCTCTTCTCTCCAGAGCTGTGCGGACTCCTTCGAGCTCCCGGAGGGCAGTACCTCAGACCTGCTGAACGCTCGTATCTCGGGGGAGATGATGTCGCTGGTGCTGAGGCGGTACCAGGGCAGAGACTGGCACGGGCACCTGAGGATCCAGCCCGACCTGCCGGAGTTCGTGTCCGTGAGCCTCTTGTGTGACTCCGACCCCTCCATGAGCGTGGACGTCAGCGTTCACGTGTCCCGCTCCTCCGCCCGGCTGCTCCTCTCGCTCTTCAGCCCGTACTGGATCATCAACAAAACCTCCAGAGTTTTACAGTACAGAGCGGAGGACGTGAGCGTGAAGCACCCCGCAGACTGCAGGGACATCATACTCTTCTCGTTTAAGAAGAAGAACCTGTTTAGTAAGAGCAAGGTGAGAAGAATAACAATCATCACCATAGACCGATGAGGTTCATTTGGTCTTCCAATATTTTATGTTAGTTTCTTTTTACAGACCAAGAGTTTGTTTTCATACCTGATAGTTTCGACTGATCACTAGTGGGCTTCTTCAGAGTCATGTGATGTTGCTGTGACGTGTCGTTCAGCTGATTTAAACAGGTTTTGTCTCTGTCTTCCTACCGGTGGAGGCAGGACGACAGCGCCATCTGCAGTCCCACTTCCTCAGGACAGGTGTGTGAGAGTAAAAAAGCCCCTCGTCCCGGTTCATCGTCCCGTGGGCATGTTTCTGTATTTCGATTGCCTCTTTAATCCAGCGGCGATGTTTGTTTTCCTCTGTCCCAGTGATGTTTGCTCTGTCCCTGTCCATGATATGGTTCTCTCTTTTACAGTGGTCAGAAATGCCCGATTTGAGTTGTATGAGTTGAGTTGTATTCCAGGGAGGGCGTTCACTACACAACAAAAGGAACATAGAACAGAATGCAAGAAGGAAACAGCGAAGGCGAAACACGAGCAACAAAACACAAAGCAGAACAGGAACAACTCAAATCGGCCGTTTCTGACCCACTGTAAAAGAGAGAACCACATTCTGGACTGGGACGGAGCAAACATCATTGGGACAGAGGAAAACAAACATCGCTGCTGGATTAAAGAAGCAATCGAAATACGGAAATGTGCCCACGGGACGATAAACTGGGACGAGGGTTTTTTTACTCTCACACACCTGGGATACTGTCCTGAGGAAGTGGGACTGCAGATGGCGCTGTCGTCCTGCCTCCACCGGTACGAAGACAGCGCCAAAACCTGTTTAAATCAGCTGAACGACACGTCACAGCAACATCACGTGACTCTGAAGAAGACCACTAGTGAGCCATCGAAACTGTCAGGTATGAAAAAAACTCTTGGTCTGTAAAAAGAACCTAATAACACAGTAATCACCATAGAGTCAAGTACAGGGGTGCCCAACACATCGATCCCGATCTACCAGTCGATCGCCAAGGTCGTGTGGGTGTGGGTGTGTCTTAGTACTCTTCTCGGACTCGATCGCGTTTGGACTCGGTCTTGTCTCTCACTCGAGGTCTGACACTCAACAAGTGTGATCATATTTCATTACGGCCGCTGCTGTTGGTAATAAACTTGTAGCGGGTGCAGGAGCGTGTGGGGCGTCTCAGTGCAGCCTGTGCGCTCATTTGAAACCCGCGGAGACTCTACGGCGCATCACAAACACACACGCTCCCTATGCACGGCTCGTCTGCGACAGCGTGTGCCCTCGTGTACCAGCGTGCATCACAGGGCAGGTTCAACTTCCTAAACATCCTACCTGTCCATCTGCCCACGTCAGCACGCCGCCCCTCGCCTTTTCACGCTCTCGCTCCTTCCTGCGTACAGCCAACACAAGCCCCTCCCACAGTGCGGCTGATTAGAAGAGCAAGACCAAACGTGAAGCAAAAACCAGTCTAAATTTGTGTTCCAGTGTTGGCACAAAGCAGGTCTACAGCATAGAGCGGATCTACAGAACAGACCTACTGCCACATTTGGCTGAAGTTTGTCTAACAAAAGTGACAAATGGTAAACGTGCAGAGGCTGGTAAATATCACTGCAAAACCAGAAAAGAATGTAACTCCAGTTTGGAACTTTAAAAAACAGGTTTAAAAATCTTCCTTCACTTTTTTCACAGTTTTGTGTAAAGTGCCAGAGGAAGTTCTCTTAAAGAAGAGGTTCTCAAACTGTGGGGGAGGGTCCAACAAAGGGGCACAGAGTGTTTCAGTGCAGTTTGCTTGACTTTGTATGAGGTAGATCATTTTGACTTGGTCATTTTATAAGTAGCTCGCATGATGAATAAGTGTGAACACCCCTGGTCTAGTATGAATGTGGCGTGTGAGACTTTCAAGGCTCAAACTGCTTTACGTTAAGGAAGAACTCACACATTCACACACCGGTGTACACAGACACTGGGGGCGCTCAACCAATGATGTTTATGTCGAAAGCGGGATTTGAACCGCTCTACCAACTGAGCTTCTGCCGCCCAGTGAACACTTTACTCTACGCAGCTCTACCTCAATCTCTATTTTATTCTGGAACTTCATTTTTTTAAACCTTTGGAGCATTTGAGATCATTTGCTTGGATCTTTTTCATCTCTTTGATTTGGCTTTGGGTGTGTTGCTTTTCATCATTTTTCTCTGTATTAAACATTTAAGTCAGACTTGATGTAAAAGACATTTATTCTTCCGTTCCAGCTGCAGCTCTGTATCTCCACGAGCTCCTGGTCTGAGCCCTTTTCTCTGGACACAGTGGGGAGCTACGGCTGTGTGCGCTGTCCGGCCAACAACATGGACTTCCTGGTAAGTCTCCAGCAAATGTCTAAATGCATCTCTCCACTCTTTACTCCACAGAAATGTATAAAATTATGACTGAGGAATGAACAAACCCACGAGAAAAGCTACAGAAGGCATTGTTAATTCACTTCCAAATCCAAATCCACTTTATTTCTACAGCACATTTTACAAACAAAACAGTTTCCAAAGTGCTGCATGGAGAAATTGCTAAAATGTGATCAAACCAGTGAAAATCAAATGAAAGCAAAACCATTAAAATCATAAAATAGCAATAAATTAGTTAAATAAATTGAAATAAATAAAAGACACAGAGGACCACACAAGTGACGCGGTGTTAAAAGCCCTCGGACCTCAGAGCGCGCGGGGGTGTAAATCCGGATGAGGTCCGATTATTATCCGTATTATTTGCCTGTTTGGGATAATTCCAGATGTTTCCGTGCGTTCTCAGGTCGGCGTTGGGATCCAGATGAGCAGTTTTAACCTGACCAGGATCGTGAGCATGAGTCCGTTCTTCACCGTGGTCAACAAGACGTCGTACGAGCTGGAGGTGGGAGAGCTCATCAACCAGAGCTCCGTACGCTGGCACTACATGTCCTCCACTGAGGTAACCACGGCAACCAGATACATGTGCATTTAGAGGGCTCATATTACGGTATTTTCTGATCGCTTTTTCATTCACACATTTGTCATACACAAACCCTGCATATTAAATGTCCGTTCAGACCGGAGCGTCAGGGTGTCCAGTTTATATGCAAAGTCTACGTGCACGTGCGTTCAGGGCGTCCTGTGTTTTTGCAGCACGTCTTCAGGCGACAGATGTTGAAAATGCTCAACTTCTGACGTTGGACGCTCCACGTCAACCAATCAGGGACGACTATTCAGTGATGTACCGACGTTATTGCCCGGAAGAAGGAGAAGAAAGAGAAAGACCCGAGAAGCGGAGACTCACAAACATTAGCAGAGTATAAACATATACAAGCCACAACCACTGACCTGCCAGGACTACAGCAGGACTACACCAGGACTACACCAGGACTACAGCAGGACTACAGCAGGACTACAGCAGGACTACACCAGGACTACAGCAGGACTACACCAGACTACACCAGGACTACACAGACTACACAGGACTACACAGGACTACAGCAGGACTACCAGGACTATACAGGACTACACCAAGACTACACCAGGACTACCAGGACTACAGGACTACACCAGGACTACAGCAGGACTACACCAGGACTACAGGCAGGACACAGCAGACTACAGCAGGACTACACAGGACTACACCAGGACTACAGCAGGACTACAGCAGGACTACACCAGGACTACAGCAGGACTACACCAGGACTACACCAGGACTACACCAGGACTACAGCAGACTACAGTACCAGGACTACACAGCAGACTACAGTACAGGACTACAGCAGGACTACACCAGGACTACACCAGGACTACAGGACTACAGCAGGACTACACCAGGACTACAGCAGGACTACACCAGACTACACCAGGACTACACCAGGACTACACCAGGACTACACCAGGACTACAGGCAGGACTACACCAGACTACACCAGACTACACCAGGACTACACCAGGACTACAGCAGGACTACACCAGGACTACAGCAGACTACACCAGGACTACAGCAGACTACACCAGGACTACACAGGACTACAAGGACTACAGCAGGACTACACCAGGACTACACCAGGACACAGGGACTACAGCAGGACTACACCAGGACTACAGGACTACAGCAGGACACAGGATACACAGGACTAGGACTACACCAGGACTACACCAGGACTACAGTACAGGACTACACCAAGGACTACCCAGGACTACACCAGGACTACAGCAGGACTACAGCAGGACTACAGCAGGACTACAGCAGGACTACAGCAGGACTACAGCAGGACTACAGCAGGACTACAGCAGGACTACAGCAGGACTACAGCAGGACTACACCAGGACTACACCAGGACTACAGCAGGACTACAGCAGGACTACACCAGGACTACAGCAAGGACTACAGCAGGACTACACCAGGACTACAGCAGGACTACACCAGGACTACACCAGGACTATACCAGGACTACAGCAGGACTACACCAGGACTACAGCAGGACTACAGCCTACAGGACTACACCAGGACTACACACCAGGACTACAGCAGGACTACAGCAGGACTACCAGGACTATACCAGGACTACAGGACAGGACTACACCAGGACTACACCAGGACTACACCAGGACTACACCAGGACTACATACCAGGACTACACCAGGACTACACCAGGACTACACCAGGACTACCAGGACTACAGCAGGACTACAGCCAGGACTACACAGGACTACAGCAGGACTATACAGGACATACCAGGACTACACCAGGACTACACCAGGACTATACCAGGACTACAGCAGGACTATACCAGGACTACACCAGGACTACACCAGGACTACAGCAGGACTACAGCAGGACTACAGCAGGACTATACCAGGACTACACCAGGACTACAGCAGGACTACACCAGGACTACAGCAGGACTACACCAGGACTACAGCAGGACTACAGCAGGACTATACCAGGACTACACCAGGACTATACCAGGACTACAGCAGGACTATACCAGGACTACACCAGGACTACACCAGGACTACACCAGGACTACACCAGGACTACAGCAGGACTACAGCAGGACTACACCAGGACTACACAGGACTACAGGACTACACCAGGACTACAGCAGGACTACACCAGGACTACAGCAGGACTACAGCAGGACTACAGCAGGACTACAGCAGGACTACACCAGGACTACAGCAGGACTACACCAGGACTACAGCAGGACTACAGCCAGGACTACAGGGACTATACCAGGACTATACCAGGACTACAGCAGGACTACACCAGGACTACAGCAGGACTACAGCAGGACTACACCAGGACTACAGCAGGACTACAGCAGGACTACACCAGGACTACACCAGGACTACAGCAGGACTACAGCAGGACTACAGCAGGACTACACCAGGACTACACCAAGACTACACCAAGACTATACCAGGACTACAGCAGGACTACACCAGGACTACACCAGGACTAGGACTACCCAGGACTACACCAAGACTACAGCAGGACTACACCAGGACTATACCAGGACTACAGCAGGACTACACCAGGACTGCACCAGGACTACAGCAGGACTACAGCAGGACTATACCAGGACTATACCAGGACTACAGCAGGACTACACCAGGACTACAGCAGGACTACACCAGGACTACACCAGGACTACAGCAGGACTACACCAGGACTACACCAGGACTACACCAGGACTACACCAGGACTACAGCCAGGACTATACCAGGACTACACCAGGACTACACCAGGACTACACCAGGACTATACCAGGACTACACCAGGACTATACCAGGACTACACCAGGACTATACCAGGACTATACCAGGACTATACCAGGACTACACCAGGACTACACCAGGACTACACCAGGACTATACCAGGACTACACCAGGACTACACCAGGACTACCAGGACTATACCAGGACTACACCAGGACTACAGCAGGACTACACCAGGACTACACCAGGACTACACCAGCGTCATTAGCGGAGTATAAATATGTATATGCCACAACCACTGAGCTGATCTCCTCCACTGATGGTTTTATGTAATAAAAACACTAAAGTTTCTCTCTCAACATGGTCCATTGTTCCAGGAGAAGACTGTGACCGGGCACTTGTTTCCAGGGCAACAGACGCCTGGAAACGTGTCAAGTATGTTTCTCCCGTTGGTCCACGTCGTCAGGGGCATCTGAACTCAAATGCAAAAGCGTCCGGGACATTTTTTGATGCTCTGGTCTGAATGGAGCTTTAGGCTGAGTTCTTCTCTCAAACTGAAAACACTCTGTTCCACTTTGTGTCATGTGGTAAGACAGGATGTGCTCCACTATGTTTTTAAAGTCCACACACCTTCACTAGAATCATTTGGATGATTTCAGCTCTGGAACTGACGATCTCTACTGAACTAAAGACAAAAGGTAGCTGTGAAAACCATCGCTTCATGACATCACAAGGTGGAACAGAGCATTTTGAGCTTTGGAGATGCAGACAGACTAATAATCAAGTGTTACTCAAACATGTGCGAATGAAACAAAACACAACTCCAGGTCCGTTTTTGAGGAGTTAAAGGTTGTATAGAGGATTTTCCAAGGAAGGAGAAATCCAGCGACTGTTTGTCCTTTTTCAAATGTTGCGCATGCGTGAAACCACCCCCCCTCCCCTACAGCTCCTACGTAGAAACGCCTCCTCCCTCCTCCTCCTTACGCCAGAAACAGGTTTGTTTACAGCCGGTGAGCTGCACATGACTTGTAAACAACTAACTACAGTGTTGGTTAGGCAAGACGGAGAAGTGAGGAGCGGGGAGAAGAGCGGATCGGGCAGCGGGGAACAGGAGCAGGAAAGGGGAGCAGAGAAGGTTGCGCAGAGATTCAGTGCGAATGAACTAGCTACAACACGCAGCAGCAAGCGGACTCTTTCTTTGCCTTGAAAATTACGTTTTCAGACATAGGATATCGCTTTCGTGTCCTGAAAAACGTTTGTCTAACTCTTGGAAATAAAGTACGTTTTCATAATAAGCAGAAGTTTCCTGTCCAGGAGTAATTTGTGGACCAGTGCGTCAGTCTTTAGACCCTTCGTCTGCTTCAGTCGCGCCATCGCTGGAATGAATCTTCAAGAATCACCTTAGTTTGGCTTCGCTGCTTTTCCCCTTGTCTTCTTCTTTCAGCGACCTCAAAAACTGGACTTTCTTTTGCGGCGAACTGCTCCTGGATTCTTGTCGCCATTGCAACAAACTTTGTGCGAACTGCGAGGAAGATATAGGTCAAAAAAAGCCGCTAAGAACTGTTGCGTTGGTGGAGTAAACAGCGTCTGTGCGTCTTGCGTCTGTGGACTGCGTGACAGGCGTACGTAAACCACGTACCGGCGGCGCAGGCAAGTCAGTTACACTAGAAACGTAGGGAGTTTGATTGACAGCCTGTCAGCTCACAGATAACGAGGCAGTGTCGTTATCTATTGGCAAATGTTTAGCCCCACCACGTCCAGAGTTGATGAATTTTTATTCTCTTTTTTTTTGGTCATCATAATTACAAGGCTACTGCATCTATAATCTATCATTGACAATTTGAAACAAAAAAAAATCTTCCATACAACCTTTAACAGCATTACAGCATGACTTAAAGCTCACAAGAGTCAATTTGTGTAATGTAGGACAGTTGAATATCAAGTAACTAACACAGGTTGGTGGTTCAAACCGAGCAGCACTAACGCATTTCTCATCTTTCTTCCTCAGTGTGTGCCTCTGTGGCCGGAGAAGCCGTTCAGGACAGCTCTGTGTGAGAGTCGTGGGCTCAGATTTTCCCTCCAGACCGTTTTTCTTCAACAAACAGGACAGGGGCACTCTGCTCAAACTGGACATGGTGAGAACAGTTACACAAACTCTCCATAAATATGACTTCAGACGCTCACTGCTTCATTGATCGAGCTGTATTACATTTCTGTGTTTCCTTGTTCCCCGTCTCTTCAGTGTGGTGGGGCTATAGTTCTGTATTAATAGTCACTTACAATCATTCGCTCACTCGTTTTTCAAACTAAAACCAAAAAAAGAAACCGAAAAAAAAAAATATATAATATATTTTCTTCATTATTTGTCTCCAAAACCAAAATGAAAAAACAGGTAACGATTCATTTTTTTCAGTTTTCGATTTTTTGTTTAAATGAAGAATGGAAAAAATGAACAATGAACGAGACCAGGACTGAGACCAGGACCACGACCAAGACCAGGACCGAGACTGGGACCGAGACTGGGACCAGACCAGGACTGAGACTAGGACTGAGACCAGGAACAAGATCGGGACCAGACTAGGACTGAGACCAGGACCAAGACCAGAACTGAGACCGGGACCGGACCACGACTTAGACCAGGACTGAGACCAGGAACAAGACTGGGACCAAACCAGGACTGAGACTAGGACTGAGACCAGGACCAAGACGAGGACCGAGACCAGGACCGAAAACCAGGACCAAACCAGGACCAAACCAGCACCAAACCAGGACCGAGACTGGGAACAGACTAGGACTGAGACCAGGAACAAGACCAGAACTGAGACCGGGACCAAGACCACGACCGGGACGACAAGACCAAGACCAGACTGAGACTAGGACTGAGACCAGGAACAAGATCGGGACCAAACCAGGTCTGAGACTAGGGACTGAGACCAGGACCAGACCAGAACTGAGACCGGGACCGGACCAGGACTGAGACCAGGACTGAGACAGGAACAAGACTGGGACCAAACCAGGACTGAGACTAGGACTGGACCAGGACCAGAACCGAAACCAGGACCAAACCAGGACTGAGACTGGGACCAGACCAGGACTGAGACCAGGATTGTGACCTGGACCAGACCGGGACTGAGACCGGGACTGAGACCGGGACTGAGACCGGTTTAGTCCTGGTTCAGTCCTGGTTCAGTCCAGCATCGCAGTTTAAGTCACGGAAAAACGGTAAACGGTTGTTATCCGTTTTTTCCATTATTAATTTAAAATGAAAATCTAATCGTTATCTGTTTTTTGGGTTTTTTTTTTTTGTTTTTTTTTTCCATTTTGGTTTTGGAGACAAATAATGAAGAATTTTTTTTTTTTTTTTCGTTTTCTTATTTTTGGTTTTACTATTGAAAACGAACGAACAAATGATACACTGATTCCTTACATGTCTTTTGTCGTTTGTTCAGTGTGGAGGGGGTCATAGTTCTGTTTTAAAAGTCTCTTACACATCTGTGATCGTTTGTTTTTCAGTGTGGGGGGGTCATAGTGGAGATCAACATCGCAGACCACTCCTCAGTCATCAGCTTCAGTGATTATTATGAAGGATCTGCTCCGGCTCTGGTCATAAACCACACGCCCAGAGCCCACATCAGCTACAGACAGAGGTACGCAAAGGTTTTTCGACAAAGTAGGTCGAGAAAAAGACCAGAGACGTGTTTGTTTGGGGCTTTAAAGTTTACCTTAAAGGTTGTATAGATTTTTTTTTGTTTTTTGTTTCAAGTTTCTGATAATTATAGGGTGCAGTTTTAATTATGATGACCAAAAAAAAAGAAATCATCAACTCTGTAGCTAAACATTTGCAATAGTAAGACACTGCCTCGTCTGTTAGCTGACAGGCTATCAATCAAACTCCCTACGTTTCTAGTGTAACTGACTTGCTGCGCCGCCGGTACGTGGTTTACGTACGCCTGTCAGCAGTCCACAGACGCAAGACGCACAGCGCTGTTTCTCCACCAACGCAACAGTTCTTAGCGGCTTTTTTTGACCATATCTTCTCGCAGTTGGCAAAAGTTTGTTGCAATGGCAGACAAGAATCCAGGAGCAGTTAGCCGCAAAGAAAGTCCGTTTTTGAGATTGCTGAAAGAAGAAGACAAGGGGAAAAGCAGCGAAGCCAAACTAAGGTGATTCTTGTAGATTCATTCCAGCGATGGCGCAACTGAAGCAGACGCAGGTCTAAAGACTGACGCACTGGCCACAAATTACTGGACAGGAAACTTCTGCTTATTATGAAAACGTACTTTATTTCAAGAGCTAGTCAAACGTTTTTCAGGACACGAAAGCGATATCCTATGTCTGAAAACGTAATTTCAAGAGGCAAAGAAAGAGTCCGCTTGCTGCTGCGTGTTGTAGCTAGTTCATTCGCACTGAATCTCCGCGCAACCTTCTTGCTCCCCTTTCCTACTCCTGTCCCCGCTGCCCGTTCCGCTCTTCCCCTTCTCCTCATTCTGGCACGGAATCTCCGCGCACCGCTCCCCTCTCCTCTCTCCTCTCTCCTCTCCTGCTCCGCTCTTCTCCCTGCTCCTCATTCTCGTCCGCGAACGAAATGTCCGCACACCCGCTCCCCCGCTCCTCACTTCTCCGCCTTGCTAACCAACACTGTAGTAGTTGTTTACAAGTCAAGCTCACCGGCTGTAAACAAACCTGTTTCTGGCGTAAAGAGGAGGCGGGAGAAGGCGTTTTACGTAGGAAGCTGTAGGGGAGGGGGGGTTTCACGCATGCGCAACATTTGAAAAAGGACAAACAGTGCTGGATTTTCGTTCCTTGAAAATCTCTATACAACCTTTAAGCACTAGTCTTTTCTCAGTAAGCATGATTTCGGCTGCAGCAAGTAACTGGAATAATTGTGAATAGTCGACTCTTAAAATAATATTAGTTGTTTTTTCATAATTTAGACTTATTTGGACACAGGACCTCACAGATCACCATATAATATAATAACAAAGAGCAAAAAATATGAATGATTATAATATGTTCTAAATAAGTAGAGAAAAGAGCAAGAGACTGATGTCAATAAGGTTTAATTACTGTGTATAAATGTAAATGTACAAATCAAAAGTACCCAAAAAAACCCTTTAGATTAGTCCTTAAAGTTGACGTTACGCACTCCCTGTTTGTCAGTATTTTGTATTTTAGGATTAGCGATAAATCAGTGTTGTAATTTTATCTTAATAATCCGTGTATCATTTGTTCATTTGTTTTTTCAAAATTTTATTTATTTTATTTATTTATTTAAAAAATAGGGACAAAACACATTAATGAACATATACATGAATGTAAATATGTTATCAGATTATAGCCCAAGGCTAATTTCCATCTGCTGCTGTCCCTAGGCAGGTTGATGTAATCATAAAACAAAATCACAGTTAAAAACAATACACCCGACAGACAATACAATAATACAAAATAGACAGACACAAAGAGCTGGTCAGTCACAAGAACAACAGACACAGGTCAAGTAAAGGATGTTGGATTGCACGCTGCCTTGTTTAGTTAAGATGCCAGTGTAGAGATATGAAGCTAAAATTACTATAAGTGCTTTTCTAACAATGTATTGCACGTGCCCTCGAAGGTAAAATTCTTTAGTATATTACATATTGCCCGTAATTTAAATATTAAAATACTTAATAAAT